GAGCCAGGTCGCTCCTTTGCATTTCACATTGAGCAAGCCACGAAGTTCGGTCGCAAATCTGCTAATTTTTAATAAATAATTAAAAAAAATAAATCGGACAAGTGCTGATGATATTTGGCACTCAAGTGTCAGGTGCTGTTTGCATTTGGCACTCCAGTGTTAAGTGCTATTTGTATCTCCTTTTTGGGACTACGTGCCATTGCAAACGGCACTAAAGTGTAAGGTGTAAGGTGCTAAAAGGTATGTCCTCGGTGAAACTCCTCAATTTGAATTTTTAAGATTTTATGGAAAATTGGAAAAAATTGGAGAATGAAGAAGATTTTGGAAATCTTGCACTAGAGTTGTGTCGTTGCCAAGATATGTCACTTTCTTCATGATCACCTTCCATTGTAGGACAACAGTGCATAAACATAGATGATCATCAACATTCCATCTTGGTCAAAAATACTGAATGTGAAGAATATACGTTCATGCAACTAAAGTCACCAACAGTGATCATTCGGAATGTTTGTAGTGTTCCCAACCAAAACATCAAGAGTATTACATAATACCGAAGTGACAAGTAATTCTTAGATTTATTGTTCAAACATTCCATGTTGAACGCAATAACATTGTGGTCGACATTACAAGTCACTTGTATAAAGTTGGCAAGAACTTGAGTGTGTTTCAAGCAACAAAATACTGGAATAAAAAAATTTTGGGATTGTTTGGTGGTGGTTGTTGCTGGAGTTGCTGCAAATAAGCAGTATTTTAGCAATCATCCCCTCCCATTGTGCTAGGATGGACTATTGCTTCCGTCCCTCGTGGGATGATAGAATTATGTGTTGATTTTAAAGTTCTGCCTTATAATTTTCCTTTTCCAAATCGTCCAAAGGAATGGGTTGAGGAGTGCTGGTGATTTGTTCTGAACGTAGTGAAGGGCAGGAATGTTTCGATTGTAAACAATATCCTGTTCTCAAAGCAGTTATCTACTTATTCACCAACAAAGACCCTCTCCATGAAAACTAAGTAGAAAGGAAAGGACCACCTGCCAAACCACATTATCAAACTCAACGAATTATGGAGAAACCATGCAATAGACATCTACATGAAATACGATGACTGGAAACAAATCCCATTAGTTGAAATCAAGAGAACGAACCCATTCTTGGATGAAGTTATCAATGCTCTAAACAACAATCAATATTACACTTTAGGAGATGTCTTTATAAGAGAGCTTTAAATTCTGCAAAAACAAGATACATCACACTTGAACCGAAACGAAACCTCCTCAACAGGACATGGTATAACTTCCAAACTCCTGTAACCCAAGGGTGGAAAGAATTCACCTTAACAGCAGAAGAACTTATCAACAGAATGTAGACTTTGCAATCAACAAAATAGACATCATACCGATACTACCCCCTGAACATTCGATCAAGATTGCCACAGACGGATCTTTCATGAAAGACAAAGGAGGGATAGGAATTATTAGTAATAAGGGTCATCGCTTCGTCTTCCCAGCATTCTCCCCCAGTTGTTCATTTGACTGTGAAATCCAAGCCATCTACTTCGCAATTGTATTGACTAAACAAATAGTCGAAATCATTACAGATTCACAAGCGAGCATTAAGATAATCAAAAGCAAGAATAAGAGCGCCAACCCATATGTGAGTTACATCAGAGAAAATCTTCATGAAAACATTTCATTCAAATTCGTTAAATCCCATCAAAATATCTCCTCAGCCAAACCTCACGAAAGAGAAGAGATCATAATGAACGACACAGCAGATAAATTAGCGGAAGAAGGAAGGAAAACTAACCACCCCACCGAAGAACCACGCTTACAAAATACTCATAACATTCAATAAGAAACTATGCTATAATAGAATCAATTATCTCATGTACCGCAAAACATATGCAGATCAAATTAAGAACAGCACAAACCGCACACCCATATATGCAAGAGAAACCAAACTAGTTCCCTCTAAAGGATTCCCGAGAAAATACACTTGTCAAACATGTAATGGAAATGTTTACATCGTGCGGTGAGCGATGTTGTCATGAAAGTGCAAGATGTAACCTATTCCAAGTTTCGTATTTTTTATTTATTTAGTGAGCAAACAAATTCAGGTAAATTCCACATTTTCGTATTTTTAATGAAATTAGTGGGCAATCAAAGCCATGTTTCTACATTGTAAACAACAAGAGTTTGGTAATAATTTAAACTAATGGATTTGTAACTCGCCAAACATCCATTTCCCACTTCCCAAATTTAATGTTTGTTGTCAACATAACACAAACGCAGTTGGTACCTTGGTTTGGTGTTAGCCGGACCTAAAAAAGCTTTTAAACTCGGGCTGAACCTGAAGAAACATGTCGCGAGTTCGACATTTCTACAAAACAAAACACCATCTAATCATTACTCTTTACTTGAAATCGACGAACAACCAAACCACCTGGTGGAGGAAGATCAATTACAGTTGTCGAATAACGAATTCATTGAAATGAAAGTTTTTTTTGCAAAATCCTAACGAAAAACATCGTCCTGTCATGTTGCAAAATGCAATTGTGAAAGAATGAAACCTCGAAAGTAGTGTCTCATCAGATTAAAATGTGAAAGTTTTTATTGATCAAAATCCTGATTTTTGGATTGAATCGGATCCACTGCAGAGCCGCTGGATCCGGTGTCACTGCGTGGGCTCTGGCTGCAGATTTGTCAGGGCCCTCAGGGAATGTGACACACGTCACAGAATATATGCATCTCACTTTGTATTCCACACGTATGGTATTAAAACCAACAATGTGAGTGGACATGTTTAGCGCATGCACTGCATTTGAAAGTGGTGTTGGAACGAATTCCTTTTCTCTTACAAATGGTTTGGGTTGTTGGGTCTACATTGGAAAATGTTGCAACGTTGAAATTTCCTTTTTTACCGAGGTTGTCGATTACTAAGGCTGTAAATAATGGCAACCAAATGGCCTAATTGTTGAGGCTTTCGGTTATTGGGTCCCATATGGAAATATTGATATAATTTGTGAGAACCAACCACAAGTGTCTTCATCATTGCAAAAAACATGCATCGTTTCCAACTTCTATGTCTACTTCGAAAATGGTACAAATTCAATGCAGCGTCAAATGAATCAACACTTCCCATGTTCATGTTATAAAATCGTAAAATGTCACATCTTGGTGTTTTGTTAGACCCTTTGGCTTTGACACGTTCTAATTCTTCTCTTGGAATTGAAGTGGACCCAACAGACGCCATAAAATTACATTTACCAGAATCAAACACTGAGAGTGCTGCAAAAGCGTTATCATTTCTAACAATAAAGCTTTGATCTCCTTTCTGTTTGAGATCCGGTTGCAAATAATTGGAAAATATTTCGGAAGACCGATTACTTTGGCAACTCAATACAAATTCAAAGTTGTTTTGTTTCAATTGCTCTGCTAATGTCAAACTTCCGTAAAATTGATCAGTAATTATTGTGTACTTTCTTGTGTTGTAATTTGGAAGTTTCTTGGCCAAATCCATAACATAATCAACTACGGTAGTACTAAGGTTATGCTCATTATTTTTCCCTCTGTATAACCAAAACCACACCGTCATCCCGAAACTGTCATATAGAATAAATAATTTTAAACCTGTTGCATGTGGTTTACCACGGACGTGTTGTCTTCCCTTAAACCGTCCTTTGAACAATATAATACATTCATCAACAACCCCAATATTACTTGGGATCCAACACTCATGAAGCAGGTTGCAAAACGTGTCTAATATCCAATCAATATCGTATGATATGCATTGATGAATTTCTCGAAAACGTTTCTTGGTCATTATGTTGCGAATTAATCCGTTCCCAAATAAATATACCTCTTTGTCCAATAATGTGCCAACTCCGGCATTTTGATAAGCCCCATTGTAAAAGTAATCGCAAAATAATAGTTCAATTCCTGCAAGGTAACCTCAGGTTTTTTCAATTCAGCACATTTTAAATTAGTTTTTTCTAAAATATGCTTTTCCACCTCAGCCGTGTATAATTGTTTGAATAATTCAAAACTATTTCCGTTTGTAACTTTGTTTGACGATTTGCCACATTCTTTGGTGATGTATGGATTACAGAATTCCGGTGCTTTTTTCCAGCCTTCAGGAATATAACCATGCTTGTCTTTGTTGTGGGAGAGGAGAGCTTTTTTGCTTGCAAATTTCTTGTTACATTCTTCAAACAATACTTTTTTTTCTTTTTTTTTTGATTTCTCAATTAATCTACTTGATGTCATTGATTTCTTTCTTTTCTTAGTTTCCTTGGTTTCGGCTGATGAATTATTGTTTGTAGAATTTTTCAATTTTTTAATGCTCCGTAGATTCCCTTCAAACTCATTTTGAGATCGTTTGGATTAAGTGATGCATAGAAGTTCATTATAGTTTGTTTCCTGATGTCCTAACATGATATTGTTTACATAATTCTTTTAAATTCTTGTTTGTGAGTTGTTGTAGCTCATCTTGTGACATTTTGATGATTTATTGTTCCGATGATTTTGTTTGTTGAGTTTCACCCGAAGGTAGTTGTTGTGATGATTGTGATAAAGTACTAGGTTCATTTTGTTGTGATGATTGTTGTGATGAGCAAAATGTGTTCGGTTAGGAGTGTGATAAGTGTTTCGCAGGGCTGTCATATTTGAAAGTTGTCCATGACCATTCTTATTAAGGGTTCTCATGGATTTCTGGTACAATGTTGCAAATGGCTGACTCAAAAACCCACACCTCAAAAATCATTTGAGTGTCAAATGATACAAGGATGGGTGTATCAATGTCTACTAATACGTGTGGTAGAATAAACTCGTAATTTCTAGATTTATTGTTGTCTTGGTGGATAAACGGTTGTTTTTGGCTTCTTAAAAATAAAAATGCAAAACAACAATTCCGAACTAGCTTTGGCATGTTATCCTTGAACGAAATGAATTCAAATGTGGAGCTAGACAACCAATCCACATCAACTCGCACCCACGAATTCTGATCTTCATCTTCTCTATGACTATCTTACCGATATAAAATTCACACCATCAGACATCAATAATCAGTAATTCGTATTTTCGAAGAAAATGCTATCAGAAGTATTGCTGTTCTAAATTTATTTGAAGAGATCATGTCATTTGACTTCCAAAATCCATCATCAAAGCAGTGATTTCTTTCCGAAAATGCAATCCGAAAATGATAAATCTTCCAAACCAAAAGATTTCACGTAAAAACAAGATGATGTCAAACAAATGTTCATAAAAAAGAGCTTGAATGGAACAGATCTATTGAACACTCCTATTCAATCTCTCTCGACAATACAACTAACAAAAAATTGAAATGATTGAAAATATTCTCAAACAGCGACCAAGATTCTCTCAAGCAGTAATAGCAGCTTTAAATTTTGCTCATCATCACCAAAATCCATCAAAAGCATTTAAAACGATAGAAATCCCTCTCCCGAGTCCGGAACACGGACCTTGAAAAGAAATAGAATGGTATTGATAAATAGTTTTTTGGATGATTTATTGGATCATACATTAACTTTTTTCAAAATAATTGTCATATTGGATGTTAAAGTATTGACGCCACCGCCATTAATCAAGAAATCACCATTAATCACCAAAAAAACATTATTTTTGGATTTGAAGAACACATTTCAAAAACACATAGAAGACTGGCAAGAATTTCTGAAAGGTATTGGAGAAAATCACTTCACCTATGCTTCAAATATGATTATCATACACCTCTCATCGTGCACGGATTGGAAAAACACCAATGCTTTTGAAAGATTCGCAAGCCATTCAAGATGTTACAATGTCCATCAAAAGAAAAGATTTGAACTCATTTCAACGTTTGGTTTGTATTTACAAAACTTTGGGACAACTTTTCAATAGCAAATATTGCTTAATTATTGACTTGAGCAGAGTTGACTGATGAATATCAAGCATTGCTTTATAGAGCTGTTGTTGCTTTTGCTCGATTGATGAAGATTGAACACTTGTCCAACTGTCAACAGGTGTATGTCTTGCATCCAAACTTTAAGACCAAGAATTCTGTCGATGATATTTTCAATATCATTCCAAATGAAACAAGACAGAGATCATGACACTCATCAAGATTTTATATGATTGGAAAAAATTGGAGAATGAAGAAGATTTCTGAAAGTTTGCACTAGAGTTGCGTCGTTGTCAAGATGTGACACTATTTTCATGATTACATTCAATTGGAGGACACCAGTGATCTCTCAGTGTATGTTGTTTGCAAAGAAAGAAGATAACAACGAAACGTAGATGATCATCAATATTCCATCTGGGTAAAAGATACTGAATGTGAAGAGTATGCGTTCATGGAACTAAAGTCACCAATAGTGTAATGTTGGGAACACTATATTGTGTTGAACGCAACAACATTGAGGTCAATGTTGCCAAAAGTCACTTGTTGTGAATAAAGTTGCGTGTGTTTCAAGCAACAATAAATCTATCAATTACTGGAATAAAAAAGTTTAGGGATTGTTTGATGGTGGTTGTTGCTGGAGTTGCTGCAATTAAGCAATAATTTAGCAACCATTGGAAACTATTTCGGGGAAAATAAAATAGTAACTTCATTCAGAATATGAAGTTCCTTAATTTGCGTCACAATTACTGGAAGAACTGAATTCAGTTACTGAGGATTCAAGATTGCCTTAACTAATCGATGGTCCAATTGGACAGGAAAATTGGAGACTATTTTTATGATTACATTTAATTGAAGGACATTATGACAGTGCAGGACTGCCTTGTTCGAATCTTTTCGACAACTCACATTTACTTTTTAACCTTACTTTAATATTTATTTTTTTTACATTAACGTGACCTTATCACCTCCTTTGATACTTGGTTTATTTATGATAATGTGAGTTGATCACAATCCATCTCTTCTTCATCACTTCCTTCTTACTTCCTTGCGTTTCTCTGGTTTTCTCCTTTTTTTCCTCTCAGCGGTTTTTGGAGTTTTTTGCCATCTGTACCCCTTTTCAAATGCTCGGGACTCTGCTCAATAAAATCTAATGACAAATTATGCAGAAAATCCCTCAAACACCAATCCTTTTCAAAGGATGTTTGGCGAGTTACAAACCCATTAGTTTTCCTCCAACTAATTCCAAACTCTGTTGTTTACAATGTAGAAACATCGTGAATCTTTTTATTTGCTTCAAGTAATTGTTGTCTGAGAATTTTGATTTGTTCTTGCAAGAATGGAATGCTTCTTGAGGTTTCTTCGTTGATTTTTTGATAAATGCATTTAGCTCTTTGAGCAAAAGTGAGTATGGACAGAGTTTCTGAAAGTGAGGTAACTGCAGGATTGACATTGGCAATAACACAGGTCTTAGAATTCCCTCCAAGAGAATCCTTAAGTAGAAATGTCAATTTTGCTATCTCGGTGTTGAACGTGGGGAGAAATTCCATTAGCCACATCGAAGAACAGATCGTACTATTATGTTCAAAGGAGAAAAGTGGGCTGTTACTCAAGGAAGTTGTTGAGGAGTGAAAAAGTGCTTTGAACGCGGTGCTATTCATTCCGCCTGCTTGAGGTGTCAAGGAGTCCCTCAACATGTAACTTGTAGCGTGAGGAACAAATCCTGATATAAAGTGTCTTTGGGACAAATTTCAATGCTGATGAAATAAAGTTTGATTAATGCTTGCTGGGTGATAATGGCTGTCTCTTCTGGTGATGAGCAAGGCCTCATGAATTGTTGTCCTAGCGGTCTTCTTCCAAAGACGACAAAACATCGACTTCGATTTGTTCCAACTTTCACTGGAAAAGCGGAGGATCCGCTCCAGCGATTCCTGGATTTTTATTTTTGGATCTGTCGAATCCTGAATACTTGAAGTTTCATGATCGGCTGAGGATGCGTGGGCTCTGGTTGCGGATTTGTCAGGCAAGATTTGTGTTGTTGAAAGGAAACCATACGCATGTAAATCCACCTGTAAGATTTCTGATGACGATAGAAACATGTTGACTGAAGTATTCCTCTTAGACTTGAAATCGAAACGGATAGAGTGGTGGAGTAATCAGAGCATGATCCATACGCTTATCCATGATTCATCATCATCTCTTCCCTCTCAATAGGCACAGCATAGCTACATGCAAAATATGAAGGTTGAGATCGAAATGAATTTCAAAGAAGATGTTGCTTTTTTTCACATTCTCCTTGCCCAGTCACTTATCAATTCAAAGGAGAAGACGAAAGGAACAGAAGAAGGAAAAACCATCATGAAGAAAGTCATCTACCAGAACGACGAAATCAAGGAATTGAAACTCAAGGACAATAGCTGAATTGAATCCAAGCCGAGAAGAAAAACTAACCAAAAGATGAACAACCTTCGCAACCACGTTGTTCATGTCGATGATAAAATAAGACAAGCACTTACAGTGGTAAAAGGATCAAGAAAAAAGCATCTCGCCCTTTATTGAGGTAATTTAATTAACTGGGATCGAAGGATTGGATCGTCCATTCAATCTAAAACAAGGATTTTTAATAAACTTTCATGATTCGACAACTGCTTTTCCATCCACAACTCTCTCCAACCTGTCGATTTCAAGTAGGTGTTTTGCTTTGTTGTGTCGAATCGGTCGCACTCTCGATACATTTCAAGAATTATTCTTAAGAAGCATGTTCAAGAAATGACAGTCGTTTGTTGAATTGTTTGTCTTCAATGATTATGGTCTTTTTGGTGTTTGTTTTCTTCGGGACGGAACAAGTCATCCGGATGTAAAGTGCCCTTGGGACAATGCTGATGAAATAAAGTTTGATTAATGCTTGCTGGGTGATAATGGCTGTCTCTTCTGGTGATGAGCAAGGCCTCATGACTTGTTGTACATACGGTCTTCTTCCAAAGACAACAAAACATCGACTTCGATTTGTTGTGACAAACAGAGAACGTCACAACACAAAACAACATTGTTTCCTCCGAAAGTTGGAACATTCGTTCAACAGGTACGTCATTGTTTGTGTTCCAAACATATACTCATCTACAAATGTCAGGAATATATATATACTCTACACTTCATTGTCAGGAGAGAATTGTGTCCACCGTAATTTATTGAAAAAGAATCATATTTCATGTTTTCGCTGGACCTCTCTGATGAATGACTTGTATTTCAAGTTTGATCTCTTGATGACCCCAATATCTGTCACAGCATTCACCCTTCACAGGGTGGTGATTAAATTTTTATGGAATGACAAAATTTTGTCTCAGCTTTCGGTGAAGCGAATTAAGGATACCCTTAATAATTACATAAATGAAATTCCTATTGTCAAAAAGAACAGCTGTTTTTCTAGAACTTGTGTCTCTCTTAGATTCCTGTACAACCTTTCGCTGTCACGTTGTGTATTGAATACTAAACTAATAAAAGCTCAAAAAAAGGAAGGTGGAAGTTTATGACATTAACGATTTCAAACGAGCCTTTGGGCTTTTTTTTCAACGTCAAAATTTTTAATACCCACTTTTTAATTAAGAGAGACAAGCAACAAAGATCATGTCAAACAGCTTCACATTTTTGGGCCGGTTTTGAATTCACATAACGGGTGTGGCCATCCACTCACAACTATAAATAGATCCGAATTTAACAAAACCACCAACACAAAGAAAAATGACATCTGTAAGCAAACGATTGCTTGGTTGTACATAAGTGGTGACAGTGGTTGCGATATTACTCGCACACTTTACACTCAGCAAAGAGATTCGCTTGAAGGACTTGAAAAAACTCTCTCGCCCAATTAAGAAAGCCTGTTATTCGTATGACGGTATCGGAGTGAATCCAAAACATCCAACATTTGGTTCAACAGGTCAATCCTTCCCAAGATTGACTGCTGCAGCTTACACAGACGGTGTGAGGGTTCCTCCACGTCAAAAACATTCTGCAAGAGAACTCAGTAACGTGTTTTGTAAACAAGAGAAGTGTGATAATAGCAACAAGTTTGGTGTTAGTGCCATGTTCTATGCTTTTGCTCAATTCATGTTGCTTGGTCACCCCTTAGCAACTATCATGCGCAGTTTTTCTTGCTGTTGGGCGAAATTTAACTTGTAAATTTTTTTGGTTTGGGGTTGCATCCAGGGTGTTGGAATTTTCGCGCAATTTTTGGCAAGTTTTTTCGCGCCTGACGTTGCTAAGGGTTCCAGAAAGTAGATACTACAAGTACCATCCACTCTGTAAAGAAATCTCCACCAAAGACTGTAGTAGGAATTTTTGAGACATGACCATGATATTGACGCCATGGGTATAGGAAGAAACAGTGAAACGTTCCCAATTCCTGTCTAGTGCTGATGAACCAATAAACAATTTAATTTTTATGGCAAGTTGGCAAGTCTCGATGACAGTGGTTATGTCATCATAAATATTAATTTAATCACGCGTGAAACTGGTACAAATGTGTCTTTGGTTGAATTGACCTTGTTTTGTTTCAATGATTTACTTCGCTTCACAGTTAATAAGCTGAGACAAATTTTGGAATGGTCGGTCATTCCAAAAAAAATTTTGGCACGGCAATTCATGCGACAAATTTTGGCATATAACATCCTTACAAGTTGAAATTTAATCCTGATATCAATGTAACACCATCGAATGAATTTTCCACCGCTGCTTACAGGTAAGTACTAAGATTTGAATAATTTCGTGGTAAAAGGAGACTTCACAACAAATTGGGACCATTTTCACAAATTAAATGAATAGATTCGGTCACTCACTCGTGTCCTGTCAGCTTCATAGAATCGATGACAAGGGTAATGAAAAGGATCCTATTGAATTTAAGGATGCATTCAACGCTTTTAGAAGACTTACCAACACTCAAGGCGAACTCGAGATGATTACCAGAGGTTTGTGTATCCAGCCGTCACAAAATCTTGATGAAAAGATTGCTGATGGGCTTAGAGATTTCTTGTTTGGTCCCAACGTTCGTTTGGATCTAGCTGCGAATGACATTCAACGAGGACGTGATGCAGGTCTTCCATCCTTCAACGACATGAGAAAGAGTTTAGGCCTCCAGCCACTCACAGCCTCCGACATGACATCCAATGCTTAACTCCGTGAAAAGCTTATCAAATATTTTGGAGAGGATTTGAAGGATCTCGATCCATGGTTGGGTATGCTTATGGAGCCAAAGAAAGGAAATTCTCAACTCGGAAGCTTGGGCACCAAGATTATTAAGGATCAATTTGAAGCATTTGTGAAGGGAGACCCATGTTTCTACTCTCACCAAAGACAAGCATGGATGAAGAAAGTCAGAAAAGCCGTTGACCGTGTAACACTTTCGGATATCATTGCTGCCAATACCAAAATCTCAAGAAATGACAAGGCCCTCTCGAGATCTGCTTTTGAAAACAAGATTTAAGAGGATCCATCAACAACATTCTTGTAAATAACGAAGAAAAAGAAGGAGAGAAGCACTCTCCAAAAACAACATCTTCACCATTCATTAAATACAATAAATTCAATAATTCAATTCAAAATTGTTGAGTTGGAAATTGAGGACGACATTCTTGGACTTTTAGGTCATTCTCCTGACTCTTGTGAGAGCATTCCACAACATCGAACTCGCTCAATTGAAATATTAATACTGCGAATTTTCAATCGTCGTTCTACATTCGTTTTTCTTTGATTTTACAAAAAATTAATTGAGGTACATGTACACCGAATTTAAGTTGGGATTCTAACTAAGCACACAAGGTTCTGAGTCATCAATCTTGTCAGAGTATTTGTGGCATTTGCCAACGAAAAGGGCTCACAGTACTTGGATTTCAGGCCAATTCCTTTCAATAGGTGGGACGTGCCTTTTCGCATCACTATCTGGGAGTAGGAAACCGGAGTGATGGACGAGAAAATTGGGCGATGCAATTAAAAAAAAAATACAAATGGTACTATGCAAGGATGTGTTGCGACTCGTCGCTTCTTATATTGACATGGAGTCTCTATCATCGTTTCGGTTGGTGTGTAGAGAATGGAATGCAAGTATTGAAAACGAGTGGGAAGTGGTTGTAACCAACAAGTCTGCTTTACATGATTCCAATGCGCAATCATCCGAATCGGAAAACATATTCAATCCCTCTCCCCAAAATTCTACCAATCTTCATCTGTATCGGAATGAGTTTTGGATGGATAAATTGAAAACTTACTTTTGGAAATATTTGGAATATTTACATCCTGTGCAAGAAGGAGAGCGAGTATTTGGACAAGCACTGAGCCTAGAACAGAGATTTAATGTGTTTGTCCTGAAAGAACGATATCGAATACAAAGACATGTAAAACGATTAGAAAATAAGAAGAAAAAACTTGCTTCACAAGGTGATTTCATCTATTGTATTCGACCAATCATCAAAGCTCAAAAAGAACGTGCACTTGGAAGATTTAAATACATGCTTCTTGTGCACAATGATGTCTGTAATTATTTATTGAAATTAGCATGTGATGAGATTGATAATGCATTGGAGGATAACATAATCAAGCTATTGGAATGGTTTGTCAAAGACCTCAAGTCTGAAGATTTACTGATAAGATCATTCAAAGCCATGAAAAAAAACACTGTTGATACCAACACACTTGACAAGTACATTACCACACATCATGACAATGTATCGAACACATTTTTCGACCATATTGAATGCTTTTCTTTTGAACAGTTTAAGGAACTTGCACATCACATTAAAGAGTCTCCCAAAACAGAATTGATACGAACGAACGTGATTATACATTTATTTAAACAGGTTCTTTTGACAGACGACGTACAAAATATTGACATTCTCACAGAAATTCTTGAAAGAAAATTGGGAAAGCCTTTATTTCATCAAACTCTGTTTAACAATTTCTTAAACTCATTCGATGACTCCAAGCATCCGATTTCTGTGTTTTGGGACAAACACAAACTTTTACTTTACATGGAAAAGAAATTTGATGTATCAATTGGAGCATCATATTTAACACAAATTCTCTCTTTCAGTGAAGCAATGAAACCTGACTCTAATATTGTAGAAGAATTAATTAGAAAACATTATCAACAAGATTTTAAAAAGATTGAAACATTCCTTCATTTCACTCTTGCGAGATCATTTCGGAAGGAACGCTTTCTACGTTTGATACCAAAACCCAAATTATTTCTATATGAGATTTTGGAATATTTAGTCTTGACCTACAACTTGAATTTATTCAACTATGCTCCCTCTGATACTTGTATACATTACGAATCGAACCTAGTAGAGTATTTCCTTCAACGTTCTTTTTCTCAAGTTCAAGTGGACTGGGACATGTTGCTGTTCATTATGAAAAAGCAAATCGAGAAGAATAATCATGTCGATTTGTATTCTTATTTTGAGGTTGAAACTATTGGCTCGAAAAGTGTTGAAAAACTCAATTTGGCAAGCTTGAAAAATTCAAAAAGTCTTCAAAGTCAGGTGTTGGCTCGACTTGGACGCAGTGTTTGGGCCAAGTCACGTGATGTCTATGCAGAGATTGAATTTTTCGAACAAAAAACCAATCTCATACCAAATCTTGAAGAAAAAATTGAAATTGAAGTGGAAAAGCAAAGACAAATAATAGAGATGCAGAGGTATCGGACAGCATGGAGATAAAAGTAAACACCAGTCACTCGACCACACGTATATATGAAATTTTTGTGCCCAAATATGAAAATCAAGTCCCCAAATACCTGACGGCTTGAGACAGGAGATGGTTCGAATTTCTCGTCACCAACAACGGATTCAGGCTTTAACTCTCATGAATGACACGTGTGTTTCTTGAGGTACACCATATCTATCACAGGACTCACTCTTCACATTAAATACCATGGTGGTAATCATGGAAATATACCAATGTCACAAAATATGCTATGGGTGATGTAAGTAACAAGCTCTTACATTATCTTGAATAGCTCTAGTAATATACAGTACAAGGTAATTTTTAGAGTACAGAGAATTTCTGTATGAGTATCCATCTAAATTACCAAAAAGGAATAGAATGTATTATACAGAGGTGTGAAATGGGTTGAAATGGAGGAGATGTCGTAATGCATGGCTGCATCAATATCCTCTTCTCATGAACGAAACAAGAATCCATGAGTCAACCCTTAATTTACAATTGTCATTGTTGAAAACACTTTTGATATCCAAGTTCAAGCGTAATGATAATGCCTTCATGACGATCATATTTTGCAAAGAAACATTTCCATAAACTCATTCCGTTCGTGCCTAACGCTTGCTGTAGCGACTGGTTCATTGGAAGATCAACAATGTCTCAATACATGTATCGAAGAAATGTTCCAGACGAATTTATTCGGCAAAATTTCAGGCAAAATAAATTCAGGCAACCCATGTACTGGCAGTATTGACTCCCAACGCATCCAAAATCGATCTTTAAAAACCACTCCTTAGTTGATCGAATGATTTCGAGAGTTGGTGGGTAGGTTGTTTTGCGTTTAGGATTTCGAGTTCAGCTGTTATAGGAGTATTTTGGAGTTAGTTTGAGTTAGTTCATTGTCAGAGAATGAGTTTCGATTCAAACTAACACGAATGAATGACACGAGATCTGAATTCCAAAATACTTGAGAAATGGTTTCCATCCAAGTCTGCTGCCAGCAATTACAATTCCACTTTTTCAACTCTCGAAAAAAAATTCGTAAAAATGACAATCGATGAAGAAGCAGATCAGGTCAATACTCATCCCGAAAGAGAACAAACCAGCAAGAAAATCGAACAACGAGAAGTACATTTGGCAAGGAAAAGGGAAAAGTATTGTCGATTTAAAACATCATCATCCCACTTTGTTTCCAATATTCATCGTGATGATGATCATCCAGTAGTCAAGCTGAGTCAAGAACAATTTTCAGAAAATATTCAATCATCGGACAATTGTACTCTTTCCTATGAATTGAGAAGAAAGAGCATTCCAAATTCAGAAATGATTTTAAACTTTCCTCGATTATCTCAAAGTTTGATTTTGGGATGTAATAGTTTTTTAACAATTTTGAGAACGGCTGTGTTGTTCAGAAAGATTTTATCTGAACCAAATCCTCCAATCACTCCAGTCATAGAATCAGGTTTGTTTTGGAACATTGTGTTGCATTGCTGTAGTAATATTAATAATCACATTCATAATCCTTGTTTCATGCCTATATGACCAAATATGAATAATGAACAATTACTCACAATTTGATGATGATGTGACTTTACAGGAGCGACCATGCACTTTGCGAAATATTTGAAATTTTCTGAACTTGAAAAATATTTTGACATTGATGTTGGTAATCATGATGAGAACATTTTTGCTGAGACCAAACTTGAAAAAAGACGTCAAAAAGTTGACTTGCAAAAAATATATGCTTTACAATTTGAAGCTGTATGTTTCATTGTGTCTTGAATTCACAGATCGATGTTTCACCTCTTGAATTCGCATACCGTTCATAATTTTTCCACACACAACAGATTTGGGCAATCACAAATGTTGCATCAGGAACTTCAGAACACACCAAACACATTGTTGACATTGGATGTATACCGTCACTTGTTCAATTACTGGAAACATATAACAATGATTACATATTGGAACAGTGTTGTTGGGCATTGGGAAATATTGCAGGAGATTCAGCCAACATGAGAGACTTTCTATTGATGAATGGTGCCCTGCGAAATATTGTAAATTTGGTGTCTATGAGCCAAAGCTTATCTGTTGTAAGATGCGGTAAGTTTTCAACAGAGATGCCATATTTACATTTTATCAAATATATCAGCGGCATGGGCAATTTCAAACTTAGTAAGGGGAAATCCTAAACCCTCAGAATACTATGTTCTGGAAGCTCTTCCTGCACTGAGTCGATTGATATTCTCAACTGACAATGAAGTCCTTTCTGATACAGCGTAAGTACTACTATGCTTTGACAATAATTTTAAACAACAATAATACTTTATTTGATTTTTCTTTCCAACCATTTTTAAGGTGGGCTCTTTCTTATGTGACGGATGGAGCCAATGATCGAATTCAAGCTGTTATTGACAGTAATTGTGTGAAACAAGTGATCACACTGCTCTCTCATGACTCACACTCAGTAGTGGCACCAGCATTAAGGTAAGTCATGAACATAAGGTAACCAAATCATATCTGGTTACAACTCCATGAACGATAACTTTGATAACAATAGAATCATTGGTAATATTGCCTCTGGTGATGATGTCCAAACAGAATATTTAGTTTCAATGGGTATTTTACCAATTATCCACACTCTCCTTGTTCATTCTAAAAAATCAATTCGAAAAGAAGCTGTGTGGACAATATCAAATATTTGTGCTGGTTCCCCAGAACAAATTCAAGCTGCGATTGATGCTGGATTGATTCTAAAGATTATTGAAAGAATGGAACAAGAAAACTTTGACGTTAAAAAAGAAGCCATGTGGACACTTTCCAATTATTGTTGTGGAGCTAATTTCAAGCAACTTGAATATATCATTGAATGTGGAGTCATTTCAAAATTTTGTGATGCGTTGAATTCTTCTGATCACAAGTATATTCTTGTTGCACTCGAAGGTTTAGATTCGTTAATGACTCGATATAAAGAAGGACGTGGAAATGTGGATCTCATCATTAAGCAAATTGAAACCAACAATGGAAGTCAAAAAATTGAACAATTGATTGGACATAGAAACAAGGATATATCTGCACTTGCAACAGAGTTGTTACAAATGTTGGAGGACACTGGTGGAAAAGAAGAGGATGATGAACAATACCATTTTGGTTTGGGTGGGATGTTCTAAACCAACACCAAAATTACATGCCATAATCGACGACTTGAATCAAAACAAAATTCAAATCCATTCAACACTTCCTTGAAAGTTTTTGTCAATGGGTGTAGTATGTTCACTTCTGGTTTCTTCAAAGAAAATTCGTTTGTTAATTAAACTAGATGAATTAATGGTGCTATTCAATTTACTTTCTTTCGTTTTCAGATCAAACACATCAAATACAATCCATAAATCTCTAATTAATTCTTGAATAGCAACTGACATGGACTGCTGAGAAGGAAGTTCCTGTTGAAATCATAATTGAACTTGGGAATCGATTAGGAATGGATGTTTTTGTTCCTGCAAAAGACAATGATCATGGTATCCTGCAAATGGCCTTGGCTCCCACAATGGAAATTGAATAATAAACATCGACTTCTATTTATCACTTCCAACATGAGGTTCATATCTTGTCGTTGTATAATGAAAGTGGTCCGAAATTTCATAGCTTTCAATTGTTATCCCAAGTTCATCCACGAACTGACACATGAACTGTAACTTTGAGTTTTCGTGATCTTACTACAATTCAAAACTCCAAAAAAGAAATATCGTCCTCGATCTTCACTAATGCTTAAATTGGAAGTTTGCTATTTTCAACGAGTGCAACTGAAAGTGAGTAAACAGAATAAAATGTGAACTGTTTGAACAACATTTTCCACTCAAACAAAAACAATTAAATCTAATCGAGAATACAATTAACATCATGAACTCCAAGATCATGCATAGAATCATTCTTGCAAGTGCAGCTCTATTACTCGTTTTGATATTATCTGCCGTAGCTGTCAAATGTAATGAACAAGAAGGTTCTGCACAAACCACACTCACCACTCATCAAAGCTATCGTCCAAAGTGTAAAAAATTCTATTGTCACAAATGGTGTAAATTTGGTTTTTTGAGAGATCGTTGTGGTTGTCAAAAGGGTTGTCGTTGCAGACATAGACCATGCAGAAAATTCCATTGCCATAAATGGTGTAAATATGGTTACAAGAGAAATCGATGGGGATGTCCAATCTGCTATTGCCATAAAAGACGATGTAAATCTTGGCTAACAATTTGGCATCACCATCATCATTAAGTGTTCAAGCTAAATTGTCCTATTCCAATGAATCGTGGTGGAATGATTTGTAAATATATAAATAGATGTAAATGCTGAAATTGCTATCGGTACTATTATTCTGTTAATAGTTTTTTCATATATAATCCATCTCAAAATGTTTTGAAAACACTTCTGTAAGAACAAATGCCAATATGACTTTGAAAAGGTTGGAAAAACCTTCTCTTGGACATGCTGGCTAAATATCACATCCAACAATTCCAATCAGTCTACGTTCCTGAACTGGGAGTTTAAAAGTTTCTGATTTAGTGAAAAAAAAATGATTCATGGAAGATCACATCGCGTGCCTTCAGCCAATGACGAAACAACACCTTCATTGAAATTAGATGCATGTGATCTGTTGGCTCATCGGGATTTGTGTTGTAAAATTAATCAATTTATTCATGATGAAAAGGACTCGATTCAACATCATCCCTACTCGAAATATCTCCAAAACTCAAATTATTTTCAACACAATTCATTATTCATACAATTACTTCAAAAACAACGAACCACTTCTCAAGATCTTGTAAAACTTGTCTTTGCAAAAGAAGAATTTATTCGACGCTTGAAAGAAAAGGGCAAGAATCGAGAGGAAAGAATGGACTCCATGCAGTTGGCTCGATTTTTAGAACAACATCCATTGCCATGTAATCATGACAAGACATTCATGTTGGAAGCCATCATTGATTGTCATCAATGTTATTTATTTCAATACGCTTCAAGAAAATTACAAAATGATCGAGAATTTGTTTTGAAAATTGTTTCACATTTTGGACCTTCCTTACAATTTGTTTCTGATGCGTTGAGAAATGATCGTGAAATAGCTTTGGCAGCAATTTCTGAAAGACCTTATGCTTTTAAATTTGCATCCCAAGAATGGAAGAATGATCGTGAAATAGTTCGAGCTGCTCTAACTGGGAAAGGTTCTTGTATCATTTCTCTTGTGGAATGTGATGAATCGATTCAACGAGATGAGGAGATTATGCAACTAGCAGTCAAAAGAAATGGAAATTCTTTATCCAGTGCGTTACATTGTATTAAAAGTTCCTTTCCAGTCGTATTTCAAGCAGTTTCACAGAACGGATTGGCACTCCAATATGCATCCTTGGAATTACGAAATGATCGAGAAATTGTATTGCAAGCGGTTTCACAGAATGGCTTTGCATTGGAACATGCTTCACACGAGTTACGAAATGATCGAGAGATTATTATGAAAGCTCTGTCGTGGAATGGAACTCTTTTGGAGTTGGCATCAGAGGAATTACAATCAGATTTTGATATAGTCATGCATGCTGTGAAACAAAATGGTCATGCATTGCAATATGCCAGCGAGTCTTTGAGAAATGATGAACGATTGAAAACGAAGCATCCAAACATGTGGGACAGTCTCTGACATTTGTGTATGACACTCCTTCACTTTGGGATTAATATTGGTTCATGGAATCATGATCTGTAGTTTATCATTTTAATGATTTCACATTTCTCAGCATTTCTATAATTTCACATTTCACAGTCATCCAAATATAGTAGTGTCATGGGACGAGACATTCGATCACTTGGAAAACCATATATATATATTACTGACATATTTTATACCATGGATTGCTTCCTTGTTGTTTACACTTGCCACATAATTTTCCAGCACAATCATTGTCATCATTGCACATTTGCATTCCTCCACAATTACACTGCGACATGTTACAATGATTATTTCTACAATTATTGGAAGGACATTTCAATTTTGGATTATTATACGCATCACAACTCAAAATACCACAAAATCTTTCTGGCAACATTCCTTCAAAATGATTACTTCCAACAGCAAATCCATTCAAATACTCCAATTCAGAATATTCTTTAGGAATTTGTCCATACAAATTATTGAACCCCAAATCCAAAATCATTAAATCTTTCAATACAGAAACACCCGAAGGTAATAATCCTGTTAAATTATTATTCACCAATGCAATGGAAAGAACAGATTCATCCTTGACACATCTCACTCCTCTCCATGAACAATAATTTGTTTCATCTTTGGTATCCAATGTGTTCCAACCCGTGTTATTTCTCCAATAAGGACCTCCAGTCGAAAAGTAAAAGGAACGAAGGAAATTTCGTTGATCGGTCCAACCCGGCTGTTTGGATTCCTTTTTTAAAGGAATGTGATGAATGTGTTTGTTATTGTTGGACAGAATGGAAGGAGTTGTTGCTGCTGTGGAATAGGTGACTGCGGAGATGAGAAGCATCATCCCAACCAACAACAACCATGGTGTTGGATGTGAAATGGAATCATGCACCATGTTATGATTTTTTTTTGATTACAAAGAACTTTGGGAAAGGTTACAAAAGGACTTGGATTTTAATGAAAACTGGTTTCAGTGTGCACCTAGGAGGTTTTCCAAGTTATTGGATTGGAGAACAAGCTTTCCAAGTTATTTGGAGGCAACAGGGTTCAACAAGTTCATCATAAATAGAAATTCCCATTTCGTTGTTACACCTACAACTATTTCATGTACAGAAATTTGAGAGGTTTTTCAATCGTCCTCCAAAATTCCAAGTTACCGCCAAAAAAAAATGATGTCTAAATTCAATCCCAACAGTCATCGGTTAATGATGAATCCTGCCTTTTTTCAATCCTCGAATCAACAACCACCAATTTCATCATCAACGGCACTACGAGATATTCCAGTTGAAATTGTGGAGAGTAAACGACCATCTACAGCTTCCGCGGTAATGAAAGCTTCATCGTATCAACCTCAATCAACAAGTCTGCGGAATCATCAAACTAGAAATTTTGTATCTCAACAACAGCAACATCAAAATGTTCGTAGTAGGATGATGGTACCAGCAGCTCAAAATGCTGTGGATGAAGACGAAGAAAATGCCACGGAGGAAGAAGTGCCCTCATCATTGTATGAAATGACACGATACCTGAATAAGAAACATTCAAATGTTGATGAGTCGGTCAATGAAGAGGAAAATTTTGTAGTACAAAATACGAAATTATTTAAGCCTGTCATTAAACAAAGAATGAACGATTTTGATGAAACTCCTATTCATGTAAAATATAATAATTACCTCCAGGAACAAGAAGACGTGGATCAACAACACTCGTATCAAGACGACGATACACCAACCTCCATTCATGAATCTCCAATTAAGGCAAGGCCTCCACCTCGATCGGGAGCCAAACATCGGAGAACTCTTTCATCAAGAATTTTACCAAACAATAATTTTAATCAAAGACGAGACAATGATTCATCTTCAGATTCTGCATCACCTCCTCATTTGCCATCACAATCAAGACAGTATCGATCGCCGATTGCTGAAGAAGAAACAGAGGAGCAAGAGGCATCTCCAATTGTGTACGATAAAAAACCACAGCGAAAACAAGCCCGGTACCCTAAGAAATTACTTGAAAAAGCAACTTCAGAAATTGTTGAAGATGAAGAAGTTCAGCAAGATGACAGCAGTGAAAACTTTGTTTTTTCAAAGAAACAACACGATTCTGAAAATGAAGAGAATGATTACCAATCGCAAAAACAAACCCTGAGTAGAAACAGATCAGCTCCTTCATCGTCATCTCTCAAAGAAATGAAACGATTGCAAGAGGAAAATGTACGTCTACAAGGCGAGATCAATGAGCTTAAACGAGACAAAAATGAAATGATCAAGATTCACAATGACAAAATTCATGGTCTTACTGATAGACACAATTTGGATTTACAATCTCAGCAACAACGAATGGAAAAAATCATGGACGAAAAAGATTCTAAAATTGAAGAACTTCAACGAGAAAATGAAAGACTCAAGTCTGAGATTGGGCTGGTAGATAAAAGCAAGGATGGTCAAGACACAAACAAATTACTTCAGGAGCTTGAGCAAAAGAGAAAATCCGTTCAACAATTTGAACATGAAAAATTAATGCTTCACGACGAAATTGAGCGGTTAAAACATCTTCTTTCTGAAGCAACAAGACAATCAAAAGAAATGGAAACCAAACTCAGAAATAAGGAAGACAATTTAAATGGTCTCAGTAATAAGGTTGAAACACAAGAACGAGAAATTAAATCCTTGAAAGAAAAGGAAATGAAAGTGATCGAGGAACGGGAAAAAGCATTCGCCATGTTCACAGAAAGCGACCGAAATAATCAACAATTACAAGAAAAATTACGCAATTTGGAGCATCAATCAAAACAAATCCTTCGTGAAAATGAAAGCATCACACAACGACATAATACCTTAGATACAATTCGTATTCAGCTCGAAAAGACAAATGACCAACTTAGAGCTCGTGTGCAAACTTTAGAGGAAGAAATATCTCGAATCTCACACAATCAAAACATGTACAATCAGGAGAGAGAACAATCCATTTTCAATCAACAACAACAACTTCAACAAGAATTAGACATGTCAAGACGAGAAATTGCAAATTTGCGAGAAACAATAACCATCCTTAAAAACGAAAAGGCTCTTCTTGCATCACAACAGCAACAACCGTATGCAAGCTACAACAATTTCAGTAATGCATCTTCTCAACCAATGAATCCCATTCCTCCTTCACGTCCTCATCTCTCCCTAGACACATTCAATACACAGCCCTCATCCTATGACAATTCAAACTACACACCCAGCAATGGGGCTTACAATAGCTCAAACCTAGCGCCTCCTTCTTCGTATAACAGGAAAAACACCAACATTTCATATGCAACAACCTCTAACTTTACCTCTAACAATTTTAACTCCCATGTCAACACTGTTCCTTCCTACCCAACCTCGAAAGACTATTTGCAGCAGGGCGTTCCTGATACCTCGTCACAAGCTCAAACTCCTGCTAACAGCACTCAAAAAGGATATTCATCGAATACTACAAAAACGACATCGAACTATACAACAGGAGCCTCAAACCACAAACCATCTGAGGTAACACCATCTTCAAAATCGTCACAAGACACTCCTTTTACCCTTTCCATGCTTAACAGCAAGCACGAAAGCCCAAAAGAGCGACAAGCTAACCGAAACAAGATTATGGGAACTTCATACACCTTGAAACCGTTTGCTGTGGATGATGCTCCTAAAAATCAGGTTGCTGCAGAAATCGATGACAAGCTCATGCAACTGGCATTGGAAAAAACAAAGCTCGAAGGTGACATGCAAAAATTGCTTTCAATGGGCATTAAAAGTATTGCTTCTAAAAAGCAGAAAATGAGCTTGGAGTCGAGATTAGAGGAGATTGAAAAAGAAACGTCACAATTGAAAATGAGATTAAGAAGTGGTAAATTCTAGCAATAAAGATTTTCAATTAGACAAATTAATTTAGGTAAATTTCATGTAATTTGTACCGAAGAATTCGAAGATAAGCACTAATTATGTGAACGAAATCAAAATAGCACTTTATATAATATATTCTCCAACTTGTCTATTTCCTTTCGAGTACGATCGGTTATGTACCGTCTTTGTGTCATGGAAACGTTTTGTGAAGGAAGTCCATAATTGTGCCGAGTTACCACTTTGCATTTCTCTAAAGGATGAAACAGATGACAGTGTTGTAGTATCCTCAACTTTTTCTGTCTTAAAAGCTTCATCAATATCCTTCTCAGAGTGAATCATGACATCATTGGATGATTGAACTGAGTCCTTTTTAAGTTTCTTCAGCTTGGATTCTTGTCTCTTCTCCCTGAGTTTTGGTAGTATATTTTCAAATTCCTCTCGATGTTTCAACAATCTCTTACCCAACTTGGCAACGTTAATTGTATCCTCAACAGCTCTCTTTTTTTTAAGAAGAGATCGCAAAAGGTCACCCTTGTGTTGTCTCAATCCCTTTCTCTTGGTGAGACTGAGAATTTTCTTTTTCCTCAAGAATTTTGGTTTTTGTTTTTCTGTTTTTTCCTCCGTACTCTTTTCTTCATTCTCTTCTGAAGAAGATGTCTCCACACTTTGAGAGGAGGTGGCACTTGATGATGTGACATCGTCTTGTCTATTTGTGAGTTGGTTCAACACATTGTCCAATTGGTTAAAAAGCTTTGACTCTCCCTTCGAAGCCATTTTAAGAGCCTTCTTATATTCGTTGAGTGAAGGATTGTAGGATTGACCAGAAATTGGGTTATAGAATGCCTTCTTCACCTCTTGTACAATTTCTTGTGGTGGTTCCGATGCTTTTCTTCGTTTTGTGTTGTCTGTTCCTTCCCAAAAGTCTGTTAATGAATCCGAAGCCATTCTCTCACTGTTCAATCTCTTTAGTGCATTGTTCGTTGTGAAAGTAATGGGTTTTTGAAGATGTTTCTTCACTTTCTTTTTTGGAATGGTCTTGGTCTCTGATGATCCAGATGATGATGACTCTCCTTTTGTTTCATCAAATTCCTTCTTCTTTGGTGTAGTTGCTTTCGGAGTGAATGATAATTGAAATTTAGCCTCATCCTCTTTGTTTAATTTACTCAAATCATCACGGAATTCTCTCTTCATCATTTCTCTCTTGAGTTTCAACCGAGCATCATAGGAGAGTGGATTTTCAGTAATTTCTCTCTCCAATCTCAATTCCTCTTCATTGGTAATGGATGAAAAACTCTCTTCGGGTTGTTTGGTAAATCCTGGTTTAGGCTTGAGCGGTTGGGTGAGCTCGGGAAAGTGTTTTTTCAGTTTTCTCAATTTACCAATGGTATCCACAGCCTTGGTGGTATTCTTCTTTTTCCTACGGAGTCTATCTGCTCGGGTCACCATGATGTTATTGAAATATAAAGGTGATGATGAAAAATTGGGCTGATGATGAAGTATGGCACAATTTTTTTTTGATTCAAATAATTTTTGGACTCTTTGTTGAGCCATGGGGAGGAACAACCTTAAAGTATGAGGATTGTTGCGCATGATTGTTTTCAGCTGTTGATCCTTCAATACTGCATGCTGCTTTATACTTATGTTCATCTTAATACTTGTTCCTTTAGGAAGTTTTTGTAAATGAACCACAAAACTGTAACTCGTTCGCATTAGGTGGATTTCCTTTTGGTCCTTCTTTCATAATTTGGAAGCGGATAAGAAACTTGAAAAAATTGTCTTTGCGCCCAAGCCTTGTTATAACCAGGAGCTGAGCACAGCGTTGCAGTCAAGCCAAAATTTTCGGGTTGTATAGTTCTATAAATAAATGAGCGGTGAAGCTTTTGGCTTGTTTTCTTCAGCAATGAAGGAAAAAAAGTCCTCAAAATCGAAATCAAGAGCATCGTCGTTTGCCAACGTGATGTTAGAGATTGAGCCTTTGATCAAGGTTCAACCAGCAGATGATGGTACGCTCAGTGATTTCATAAACGAATTCAAACAAGCCGATGAGTTGCCTCAAGGCCTTTCTAGCAAAACCAAGGCTTTCCATGTCTTTGAGCCAGAATACTACATCAATCGTGTCAAGGGTATTGAATCCGAGATGGTTGATGCTATCCGGCGAAGAATGGTGCCTGATGCCAAGCGAAAAATTACTCAACACGTTAACACATATAATGTGCTATCTTGTGATAAATTGGAGTGGAAGGTTTTAATTGCAAAGCTTGAAAAATCAGCTGCTCCAGAATCAAAGAAAGTATTGTCATATCGTGTTCGTGATAGAGGATTGGAAGCTGGTAGTACAAGAAAGGGAAAGAAGTATGAGGTTTCCTGGCAAAACAATTCACCTAATACCTTTCTGCCTGTACTCGATAATGATAGGTATTGGTGGGGCTACGCTTGGGAGCACATGTCTTTGAAATGGCGAGCAATGGTAAATAATTTAACTCTTGTTTACCTCCCCGAAAAACACAAAATAAGAATACAATTTTCGTACACCATATGGCATTACAGATTTGTAGAAATAATAAATAAAGATCGCTGGATGAAGCGTTTGTAAATTAAATTGTTCATTATTGTTTTGAAATATAAAAATTGAATAACAAAAATAATGCCCAAAGAGAAATCAACCCCTTCAAAAGCAAAACAACATCCAGCGTGCACAAGATGTGCTCATGATAAAAAACGGTGTTCAAAAGATGAGCCTAAATGCTCACGTTGCATGCACATGAAATCGGAGTGTGTTTATCCTGAGCAAAAGACACCAAAAAGAAGTCAAAAGAAAAACTCAAATTCATCAATTCCCATATCTCTTCCAGTCATTTATGGCCCGGAGTCAGCACCAATGTCTCAAGACATAGACGAATATATGGACATTTTAGATGATGTTTTTGGCGATGATGATCAATCTGAGCCAACAACATTGATCTCTCCTCCATTTCCAACTCTCCCTAATCCCTTAGACAATGCATCTGGTGCCTCACAATCTGAGCCAACAACATTGATCTCTCCTCCGACACTGCCTCCATTTCCAACTCTCCCTAATCCCTTAGACAATGCATCTGGTGCCTCACAATCTGAGCCAACAACATTGATCTCTCCTCCGGCACTGCCTCCATTTCCAACTCTCCCTAATCCCTTAGACAATGCATCTGGTGCCTCAGAACAAGAATTTTCTCCCATTCCTGTGTTTTCAAAAATAACAGCTTGCTTGAACTGTAGAACAGCAAAGAAGAAATGTGAAAGAGAAGGAGATAAGTGTGAGAGATGCAAGGAAAATAATTTGGAATGTAGATTGTTCGAAAATCCGCTTGTTGCGGGAATGAAGGCCGTAAAAGCAGATACTCGTCTCACAAGTGATGAAAAATTTTCTGACCACTATAACAACACAATAGAAAAAAGGGGTTCTGTATATTATCCTCAGGATATGAAGGTGTTGCATGAATCTTTCTGGACCAACAACAATATTCGTGAAATTGAGTTAGATGCTTGTTTCAAAGTATACATTCCATTATTTTTACAGCAATTTATGGAAATGTCGTTGGATGATTTGATAATGAAGTATATGCAATTCAATAAGAACGGAAAAATGCTGTTACAAAGAATATTAGAAGCAGTCCCTCACAGTCAAATAAGTAGTGCTAGGCTTCATGAAAATTGTAGAGAACCAATCAAATACTCTGTGAATGACACCCTAGATGGGGTTTTAAGTAGTGGAATGAGCTTCCGGGATTATGGTAATTTTCAAAAGAAGGTAGATGAGAAGTTGAAGGTGTTGGTTTCCAAAAGCTCCCTTGAGAAGCGTTCATCTGCTCTCAACAAGATCCTCGAAAAAGAACAATTGGGCTGGGGTCTAAAATTTGATAAAACAGAGGTGAGGATTGGTCATGAAACAGTCGAAATTCATTATGGTACTTTAACACAACCGAAAGTATTCATTCAAAAATATGTAGAGTATTTGGTGAACAACAATTTAATTGAAAATTCAGTAACAATCGATTGGGTAGGAGACGGAAGACCTATTAAAGGTGCTAATACTCATATTTTATTTAGGTTAATTAGTGCAAACGCCAACAACCAAGACTACATGAATAATGAAACAGTATTTATTGCTGATATGTCAGAAAAATATATTTTAAAAGTACCAAAACAAGACAAAATGTGGAGATTTATGCAAGAACTGTATGCTATAAATCACGTAATTGTCGACAACAGGAGAATAGATTTAAGACATATCTTAAATCCTGATATGGGATTTATACATAAGTTTGTCACATTTACTGATGAAGCAGTGCAAGAAATTCGAGAAATTTTTTCTCTTACTCAGTTGAACGTTCTCTTGCACTCTTGCCAAGAAAATGATATCGTTACTATCCAACAGGTATCGACATTTAATACGAACCCATGTCCTGAGATTATTGGACAGCATTACAAGTTTCCTGTCAGCGAGTATATTCCAAACAATGCAAACGAATTGTTTGAGGTATTCCAGGTTCAGGATGACACAAAAAAAAAAGACATTATTTCAAAATTAAGAAAGAGTAATAGCGAATCAAAAGGTCTCATTAGATGCGGATGCTGCTACGTAAACGGATTCACAATGAAAGCATCCAAAAAGTACCCAGAGCTTTCATGTTTCCACTGGATTAGAAGGGACCGACATTTCGAAAATCCAATAGGTTTTTTTGTTGACGATTGGTGTATCTGTAGTGCCCACGCACTGGTGCAATCTTGTCAAATAATGGTTGAGCGATCTCTTGGACAAAATCAGGAGCTGAGATTGTGGTTTTCTACGCTATTTTCATCAACATCTCCTATTAAGGCATTGACAAACATTTCTGGTGTCCTTTCTAATTTGGAAACAATCTCAGATATGGAATTAGCAAAACAGTTAACACAGAAAATTAAGTCATTAGATGAATGGTCTCCATTTGAATGTAAATTCAATGAAGATGAAAACTGTGAGGAGGAATTAGATGCAGACGACGAGAAATATGAAAATTTTTCTTTCAAACGATTTTTATATCGTCAAGCTGCCCAGATTGCGTATTCTGCCCCTATTTGGGTGCCAGAGTTTCTTAAGAAATACAAAGAGCTTTTTGAACCTGTGCACAACGAAGGAACGTTGAAGCAACTGGAAAATGAAGAAATGGAAGAAGACGAGCCAAGCGACAAAGAAGTTTCTGCTTTTGAATTGGAAGACCTATGGGACAAGTTCATTAGGAGATTACTTGTTGTACATGGGCCCAAAGAATACTGGGACAGAGTATTTGAAAGTAACGAGAAAGAAAAGGTTCTATCCACCTTATACTCATTCACCAAAGCTTTTAATAATTTATTTCCTTCAGGACCAGGGTGCGATTATCACCACATTGAGAATCACAGCTGGGATTTTTATGAAAGATTACGAGTTTCTTTAGAGATGATAAAGCAAGTGGGAAGCGAAATTCAAAACAAGATCGATCGGAAAGAAATAAGCAAGCGTTCATGCAACGAAACCTTGTCCTCCAATGTTGAGATATTATTTAGATCAAAAGCAAAACGATTTTTGTTCAAGACCAAACAATTATCCACACATACATTTCGGGATGATTAAAAAATGTTTTAATATTATTGTATCATAGACTGTGATAGAGAGAATGAAGCAAACGGAGTTGTGTAACAAATTGAGTACTGGTAGCAGCTTTATCTTGAGAGGCTATTCACACCTGTACTACCAAAATTCATATGATTCTTGATCCAATAACCAACAAAAACATGGCATATTGGACCAAGATGATGATTGTGTTAATCTTGTTGGAGAAAGTTTTGTGAATTTGGTGTCCCTCTGTGGTAATAATTGTGGTCTGCCACACAAAGTGTTATTTATTACTGGTGTGGAAGGAGTGGTGGAATGATGAGGATGGCTAATAATGTTGTTGACAAATGAATTCCATCTGTTAATAGTGGTAGCAAACATTCATCGTCATCACCATCATATCCTTCTTCGAGAATTGCTCAATACACTTTTCAGGTCAACAACAGCCATATCAATCTACACAAAATCAACAACACTATCACAACAATATCAATAACAACAATTACCATCATAACGGTAGCCATATCAACAACATTTTGGACTGCTTCAGGAGGAAATTATGGAGGCCTCCAATCATCATATCATTCACATATTCTTATCTTCTCAACACCAGACTAGTAAGACAGCACCACCATCATCTTCCAAAACTATTGCTATAACAATAACAGAAATTATTATCCTTCACATGTGTAGCAAAATTATTTACTGCTCCGGTCATTCCATGGATTGTCATTGAATCAGCATTCTGGGTGCCTTCGCACAGGAGTTTTCATTACGGGAGAAGGCAGCGTCATTCATTGTTCAACTACAATATTATTCTCTCATTCTTTATAATATAACTATTAAAGCATTTCCTTCATTTTGTTACATCACACTCAAAGTATAAGTTATTTTCTTTATCAATTATGAGATATGAAAAAGTTTGGTCTGGCTCAGGATCGAACCCTGTGCATTAAAATTGTAAAAAAAAATCGGAAAGCTGTTCAAAATTCCAAGCTACATTTTCTTAGAAAAATTTACCCAAAATATTTTTTAAATTTAGCGTTAGAGCGGATCGGGAATTATGTCGGAGCAACGCAGTGTGAATCAAGGCTATTCAACCTGTTGATCATTTTGCAGCAGTAACACGATTCGTTCCCAATATTTTTTCATTACCTGATTTGGATTGCATACTACTCTCTTTTCCTATTGATTGATTTTTCAGTAATTTATATACATACACATGCAATTGATCAATTATACTCTTTACCATATTATTTGAAAACACATTCCGGTCATTGTAATTACTAATTGAATATCTATCCACACATCTTATCAAAAGAAATGCCCACTTCACCTGCAACCACTTCCCGAGCAGCAATCATTCATGGTAATAATATTACAGCTGCTCACACAACAACAACCACTTCAACTGTTCGTCATGATGAACCCATTCCTATTGATAACACTCTCCCTCGACAAAATCAGAGACACATCTTTATGGCCTCCCTTCTCGTTACCTTGTGCTCCTTAACGTGTTTAATTGCCTTTGTGGTCGTCTATGTGGTCTATGTCGTGATGAGTTTTCAACACATGTCCGAACAAACGAATGGCATGCATTGGGAAGGTTTTTATTCATGGCCACTCTATGTTGTGATTGTGTCCGTAGTGTTGTTTATTGTGTCTTTGATTTTACTCATCAAGAGGTATCAATTAATGGTACGACGCCGAATGGAACAACATCAACAAGCTGAGGCACATAGAATGGAAATGGAGAGAACATTGACGACGATTAGTGTACCAACCACCATTTCAGGAAGTGGAACTTTGGTAGAAATGAAAATACCTCCTTCACATGGGAATCATGCTACTTCGACAGAGACGAGGCAAGACGAGCAGCAGCAACAACCATCGTATGTTATGAGAGAACCTGGAGTGGTCATGCCATCATCTACAAGTGTCACACAACCCATTCCATTGGGAGTGAATCAGGAATCGCAGGCAGTACAATATACTTTTAACAATAATTTACCACCATCGATTGTGTAAATGGATGATGGGACGGACATATACTAACGAAGCAACAGGTTAAGGAGATTGAAATACTCAAACTTAAATGCATTGCGATTTTTGTTTCTCAGGTTGTTGGCAAAACGCTGAAAACAGTAATTGAAAATAATCATTGTTTTGTGAATCCTTACTGACATTGCGAAATTCACAACCAACATAATTCTATTAATGCGAGTGAAGGTATGGCACGTACCAATTCAAATGTTGCTTCTCGAGATGGCATCTCGCACAGAAGGTCAAATGTGTAACATAATGGCAACAAATTATTGATTGTTTAACAACCTAGGCGCAATGCAAAGAAGAAATCCCAAAAAACACCGAATGTGCAACGTTTCACTTTTATGTGAAAATTACAATTTAAATAATAACAATAATTTATAATAACAATTAATGTGCAAAATGAACTCATCATTGACAAGAACCAGAAATATCATAATTAATTACCACCAAACTCACGAGCCAATTTGTGTTGAGAGGAGGCAAAATCGAACAAAGTCTTGGTCATTGGCAATGGACGTCTCAAACTCTTGAATGTTTCGTTCAAGTTGGCACAAGAGGTATCAATTTGAGTTTGGAAATTACCCTCCGCCTTAACCAACATCTTGACAATGTTATCAGCAAAGGAATCACCTCCGTCGACAGTCTCTGCGTGCTCCTTTGAAGTGTTCAATTGAACGTTACCATTCTCATAGTAGTGACAATTGACTTTCATGGAACCAGAAACTTTGACCTTGTCATCGGCAAAACTCACACGATACACACTTCTCCATCTACCACTCCAAAAGTTCTTATCATTGAATTTGCTGGCAGTAATGCAAATAATTAATTCACCCTTTTGGTCATCTCTTTGTGATGGGAAAACACTCGAGATACCAGAAAGGTAATGGTCATCCACATACTTTTGAATGGCCTTGACAAGTTTGTCCTTCTTTTGTTTCAACGAGTTGTTGAGAATGTCAGAAGAAGCAGGAGAAACACCAGTAACTTGTCCTTTGACGTGATCTACGGTGAGGACCTGATCAGAGACTGGATCAAGATAAGTCTGTGGTGTAACTTCATTGTACTTGGACAAAATCACCTTGTAGGTCTGATTAGGGACTTCAACAGGAATCAATTGTTCAACATTGTAAGTACGGAAGATATCAAAGGCTCCAGTGTTTAAAAGTTGATCATTGGCTACCAATTCTCTGATATCGTACAAGACGTCTTCAAATTGTCCAGGAGGAGAGCTCAAAAGGAAATGACGAACAATACGAAGAGTTTCATCAGGCGATAATTGAGACATTTTTTAAATGGATGATGATGATTTGATGATGATGATGATGATTTGCAAGAATTGTACAAAATTGGTAGAGGGTGGTAATATAATAATAATATGGGTACAAGAAGAAGAGCCTTGAGATCAAAAATATTGGTTATTGATGATGATATCAAGAAGAAGAAGAAGAAAAAGGCCCAGACTGATGATGTGAAAAATTTTTTGTTGATTTTAAGCGACCACCAATTTCAAGTGTCAAACGAAATAAAAGAAGACTTGTCACTTGGCTTATTGAGGGTGTTTTCTTGATAATAGGCATCACTTTTTTGAAACGTGGTCTTTCTCTACTGCTGTATGGAATGGTTGTTGCCCAAAGATTTATGTGTTTTCGTCATTCACTCCCATTGCCATTCCATTTTACAATGTGGTATGGAAGCTTCCTCAAATTGGTCTCCCACAATTAAAAATCTTCCTTTCAATCCTTCTTCCTCGAAAATGCATTTTTGATAGAACGGGACAGCTGAAAGTTGTGCGTGCAAATAGATTTTTGGTTTGTCTTGTTGTTTCACACCCAAATCCAACAATACAAATCTCAATAATTTCCGACCCATACCAAAACCACGTAAATTCTTCAATACTGCAAAACGTTCAATTTTCCATGAATTTTCTCCAGTCTTCCGAGCTCTACAAGTTCCTCCAACCTTTGTTTGTATTGATGTGGAGGAGGAACTTTCTGATGGAGCTTCGGTTTGGTGGACCAATTCAGCAAGATAATATCTCATGAAATTTGTTTGAATATCATCTTGATAAGATGATGAATTCAATTGTTCGGAAAACTTGGTATCATTGGCATCAAATTCCAAAGATGAATCAATTTGTTGCTCCTCTACAAAGACTTCTCTCCGAACCGTCATGACTTGTTGGAAAGCCTCCGTTGTTGTTACGAGTGAAACTCTCACACTATCTGCAGACATTTTTTGATCATCTTGTTCAAAATGCAAAGAATTATTATGCAATAGAAACAATCAAGAAGAAGAAAAACAGAGTCACCAACTTGACAATTTGGTCTGAAATGGCCACCAAACAATTATACTCTTATTTCATTGATAGAATTTTCACATTCTTAACATCCAAAGGTAAATGTATGACTGGTTGGGATGAAGTGATTATGGACTCTACCAACACGGCCAAGGTCATTATTAATAAATTAGTAGCTCTTCGTTATGTTAAGGAACAATTGTTTGGTCGGAACCATTCTCAAAAAGCCCTCCGCAAACCAAATCTGTTTAGTAGTGGTTTTAGTCGCTGCGGTAAACGTTGAAACAAAGAAAATGTTCGAATACCTTACTTCTGCAAAGCTCAGAAATGTAAGGGAATTGATATCTCCTTGATCACTACCTCATACAATCATAGTACACACCAAATACCACAGAACAAGGTCTACCGTGCCACGGATTGAATAGGTGAAGGAACATTACGCAGAAATCAAAACATGGGCAGTCCATGCGTACTGGATCAAACTTCAAAACAACTAAGCGTAGTAACTTTGGAAGTAAACAAACCGACACAAAGAAAATAGCAGTCCATATACTCTGAGATGTACAACGAAACGTTGTTGAGGACGAAGAGGAAGAACAAGGTAATACTAAATAACTTTTGGGATGTTCATAATAAAAATTTGGGATTGAGATAGAAAACTTTTGAAACAACACCGTTTCGTTTGGGGCATCCCAATTCCCATGTCCTCATTCAATTTCATTAAGGAGAACCGATCTCAAAAATCCGTTCCAGAATAACCAATAATTGAGCACAGTATCTCCCTCATGTAATCACACAACATTCTGTTGGTATGATGATGTAGAAGGATGTTTTTTCATCCATTTGTTAATATCTGCTTGCCCACAATGTTGTAGAATTTGATAAAGAATTTTAGTGCCATATTTCTCGCTGCATTGCTTCATATCGCTCAACACGAACTCGACCCACTCAACTTTGCTCCTACCACATTTTAATCGTTCAATATTGAAAGTAGTTACATCAATAGTTGGTGAAACACCACAATTTTCCATACATTCTATTATGGAATCAGAGTCGAACATTTCTATAACTCTCTTTTCGGAGCACAAACGATTCATCACTCTCTCCAACACAGCAGGCTGAATGTAATACGGATCATCATCCAAAGAAATATGAGAAGTGTTGTTGGTTTCTGTGGATATGGGTTTTGTTTCTTCGCAGTTCGTTGTGTTGCGCGTAAATGGCTTGTGGTCTTTGTTGATAAAATTGCTGGTGAGCAAGACGGGCATTTTTTTCTAACCTCTTAAGATCAGATCACAGATTTAAAACTCCTAAAGCCCACAAAAAAGAACGAGAAATTGCAATATGGACCGATGGATCAAGATCCAAAGATGGAACTGGAATAGGAATCCTTATTCAATCAAGTAATGCAACAACATGCCATAAACACAAATTGGATCCTAGGTATACCCACAACATGGCAGAATTAAGTGCAGTGGTCACTTCGTTGAAGTTGATCCCTTCATCTAGCTCAGTGACGATTAAGACGGACAGTGAAATTGCTCAAAAGATTTTCACAAACAACAACTATCGAGGACAATTCATTCAACTCAAAAGAGAATATGAGGCAACAATACAAGACAAAAAACTTAAAGTTACCATTGAATGGGTAAAAGGACATGATAAATGTCAGGAAAACAACTTCGTTGACAAACTGGCAAAAAACTCAAGTACCAAAGGCAAATTTCTGGATCCAAAGAACCTATTCACACAAGAACAACTTCTCATCATTAAGGACTCATTATGGATCCCCAACCCTTGTAGAATAATTAGAAATAATTGGCTATCACAGGTATCGGAAAATAGTCAAGTGACAAACATAGTGAGCGATACTACTTTTCGTTATATTGAAGGAATCAACACCACATCACAAATACTCGATATGGAGAAACCTTAATTTCTGCCATGTTCGGAGCTTCAAACAACATATATGCCCAGAATGCAATGTTCCTCTATCTCTTGAACACTTAATTCTCCAGTGTCCACTTCTCCAGTTTCAGCGAAAATGGGCAATTGATAACATCAAAAAGCATACCAATCGAGATCCAATTTTAGTGTCAACAGAATCAGATCACCTCAACAACTACAAGTTTTACCTCAATTACAAAGGAAGTCTTCAACACAACACTACCATGGACTCCATTAGCCTCTTCCACAGAGAATGGTTTAATATCCAGAGTACACTATCGTTACTAGCTGGACATGCACATACTCATTACTGGAAGATTGTACAATAATCTCACTTACTCCGTGCCACTGGCGCAAAGTCTAATAAATATCAAATTTTTTTCTAACGTTGTTGGATGATCTGAGATATTCAATCGATCTCGGTGCTTAACTTCTTATTTATGCTTTTTTGATATACAAGTATTCAGAAACATTTTATCTAAACTATTGAAGCAGCTGCTGGCTTCAAAGTTGAGCAATAGAATTTATTTATCCAGGAATTTTGAATCTGATAACAGAAGGTAATGCAAAAGTTAAGAAATAGTTTTGGGAAACAATTTACCAGAATTCTTACCATTCTCTACTTCCTTCATTGCATGATGTGGTTGTCAATGAGCATTCATCTATAACTTTTCGTATCGCTTCCAAAATATTCAACTCCTCTTCTTCAACTCAATCCCTAAATATGGATTTTCTTAATCCCATGATGGAGAGAGCATGATACCTACTGTAAATTTTTCAAAAAACATTCAAGCCGTTTTTCCAAGCGCCAAAAAATGAAGCCTCCAATAACTGCTGTTGAAATTCCCTCAATCAATCATTTAATGTCGGAAACGAGGATGACCCCAACATCAGTGAATCATAATAACACAACAACACCGGGATCGTCCTCTTCCGATGCAATAAGCACTACAACAGGTCGGAGTGATAGTTTTGGACAAGGACAACTGCATCAACAAGAGAGGCGTTCGGAGGTCTCTGTAGGAGAGGAGGACTCTATTAGAAGCAATCATAATCCGAAAGGAGGCCTTTCACGAAATTTAACCACGCAGGGAGGTGAGAGAGATGTTGATTCCATGCGAGCTCTTCAAAATAGACGAAAAAGTACTGGGACTAATGATTTGTCAACCTTGAAACAACATGGAAATAGTAGATCTAGCTATGAAAATGACACCTCCAATGAGGTTAACAGGTACATGGGAAAGAGGGATATGAGAAGGTCAAATATTCCTCTGCCAATTAATTTTAAAGAAGTTGATAGAAAATGGAAGTGTGTCGAGGACAAACATTCTACAATTTCGAAAGTATATGAAGTAGAGGGAGTTTCTACGACGCTTCATGCACTGCAGCAACAACTTGATTGGGGTGATGCCGAAAAAACCAATGCTCCAATACCCTTAAAAACAAGACATAGGTATGTGATGCCATAATTGAAAAAGGAAAAAACACACATTTACAACAACCATTAATCGTATTTCAATACTCACCATTCAGATTTTGGAAAGATCTTAGTCACTTGGACGATTGTAATACTCGATTTGTGCTGATCGAAAAGAATTCAGTTCGCGCAGAAAAACACAAGAAAGATTTACGAAAGGAGGAAGAGCAACAGATAGCAGTTGGATATCGTTTCAGAATGTTTGGAAAAGCCAAAGTTCCTTCACGTATTCCATCAACGAATATGGAGAGTGTTAGCTCAGAATCAAACCCTCCAAACAATTTACTTCAGGTTTCACGTAATGGAATGCTGAAAAGAAAACCATCAGAGCGAGTGTTCAAGCCTATTGAAGAGGCACCAAAAACTGAAGCTATAGTGGACATGCCATTCGATATATGTTTAAGTGATTATTTAAAATTTGTACGAGAAAAACAGCCTTCAGATGCTTCACCTCAAACAGAGAGATCCAATGCTCCCTCACCAAGATTATCTTCCACTTCAAACACGAACAATATTTTCCTTAATGACATTACACCCAGGGGAGGTTCTCTTCTAACAAAACGAAAAACAGAAAACAAGTCAAAGGAGATGAAAGAGGAATATACGAAAAATCCCAACTTGTTCGAAATGTTGCTGAAGCTTGACAAAAAATCAAGAGATCAAATCGATAGAGACTTTTTACGAAAGCAAAAAGAATTGCCCATGAAGAAACAAAGATCCTCTTCCATTATTTCTGATAACATCATTTGCAATATTCCTTCAGTGTTTCAAAGCTTGTCAACATTTGGAAAGCTAATACCGAAAGACGCTTCCCTTAATGAATCATTTCAAGTCTCAACTCCAGATGAAGAAGTGGTGAAAAGGAAACGATTATCGATTCGGAACATGTCCAAGAAATCAATTTTGCCAACGAGGGGTATTGACCCCTCGAATCCCTTATTTTATATTTTCAGAGTAAGTATTGATCATTACTGCTGATAAAATTGACATTTTCCAAGTTGAGATTGTTGAACTATTCCAATTCTGAGTTCAAGCTTCTCAAAACAAAATTCAATATTACCATCTCTCAATTACGATCTCACCATTTTATTGATATTGATACCTTTAACACTAATTTATTTGTTACCTTGTACAATCAATCTGTAGGTATTTTTTTTCAATTATTTTTTTGAATATTGAAATTCTTTAAGGTGAATGAAAACGGATATATCATTCCAGAATACGATGATGAGGAATATATTTTTTCATGTTCTGAAAGTTTACCATGGTTAAACGAAAGTACTGTAAACAGCTTGTTGGATCAGCATTTAAGGCTTACCATTCAGCGATGCCAAGATAACAATCCTTTGTTTGATTGCGTTATTTCATTTTCAGTTAAGGAGAGGCTTTTCGTTGTGTCACATCACCTTGATAACGCACCTCTCCCCAGACACAATTCTGAAAAGGAACATACTTCAAGGAAAGTCAAATATGAATTTTTAAGGAAAGACAAGCACCAAAGAGCACTGAATCCAGATTCACATACTGTCATGAACAAAAAAACTTCAGACCGCAAGTTTATATTTGTCACATTTGGTGAAAAGGAACATCCATCCACCAATCGATTTGATTTAAACTTCCCACCAACGTTGAATTTGGTTGTGAATGGCATGGGTCCTTTGAAACATCGATCAGAACTGAGTATGGACAGTTCGGACATTTTTGCTCATAGAAAGCAGCAGCATGCAATGAATAATTCCACTGTGGAGATTGATGAAGAAGACACAGAATTACGGAACTTGGATGGATGGGATCCAACGACAGATAACGAGCATGAGGTCCATGTCGAATTCGAAGAAGGTCATACTTCTCATTCACCAGAAAACGAGGAAGCGGAACAGGTGAGAAACGAAACCACACTCGAAAGCATGAATGCCACAGCGATGAACGACGAATCTTCATCGAAAATGTCGCATATCAACAACTCTAAGCCACTCAAACGATATTTTGACTTCTCACAACATCGCACACAAGAGGCGAGCGCTAATACTACTTCGTTATTGGTACAGCCTCAACATCCCTTAATTCCAGTTATTACCCAACCAATTACTTTCTATTCTCAAGACACAAATCAAACCATTCTCGTTACCTCAACCAAAGAAAAGAATGCCAATATAACCAAAATTCAAAAGAGAATGCCACACACTTCGAAAGCGGTTATTGATTGCCATGAACCAAAACCACTAGCAGAACTTTACCATTCCTCGTTGGACAATTCCCAGAAACTACTCTCTGAACACAAACACATATTTGTTCAACAGCAAAAGAGTGGAGCGTTAGGTATGATAGATATGAACATGTTTGAGGAAATTAGAAAAGATGCGCCTTCCACAGATGCAATAATGATAGGAGACAGGAAGCTTTCCGTTGCCTTAGAACAATAAAATCTCAACAAGCTTCACAACAATGATAATTTACTGAAGTCACAATTGTTAGTTTTCACTCGATACAGAGAGTGACTGCAGTAATTTTTCAAATTTTTCGTGAAGCTGGCCTAAACCTTCGACGCTCAACCTCTCAATGATGTGGCACTTGGTGGCAAAGGTCTTATCTTCCTTGGCTCGTTTGATCGCACAACGTAAACAATAATGATTCTCCTTCTTCTTTTCCTTCATTGTTACTGCACTAATATAGCAGTCCGAGTTGCATTCACAACACCGAATATTATTATCTTTCTGGGAGCATGTCCTCAGTTTTTCAATGTTTCTGTTCGAAATGCATGGCATTTGACGTGCTGCTTTTTCAGAAATCAGTTGAAGTAGCTCGCTTCTCAACTCGTTCTCACTGTTAGAAATGTTCTCTAGCTCCTCTTTCATGAATCTACATGTTGCATCGAAGAATTTAGATGAACCTTTTTGTCTCTTTCCTGAAAGTATGGAAGTAGCTGCCGAAATGATTAATTGCTCTGATGGAAATGTAGTTGGTCTTTTGCACTCGTAATACTTGCTCATAGCTAATCTATTGTATTGAAGCCATGAACACGATGTAAAATTCACTGATTCTGCAATGTTGAATCCTTGATTGAACCCAGCATGATAAGCTCTTGGGAAAGTCACCACTATGGTACCTGGTTCGTGGTGCAATTTGTAGACAGGTACGCCCTCTCTTGCGAGAATAGCTGGAGAGATCTGGGTCACAAGCATGTGTAAAATGGCTGGTTGTCCATCAATCAAGTGAGGAAACAATTTACGGAAAACTTGCTCGAATTTGTCAGCTCCACACGCAGGGATTCCATACCATTGCTTTCCAGCTCCGTGATGAATGAAATTTAAGGCAAACATAAAGTGGTCTTCAACGTGCCAGCAGAATGAGCTGAACAGCATGCCGATATACAGCATTGGAATGTTCACTCCTGGAATGTCAATGTTGAGGAATGAAAGTAACGAATCAGGAAGCTTGGGAAGTAAGTTAGCATCCCAGCCACACTTCCAGCTTGATGGAAAGAATGACTTGTGCTCGGACACTGGTAAATCATTTCCGTACTGTACTTGAACTTGCTCTTCTGGGTGATGAACAATTCTCCAATATTCACGTTCAATGTCATCCGCTGTAATGTTGTTAATGTCTTCCAAATAATTTACTCCTTCCACTTTTTTGAGACCTCCATTTTTAGCAAGCTTCTTTTTTTCTTTCTGTGGTAAGGCGACACTTGTACCCTGCTCAATTCGTTCCGTGAAATAATCTCTGTAGAATTTATCTGCCATTTCCTTATACTTTTTCAATGAAATTGGTTTCTTTGTTCTTTCAAATCCAAACATATCATCCCTAGCACCAGAATTGCTTTCCGAATCATTGCTTGAAGAGGCTGATGTTGTTGGCTCAGTCTTTATGTGTGACGTGGGACTGTTCTTCAGTCTCTTTTCAAGAGTTTCAGAGTTTGGAAAGAGTTCTTCTAATTTTCGTTTCAAGCTTTGAGTTGTTTCATCAGATGTATCGTGCGATGATGAAGACTCTGTGGTGTTGTCATTATTATTATTTGAAGGAAACTCTCCATTTCTGATCATCATTTCAAATTTTCGTTTTTGTTCAATATTTCTAAATTGAAGCTGATTAATATTTTGGAGTTTGCATATGAATTTAAATGCACTTGCACTCACTTCTAGATCAGCAAAGTCTTCTGCTGGCTCTAGCTTGTATTTCTCTGGAGGTACAATCTTGACAATTCCGTACTTTTCTCCAATGTGTCTGATGGATTCAACATATTCAATAGGCTTCACAAATTCCTCTTCGGTTGGATATAAAGTTGCAGCAAATGGTATATCACTCATATCTGCAGGGTTCCACTGGCCATGTGGTTGTTGGTAATTTACCGACGAAGATGATGCGGAAGGCTCGGTAGTTTGATGATTGTATTTTGAAGAAGAGGTAACAGGAGTGGTAGCAACCGTAGTATAGGTTGTACTTGGTGATTGGGAAACCATCATCATCATTTTCAAAAAAGCAAGTGAGAGATTTCGTTAGAGATTGTATGTTACAAATATTCGTTAGGAAATTATTGGTACTATTAATGAAAAAACCAAATATACTAGTGATGAGGATGATTTGCTGTTCAGAGATAAGAATGATGATGCAAAGCACCCAAGAAAATGAGTATCAAACGAAAAGATGATATTACGTGATGAAAGTGCTTTGAATTTTTTTCCTGCTTTGGAAATTTTTCATTCTCTGGCCATCGAATGAAACCCTTGTGCATACGGTCATCAGCTGCTGATGGATTCCATTGACGAATAATGGTGATTGGATTTCGGAGAAGGATAAGAGGAATTTGGCGAATTGTAACTCTAAAGTTCGTGTAAAAACCTTTACCCATACGAACTCATGATCAGATTTGTTTCATCCAAAATAATGATAATGTTTTCAAATAATAATGATAATGTTTTCACTTCAAGGAGCCGATGTGTGAGTGAAAAGAAGAAGAACGTGATGGTGAAATCATCATCCTCTCACTGGCTCGGTGATGATTGTTTTCATGTTTTTTGTTTGTTTTGGTCCAACAAAATCAAAGGCGCCAAGAATCTTTAAAAAAACAAAAAATGTTGCAAGATGTTTGCAGCAGCTTTTCCGATGCTTCAACAGAAGGTGTTGATCCTGATAATATTGTGGAAGTATACTCGGATCAGATGAGATTGGATGAATTCTCTGAAAATTTTGAGGATTTGGAAGAAGTATCATGGGAACATCAGCAAGCGTTCAATTCGGAGGATGTTGGCATGCCCAATGGATTGGAAGTGTTGAAAGAATTAATTGGAGAAGACGATTTGTTGTGGCATGAGGACCAATCAGCCTATTCCGAAGGATCATATTTTAGTAAGGAAAGTTGTGATGATATCGGTTATGGAGAGGGAATTATGAGCAATATGACTTTTCTGTGTTTCCCTTTGGTATCTTCTTCATCATCGCTCACACAATTGGATGAACCACTTTCAAGCAACCACTTGAAAGACTCGATAGAGAGTGAACTCTTCACATCTGCACCATTGACGAACACTAAGGGACAAAATTATTATTTTCAAATTACCATTGCTCCCTATCAAGGTGACGAAAAATTGAAATGTTGCATTCAAATTGATGAATGTTGTGGAACATTGATTAATTCTCGAATTCAGTATGATTTTTTGCGAGAATTTGTCAGAATTTTTGAGCTTTCCTTTGAGAGACGAGGAAATTTAAATGTTACAAATATTATAGATCATGCGGATACCATTTCTTTTTTGAACAACGAATTTGAAGTGAGCATGGAGCTACTCAAAAAGAGAGAGACAGAACGCCATTTACTGGTGATTCCAGTTAAAATTCAGACTCTTGTCATTTATTTAGGATTATCATTGGTAGACGTCTCAACCGATGTTAATAGCAACATTCGAGTGTCTCATAATGCATTCTCATTTGAAAATGAAAGACGTGATGGTTTATTGAAATATATCGAGACGAACTCTCTAATTTCAATGAGCGAAGGTATCAGCATTCAACAGAGCGACACGGTGAACGAAGAAAATACAACCAACCAAAGAGAAAATTTGTTTAGCATGGCAGATGTGGCCATGTATGAGGAAGCACTTTATGATGAGAATTCTCAAAGACTGTTACTCATTAATATCCAAAAAACGTCTCATGAAAAATTCTGTTTTACTCCCATCTCGAAACAGCCCACACTTACGCTGAACGATGTACACTTTTCGTTGAATTCAGTTCAAGAGACCAAAAGCAGCATTACCATGAGCTTTAGAATGAGCAACACAAGACTCAACCAAGACGCATGGTCCAATGACATGTATACCCTATGTGTTAATAAGGCATTCTCTCATACATTTTCTGGTAAAGGTATTAGGAGTTTTAGAGAATCTACACATCTCGCAAATTATACAGTGGCTGATAGTTCAGAAATACCTTCATATTTCGAGCTGTTGGAATGTAGTCATGCTATCACACATAGTATTGATCATAGCTTTATGAATATTGCATTACGTCATGCTAAAAAGAGAGATGTCATGGGGTTCACTCTTCTTGAAACTGTACTGTGTTTGAGGTTGAAGGACCATGTCACATTTCTGATAGAGCGTATGGGATGTGATCCGAGCTTGACAAACCCCATTAACGGTATGAATGCATTCACATGGAATTCGTATTGTATGACAACTTTGCTACAGAATAGTTTGCACAAGTTGGATCATAAGTTTCTGCTTCAATGTTGGTCCACTTATTGTGTCAACTCTCTGAAAGATTTAAATAAGGATCTTTCGTTACCAGAACGATTTCGAACTGTCATGAAAAAGCTGTGTTTGGAATGTTCTACCTTGGATGAGAGTAGCTCAATACAATTACAAAATCATTTGAATACTACTTGTTTTTTGGTCAGTCACTTTCGACGCGAGCCAAAAGGTATCTATTTAGCGTTTGATATTGAGGGCCATAGATTAGGCCTTATTTTTGGAAATAATATTTTGGCGTGGGATGATTACTCGCTGCTTGTGTCTGTCACACCTTGTAATGACACGTCCACATACTTGTTGTGGTGCCTCTTTGAATTGTCGAGTGGGGACAAGAAACTACAGATGCAAAAGTTTGCTCGAAGCATTAGTGAAACGAGTTGCAATTGGAATTGTAAAGTGTCATCCACCTCATACAATAGCGGTCACTTTTGCATTTATTTGCTTAAAAAGCTTCACTTATGGGAAGCTATTTCAACGGAAATGCAAGAACAACTCTTGCATTTCACATTTGGAAAAGAATATAAATTCGAAAAATTGGACAGAAACATTGAATACAGCACGCTGATTGATGAATCATCAGAGTTGCTTAATCTTGCTACACAAGCCGATTACATGTCTCTGGATCAGATTATTGAGCTACTACAGGAAAACGATAAACATCACAATGATGATCAAACCGAGGAGACATTTCTGTTCGAGCAAGATTTTAATCTCGAGCAATTGGAATTTATGAGAGATGAATTTCACAAAGTAGGAGAGGGTGGATTCAGTACCGTGTACAAATGTTTTGACAAAGTACAACATCAGTGGAAAGTTTTAAAAATTGTTTCAACTGATATTGAAGCTGAATGGAATGCCGTAAGTAATACTATTGAAATATTTATCTTGTTTGGTGATGCGTATCATATCTTATATAATGTAAATGGTCCAAAATATTGAATACATAATTTCACTAGTGTAAAGTATTTCAAAATATGAAGAGCGATTTTCTTGTGCCCATTGAGGACTTTGGTATGCTCGATGATGAGTTGTACATTCTCATGCCTTATTATCACTTTAAAGATTTACTACATTTCATTTCGATACAACGTTCTCTAACACCCAAACATTTGATGAGCATTTTCTATCAAATTGGAAAAGCTCTATGTGATATTCATGCTCATGGACTCATTCACAGAGATGTTAAATTGCAAAACATTTTTGTTGAGGGTTTTGAGGCTGATCACAATATTCGAGTGAAACTTGGAGATTTTGGATGTTTTATTAAAAAGAGTGAAAATGGACAAATTGAAGACCTTGAAAACTATCATTCGTTTGGATCTGAAACTTACAAGCCACCAGAAAGTTCTCAACAAATTTGGACCTCTCAATCCGATGTGTGGAGTTTAGGAGTTTCCATGTTGCAATTAGTGTTATTGTTGATGCGGAAGAATCATGAATCATCTGGTCACCAAACGGTTACACAAATTACAAGTGAGGAATTATTTCAAGAGGAGTTCAAACAGCATGTTTTCAAATGTCTTTCCAAGGTGAGTATTTTCTAAACAGCGTGACCATCATTGATATTCTCATTTGACCACACTAGAAATATGAATTCCTTATTCCAATATTCGAGAAATGTCTTCGATTGGACCCTAGTGTGCGCATCAATTCTCATTCGCTTGTTGAAAAGTTGGAACAATTGGAACGGGAGTTTGTTGAATGAACTCTAAATCAAATGGGATTCCCAAAATTCACTAGACGATATTGAAACATCTCAGTAAAAATTGATATTTAATAAAAAATCCGATGGTGAATTTGACAAGAAGAATCATTTACAAAAATCTTGTCCTTATTTCAAAGAAGTGTAATAAGATCCTGCATGATTAATACCCTCACCTGTTAATGGAGTGGTTGTTGACGACACTCCTCGAATATATCTCGACAGCTTACTGCTCCTTAAACAAATTACTGTCACAAAGCACAACAAAATAAATGAAAAACCTCCCACGATAGGAAGCATAATCATCATAATGGTATTCTCACTTCGTTTCGATTCATATAACGATCTCACACAAAGATCTGCCTTATTATTCTGACAGTCAGAACACCAATCATGTGGAATGGCATCTGCATAACAAACATCCTTAAAACTAGTAAATGAACAATTAAAGGATGGGTCAGAACCAGCAGCATTATTTTGACATCCTTTTCCTCCCAATGACAACAACGAATATTCCTTAAACGAAGTCTCATTGAATCCACTGTTGTATCGAATGCGAACGTAGAAATCTTTTTCAGTCGGTTTTTGAGAATTCACACTTGCATCACTTTGATGTAATTCCAAAATAATATTTGCTCCATATTGTGGAATTTTTCTCAACTCTTCATAATCTTCCGTGAGTCTCAGAGCGGCCATCAATGACAAAATACTCACATCATGAGCACTATAATGCAAATACTTGTATGGAATTGAAGTATTTTCATCAGGATCTTGTCCATAGGGATAAGGTTTTCGTGTTGAAATTCCACCTCCAATCAATGAATTTACCATCTTATCCATTTCAACAATTATTTTCTGTACGAGTGGTCCTCCTCCAAGTTTTCCTTGAACTTTTCTTGAGAATGTTTCGAGTGTGGCTACATTGCCGAGTTGTTGAACTTGATCCCACGCGTCGAGAATGGCTTGAAGAGTGAGTTTGTTGTGAGATTTTTGTACCATGAGAAGATCATAGACAATGTAGAGAGAGGAAAAGTCAATGGGTTTTTTGAAGACAGGATAGGTCGTGTCTGAACGACTCGTCATTTCGTGTTGCAGTAAGGAAGGATCGGAAATGAGTTTGTAGAAGGGAATGGATTGTTCTTGATTCTAGAATTGGTAAAATGTGAATGTCACACCCAAGAACATATATATGGTTCAGTGTTGATGAAAATCATTGAATGTTCAATGACAAGGTGATTGAATGTTCGATGAAAAGGTGAAATCAAAATTAGAATCCTATGGAAACATGGCACTATTACAAACCTTTGAAGATTCAGAAAACCACAAAGAAGACAAGAATCCTGCATTTTTGTTTGATTTTTGTGTTGAGGATGTAATAAGATCGTTTTGAAATGGAATTCCAGTCAAGTTCGAAAGTTCTGTAAGGAATGGCTTAAATTTTTGCATTGTGTTCAAATATTCTGGAGATTGTTCATTTTCTGCATTTCGTTGATCAATGGTTGGACATTTTCCATAGGCACTCATCCACAATTCGTTCATTGACGATTGTGTATGCACAGGAATGGGTTGTAAGTAATTGGGTAATGAATTTTGTTGACCTAACATGAAAGAAATTTCGAAATTTCACAACACGTGAATCATGATCCATGAATAGAGAATCACATCACAATGAATAACAGCTGTTTGTTTTTAGATTCACTTACCATTGATTGAAATATCTGTGACTGGTCCTGTACCAAGTGGAAACATTCCTTGTGCAATACTAAAAACTGAAAATAAAGTTCGATCGTAATCTGTGGCATAGAATCTAAAATCTTGAGGATTCCAGTGTGCAGTTGAAGTTGCATCATTATTCACTGGATAAACGAGTCCATCAATGACATTAGGATTTGCTACATTTGCTGTTTGAATTTTGTGTTGAGTAGTTATTAAAAAGTGTCAGAAATAATATTCAAGAATTCATAAATTTCATAAATTGCATAAATTTTTCATGAATACATTCCAAAATACGAACCTCCATTGGAATTCAACACACGAGAAAGATATCTTTGATTGAATTGTTGTCCAACTTGGAAACATTGTTGAAGCCCTAGACCAGTGAGTTGGCCTTGTCCAAAAGGCACCTTCACAGATGGTTGGTTGCCGCCTGTATGTATGTGTGTATTATTATATATTCAACAGGAGTTGATTTTTTCATGATTTTTCGTTATCCATATTCGCCAAATTTAGAAAAATAACATCGTTCAACAAAATTCAAAATTAACGTTGAATGCAACATTTTTCAATTATTAATATCCAACAACAATAAATTTCATCATGGTTATCCATCAGCATCATTTCCATAACTTGTACCTACCCGCATACGAATACATGGCCAAATAATTCTGCCAATCCCAAGGATCATTCGGAATTTGATACAATGAAACAGGAGATCGATCACAGTGTCTCGACAAGACCTGTATCTGTACAATCTTTCCCGAAATTTCTACTACTGCTGGTCCCATCCATATCAACGCCAACAGTACAGCAAGAAACAACGGTAATGCATGAAAAAAAAGCCTTTGTTTCATTTTTTTGTTTTCGCGTCAATGAAATTCAACTCCGAGTCGGAGTTTGTTGAACGATGAAGTCCATGTTACGAATATGAAAAATGGTTCAGTATTGATCTATATTATTGGGCGAGTAGTTTGGTTAGTTTTAGTTTGAATGACTAGTCCATAGGATGAATCTTCACAAAAAAGGTTCATCGGAGAGAGGTCCACGGTTTGAAATAATTTTGAAAAAAATTGTTCCGAAAGCGAGAGAGCATCCTCCTCAAGATTGTTTCATCATCAAGTGAATATATCATTTCAAAACAGAGATGGGAAATAAGGCTACAAAAACACTCGGAGAAGAACCAAATGCTGATCTAGATTTTCTTGCTTCAAATTCCTATCGGGAAGATTTGTTTGAGATCTTTCCGGTTGTGATTGAAAAATTGGAGAGTGGAGTGGGAGAGTTGGAACAATTTGAAAAATTGTTGGAGGATATTGGTGTTCATTACAAGACGTTGATCAAGAAATTTACAACACTCCGTAAGAAAGAAGCATCATCGTCCGAGTAAGTACATGATGATGATTTTTGATTACAATGTGAAAAAACATTTGAAAATTGTCGTAACTATGATGATTCTCATGGTGACAACATGATCATGTGCATACCTTGAGAAACAGCACACGAAAACCAACTGAAGTTTTGGATAAATTATATACAGGTCTTGAAACGATGGCACAAAACTATGTCAATACCTGTAATGAATTGGAAACGCTTGCCAAAGATGTCGACGAAGTGAAAAAGGAATTAGAAAAATATATTTCCATGGCAAAGAAAGAAGAGAAACAATTGAGCTCACGACTCGTCTCGGCTCGTAAAGACGAAGACAAAATTCGTGATAAATATTTTGACGAGAAGCAATACATTCAGGAAACTAGAGCAAGTACTCTTGTGACTGAGGTGACAGAAAAGAAAGTTCAAGATCTCCTCAAGAAAATTGCGCAGAGGTAAGTGGTGTAATAACATCACTGCAATGATGTTAACTCATGTACTCAACCACGTGATGTGTTTGTACAATATCTTTTACAGTGAAGAAACTGTATCCAAGTTGGAAAAAGATGCTGATGTTGCCAAACGAAAAGTTAAGGAAGTGAGCAGTGAGTACGACACCAAATTGAAGAATATTCTCTCTCATTTAGAATTTATTGATCGAAAACGATTTAGATACATGAAAGAAATGATTTCTCGTTTCAACACAATCCAAGTCAACACAGCCAAAATGGTAATTGAACAATCTGGAATTATTGATAACAAGGTTTCGCAATTGAACGAAGAATCAGAGTTCTCGGAATTTATCAAATCTACCAAAGCTGCAAACCTCAATGAAAACAAGAGTAGCATTTCGCAAGAGTCAGAATATAAGAGAATGCAGCGATTGGCCGCTCAGAGTTATGAATATTTGAAATTTATTTCAGAAGGAGTTCGAAAGAACATTGAATTGACAAATCGATTTTCTGATCAACAATTTCCACCTCTCAATGCTTCTATTGATCCAACAATTGAACATCAAATTGTATTATGGGCAAGAGCTCCAGATATTTTAGGAAATAACTTCAAAGTATTCAGTCCAGAGACAATTTTAAGCAATGACATTCATTCCACTAATATGATTAACGATGCATGGCTGTGTTCTGCGTTGTGTGTGTTGGGAGCCAAACCTGCTCTCATTGAAAGACTGTTCGCCGTCAAACAAGTGAATGAAGCAGGTATCTATGAAATGAATTTATGTATTGCTGGAGAGTGGTGTAAAATTGTCATTGACGATTACTTCCCATTAGGAAAAGATGGCAAGCCACTTTATGCGTCAAGCAAAATGGGTGACATGTGGATGATGGCTATTGAGAAGGCCGTTGCCAAAGTTTTTGGATATTACAACAAATTATCTTCAGGATTTACTATTAGTGACGCATTTGAATTGCTTTCAGGATGTCCAACATTCTCGATCAATGTCAAGCATGAACCTTCTGAAAATCTGTGGAGAAGAGTTACTCAATTTGGAGAGTTAAGATATATCACTGCTTGTACCACTTCTGACTTTACTGCACTAGCTCAACAAAAAATCGATCCTCAAGGTTTATCACCTCATCAGACCTACGTCTTACTTGGATGTGTGGATATTAGTGGTAAAAAAGTTCTCAAACTGAAAGCATTGAGAGGAAAATCAGAATGGAAGGGCGCTTGGTCTGTCACCGATAAGGTCAATTGGACACCAGAATTTCGAAATGCTCTGAGTGTGGAATCTGCAGCGAACGAGGGATGTTTTTTCATATCATTGACAGATTTTATGAAATACTTCTCAACCATTTCAGCATGCAAATACGATCCTCTCTTTTCAAGATATTTTATTCGATCACCTACTAATGACGCATCTGTTTTTGATTTGATTATTGATAACGATCAAAAGGAAATGTATATTGGACTTCACCAACTTCATGAGAATATTAGAGGTTTCTCAGGAAAATCACCAATTGGTAAGTATTTTGGGTGTTTTCATGTATTCATATTGAAACATTTTGAAATTAGGATTTATCATTACCAATAAGAAACAAAAAGTAATTTATGCCATACCCATCAATACTCATCACTATAATTTCACAGAACCACTTTCATTACGAGCAGGTGAATATCAAATTATTCCAGTCATACCCACTGATATTGCTGGATTGAATCGAGCTGCCTATTATGTCGTGACTGTTCATGCAAGAGGAAATATCAAGTTAAAACTTGCGGATACTACTAAAACAAAATTACCATTATCTGCCATGAAAGTACTTGTGGATTCGTATCGAATGAAAATGCAACAACAACATCAAGCAGTGTTGCAGCAACAACAGCAAAAACAACAAGCAGCAGTGGTGGGAACTTTGACTTCTCAACAGTTACCTCCTGATCAAGTCTTGTTACCTTTCCAGAGACAGCAATCTTCTCAATTTAAACCATTACAAGAGGCAGCTGATGACGAAGTGGATATTCAATATGTCGTACAGTCTCAAGAAAAGACCAATTCACCACCTGATATGGCAGCTGTTCCAAGCAGTAGTAGTACTTCTACAACTACTGCGTCAGTTGATGAGAATTCAACGAGTAAGCAAGTTGTAGCAACAAGTGAAAATAGTTCTACCAATACTCCAATTTCACAACAAGAGGCAACTACTACTAGTGTTGAATCAGCTCAAAATGAAACTTCCATACCACCAGCACAAGAACCATCAAACACACCCAATGAAACGCTTCATTCAGAGGGAACTGTAGTTCATGACAACAACAGCACACCCACCGATCAGCAGTCGACTTGTGCTGTTCCTGCTGAAACAACTGATCACGACACTGAACAACACGAATAAAAATAATAATTGGATCAAAAACCACTTTACAATTTTGAAATAAATTGATAAACAAATTCTGTTCTTCCTTCTTGCTCACTCCATTCTCGTTTGACATCAGTGACCACTTGTTTCAATCGAGGGTAGGCCCATTCAACATTCCAATTTCCGTACATGTCGCTCAAGATTGAATCGACATACCAGATTGGAGCACCAGTTAATTCCTTTTCGAATTCCTTAATGGCAACACTTGCACTTCCTTTCCATCCCTTGTTTTGCAAAATCACGCTGACTACCTTTCTTTCGAGAACGTCACCAAACTTGTTCATATCATTTGCGCTGATTTTACCATCTTGCACACCTGGTTGATCATACGCATTAATTCCCCTGAAAGCAGCCAAAATTGACACAATTCGTTCCTCAAGAGCAATCATCATACCCATATTAAACATGTCACACTTCTCATAGCTGCATGTAAGGAATGGTTTTCCATTCTTATACAAGGCATTTTCAGTACCCTTAATAAATCCAAGCATTTGTCTTCCCATGCTCAAGTAACTGGTTCCCTTCTTGGAAAATTCAGTCAATTCGCTTTGCTCAAGACGTTCTCCCTTGAGTTCTTGTTTATCAGTTGGATCGAGAACAGAATAGTCAGCATTTCTCTTTAGGAAATGAACAAACTTGACAATACAATCATTAATACCCTTTTGAACTTGTTGCATGAAAGCATGTTGTTCACCAGTTCCAACACCTCCAAAGACAGTTTGTCCTTCAGGATTTTCTACACCACTACTCTCTGAAAATTGCTTTCCCAAACTTTCCATATACAATTGTTGCAAATAGTGAGCAAATTCACGTAGCGCGTCAGAATAACCAAGAACAATCAAGTTCTTTCTTCCATGTCTCTTTTGGTAATGATCCAAAAGAATGGCAGTGATCAGAGCTGGATTTTTCAATTGATTTTCTAACGTGTCAAATTTTCTTGTCATTTCATCCATGTAGGATTGTCCTCTCAAGAATTCAGCAAAATCGAGCTTGGCAAATGCAGCTGGAACCATGCCAATGGCACTACCAACACTGGTTCTACCACCTGTTTCTTCATTCATATAGAATGTATGTAAAAATTGATTCTTTTGAGCGAATTTGTCAAAGTTACTATTCTTGGTAGTAATGGCAATATTGTAAGATCCAATATTTCCATTCTGTGCAATGCCTCTATCCAGAAGCAAACGATTGAAAGTGTTCATATTTCCCTTGGTTTCTGCTGTACCGCCACTCTTGGACATGTTGACAAGTAAACTTTCACTCAAATCCAAAACACCCTTCTCACCAAACAATTGATCAAAGCTTTCAGCATCTGTATTGCTCACAAAATACAATCGAGCAAGACCATCCCGTTGTTGCAAATCATTGAAATAAATTCCCTTGATCGCCACACACAACAACAATGGACCCAAATACGATCCACCAATACCATTGAAAATCACATTCTTGTAAGCTTTGCCATTTTGTGGATTTTTGAATTGTCCACTCGTGATTGCATTCACCTTTTCAACAATATCTTTCCACAACTGTAAGCTATCCTCGAGAGACTTGCCAGCCACACTTGAATGCTTCAAACGTAAATTGTAGTGATCAACACTACGATTTTCAGATTCGGATACAATCACAGTCTTGTTGACGACTTGTCCAGTTTCGATTTGATGAATCTTTTCGGAAGCAACTTTCACGGCATGAGCATAATTTTCCTTCAACAATGTTTGAATGGTTGTGGTTGGAGAGGCTGTCTGGGAGAGAAATCCCGAAATATTAAAGGTAAAATTGGTGGAAGGATCGTGAAGAATGTAACCAGGTTGAGTGTAGAGTTTGTCCATTGCTTGTTCTTTTTGTGGTGAAAAAATCAATCTTCATTGAATTTCCATGAATGATCATGATGATCGGAATGTTGATGGATGGTTGTATGAACTGAAACTTACATTTTTTTGAATGTTCTTTCTGGCAATCGTAAGAAAAAAGCTAAATTTGTCATTCGTCTGTGCCCGACTCGAGAGTGTGGACAAATGTTGAGATGTGGCGATTCGCAATAATTATTATTATTATTGTTCGCAAACACCAATGGCCCTGCAAGCGCTGATTCAGCCTTACATGGACATTGCTTCAAGTTTCCAATCGTTGATTTTTCTCAGGAGCAATCGTGTTCGTAAGGTTTGAGCATGACATGAAGAGTGAAGACGATCCGTGATGAGGTTTAAGGCATCCTGAAGGAGTGTGAAAATGTGACGACCGTCTGGACTGTGCGTGAGGTGGGCTTTGTACTTGAAGAGTTTTTCAATGTTGGCTTTAAGAAAGCTTTCCAAATGTTTCAATTCTTGTTCCGTTTGAATGGTTTGGTGAGTTCTTTCATGTATTTCTAAAATAATGTCGAAAGAATCTGATAAATAGGAGGTTTGCTTGATGTTTTGTAATTTGTTTGGAGATGAGGAAGAAGTAGGTGAGTCCTGATGAAGAAGAAAACCTTCAAGTTTGCTCAAAGAATCAACATCATCAACAGGATTGGTAGGCTTTTTGAAAAAGTGGTCCCTTACATGGTCGTTAGATTCATGCTTTTCCTTTGTTTCATTCTTGTCACAATAGGGAACGCTCTTCGAAAGATAATCAGGAGGAGTTTTATCTCGAGTTGTGTGTTCAGCTCTATTTGATAGAGTGGTGGTTAACGACTTGTTTGTATGACTCACTGCCACAGAGTTAATAATGAATGGTTCGAGTTCATTAATAATTTGATCCAATCGTCCTGTTTTGATTTTCACAAGATATCCAATAAACTCTGAAAGAACTATTCTCTTGGCATCAATTAATCCTGGTCTGTTAACATGTAGTCTCTCTTACTGTTGTAATATCAGAAAGTAGTACCTACGTGATTTGAACAGTAAATTTTCGAGTAAAATAATTATACATTTTCTCTCTAGAAGTTATGTCTGTAAATTCCTCAATTTTCACTAGCCCTTTGGACATCAGATTGTAAATTGCTGAAACTGCATGTTCTACAGTAATAACGCTGTGAGATATTGTTTCTAGAATGGATGAAGAACGACATTGGTAATTTTCATTGCCAAGTTTCTCTTTTTTTTCCCTAATTATTTCTGATACAATGTTTGATTTTCTTGGAGTGAGTATTGAATAGTCCAAATCATTTAGCAAATCATCTACTGATTTTGGAATTTCTATGAGAGATGGCCGTAATTCAGGGATTTGGTTTTCGAACTCGCGATGTACAATGAAAGAATAAAAGGCTTTTAACGAAAAATCGTCAACTAAAAACTTGTCGAAAATTGCAATGCTCTCATAGTTATGTTTGTAAGCTTTGATCGACTTGAGTATATCTTTCCATATCTAAATATCAACCACCACCAATATTGAGGCAGGTACATTTCTCAATATTAGAGTTTCATGATAAAACACATACCATGTCAATGATAATCTTGTCATGATATTTTGTTGTAATCATGGTGTGAATAAGTAGTGATGTAGAGTATCCATGGGTTGCAATTATTTGGCTACCTTTGTTCGATGATGTAAATAATTGATAACAATACTCATAAATTTGTAAAATTACATCAAGAAGCCATTCGACCGATTTTGTGTTGCTACCATAATATACATTATTTACAGAGGACAGTTGTGATTCCGCTATGTTATTTTGATGATACAGAATTTGTGGAGTTGTTGCCTTCTTCTCAAAATGAATTATTTCTGGATCATCAAGCTCTGGTTCGGATGTTAAGTCCGCTGAGTTTAAAAACTCTTGGGTGTCGTTGCATGGAAGAAATTCATTTTCAAAAGAAGACAAGGAGAAAGTGGCTTCTGGGGTCTCTTGAAAACATTTCCCGATATCATTATCGGATTCGTTTTGGCATTTTCTTGAGTTATGTTTTTCCGATTCAGTTTCTTCATTGTAATTAAATTGCAAATAATCATCAATTTTTGAATAATCCAAAATAAAAGCCTTATTATTTGAGCTTGATGACACCCCAGTAGGAAGGTTTATAGGATATTTCAGGAACATCCATTCATTTTCTTGGATCCGTTCCATATCATCATCCCGATGATCAAACGAATCAATGCATTTGCTCAAAAACGACCTCCGCGTTTGGTTTTGAGAGCTCTCTCCATACATCTTGCTCATTTTTTTTAACTGAATTTAAGGAATTGAGGATTAAGGCAACCCCAATAATGGGATTTCCAAATCTAGATTTTAATCTTGTTTTTTTTCGTTTTGTAAATACTTCTATTTACACTACCAATTAATTCTTGGGTCATTGTCAGTCTCTACCAGCTGTCTCTTTCCTCAAAACTGTGTTTACTTTCTAATAGTCACTTTCACTTGTTCATTCTCACCTCGTATAACCAAAAAGCATCACCATCGTCACGACCAAAGCAGCAATTCCCAACGCAAACACCCAAAACAAAATCAACACATTCGCAGCACAACATCCCACAAATCCAAACTCAATGGCTCGCTCTGCAATTTTCCTCACTCGTCGATACGGAGAGTCCTTGTATCGATTCCCGCGGAAGGATCGAACATATTTCCATCGAGCATCCTCCAAAAACGAACATTCATGATTATGGAAAATGAAATTCTTTCGAATCAAGGGTAAGAAACAAAAACAAGAATAGAAACAACCACAACAAAAGAGCCAACTACCCACGGCGAGGAGAGTGCATTTTCGAGTGAGACGAATGACTTGATCGTATTCTTCACTTTCTTTGAGTCGAAATGAAGGTTTCGAAGAATAGTCATAACCTCCAAGTGGTGGTGGTTGTTGTTGTTGATTCATATCGATGGAAGATGCAAAGTGTGGTTGTTGAGAATGAATCATTCCGTGACCGAGGGGAGTGGCGAGTGTGGGGTCTGTTCCAGAACTAATGTAATAACAAACTCGAGATAATTGTTCATCGTAATTGGAGGTTCTGTCTTCGGATTCGGAAGGGAAATCGAGCATGTTGAATGCGCATGTAGAGAGTGTGAGTGGTTGAACAGGTGTTTTTGTTACTCTCGAGTAGTTGTTGGTAAAATGTTTGTTGTTGTAAGGAATTTCAAATAATTATATTGTTGAATGTCTCACTTGATTGGAATATTGACTACTACTCTAGAAAAACACTAATACCGGTTTCAAGACTTTCTTTTTTCTAGTATGCAGTAGTGTTAGCCAAGAACCAACGACTAGTTTTTTTGAAGTCAGTTGTCTATTTTAATATAATTGGTAATAACCTGTTTATAGACTTTCATGAAGTATAAAATTGAAGAGTTAGTTTTGACCAAATCTCACCCTTTATTTATATGAAAGGGATGACTTTATATTAAATCCTAACATCTTCAAAAGCTCCTGTATATTCAAAAGTTGAATTTCCACATCAAGTTAATTCGAAACATCATGTCCAAACAACACGAATAGCAACTCGATGACTATTTCGCAACTTTTCATGTAACTTTTCAGTAACGCTTTGATTCGTTACAACACTCAATGGATTCCAATTTTATTTTTAATTTTATTTTCATTAAAGTCTCCATTGAGGTGCTGCAGAGTTACTCTCAATATTACTCTCAATATCTTTTGCTTGTTTCATCTCCTTATCTACATTGGAAGTGTAACGCTTATTTCCTCCCTCAGAATCTTTATAATGCAAATCCGATGGGTCGATCTTGTTGCCAATATTTGATTTTTCTTGAAAATCAGAACCTCCTCCTCCTGTACTGGAAAGGTTGATGTTGCTACTACTATTCATTTGACCTTCTTTTTGTGAGGTTTCTTGTTGTTTCTCAGATTCGCTTTGTTTGAGAATGTCGGCTGCTTTGGTAAATTCCTTGTTCATGTGAATGAGTTGTGTATGGATGAATAATGTGGTTTTTTGTGTAAAGAGTAAATATGTTGTGATTCAGGATAGAATTTGTTTCGACACTCATAGTTGAATTGGATATTAAGGTTCATGGATACCGAGTATGGAAAATTGCTAAGTCTGATGATGACTTGTTGAATATCATCTTCTGAATCTATCTAATATCTAATCCAAATTATTTGGAAGAAGGTACATTCTTTCCACATGTGCGAGAATATTCTCGAAGGTATCGTTTGAACGTTTTTGCCTTCAATCGCTCCATAACTTCTGAGATGGCCATGTCAAACATTCCAAATGTAGGGAATTGAGAATGAAGTTGCAACAATTCTTCACAAGTCGAAGAGAGATGAATCTTGGAATCCATCAATGGATTGTTACCCATGGATGGAGCATGAGTGAACGCTGGCATGGATTGAGTATGAACAAATTCTTTTCCATTTTCGTGTTGTTGCTTGGACTCGTGTGAAAATGTGAAAAATTTTTCAATCATTGATGTCGCTTCTTGTCTCATTCGTTTCTTCTTCTCCAAATATTCATGTTCACAATTATTCGTCATATCCAATACAATTTCCGATTTGACTTTCATTTTGGGTACTTCAAACAATGTCCTATCTTCATATTCTGCTCGCGAATATTGTTCTTGAAAGAGTAATGCTTTTCGTATGAATTTCAGTAAATTCAATTGATGTTCTTTTTTGGCAATTGTTTTCAATACATTGCGATAAATGTCATCTTCTTTGACAATACTCTTCAACATGATTCCATCCATATAATCATTTCCAGTTTGTAAAATGCTCATTTCTGCTTGATGCAAACGAAGAGATTCATAAAAACTATCCATATGTTTTTGGAGGGTCCTATTTTCTTCTTCCATGAACATTTGGTTATGTTTTAACATTTGATATTTCAACTCAAGTTCTTTGAATTCCTGTTCGTATGATTTGTGACATTGTTTTTTCATGTTGTGTAATCGTCGCGCAAATTGTGTTTGATGAGAATGTAATTCTTGAAGCAATGCGTCAAAATTGTTCATAGCATTTTCTTGTTGTTGTCCAAAATTGGTATTCGTGTTCACAACTGAATTCTGAGTGACCTTATTCGAGCCCATAATCAAATGAGTGGGTGAAGTGTATGATTCCATTTCATTAATCTCATGCTGTGGAGAAGCGGGCGTCGTTGCTGTCGAAGAGGATGTCGACGACGATGTCGATGAACTATTCGTAGCCGTCGCTTCATCTGAAACTTTACCCTTCTTGTTGCTGGCACTGGAAGGACGTGTGTAGAGTAGGGGATCATCATCAAGGTCATCATAATCTAAATAATGTCTATTTGAGTTTGAGCTTTTTTGAGAGGATCCATCGTTCACAAATGAATCTAATGTTGAGACAGATGATCTTGGTGATTCACAGTGTTTGGACCATTTGATATCATTTTCGTCAAAATTTTCTGGCGAATGATGCGTCGTTTCATTGACATTGTAAGGTTCATCAGTGGCACCGTTCGAGAAGTAATCATTTTCAATTTTCAATCGAAACACTGCAATGTAAGCTGGTGTTGTCTCTTCGAGTGTGGAATTTGACATTTCTCCCAATGAGAGTTCGACTGGAAATGTGACACCGTTCGATCTCTTTCCAAGGAGAGTTCTAGGTTTTCCAATTAATCTCTTATCTCTTCGTTTTAAATAACGTTTCATGTAATCGTCATGAACTGTTGCGAGATGAGAAGGCATTAAAATTTTGACATTTTGTCCAATTAATTCTTCTCTTGAAAATCCAAATAAACTCGTCATGGCATCATTGACAGAGAGAATAATTCCTAGAGCATCTGAAATCACAGCAGCATCCAACACTGCGCTTAATAAAGTTTCCATATGATAGCTCACTGAATTTCGTGACACATTCGTACTACCAAATTTAGAACTGTGTTGTGAACTCGATTGTGGTCCAGAAATTGCTCGATCCATAACCTGAAACCATTCTTCATATTCCATTTCATTTTCAGCAACCAACATGATCAAACTCGATGTCTTTTTCGTCTCTGTGTTGCAATTCTTCAAGTCATTTCCATCAACAATCGTAATGGCCATACTAAAATTCTTTCCACAAATATTTCTCGCACTGTGTATTTCATTCTTCATGAGTGTGGTGGTCATGGCAGTTTCCTTGTTGTTATGGCCGCCATAACCACAATCATCATCAACACTGTGCATGGTTAAATGATATTCTTGAAGAGGAGTCGTGCGATGAGAATCCTCATCGTTCATTTGTTTTTTGAATTTCTTTAATTTTCCATCGAGTGTCAAAACAAACCAATATCTGAAGATATCAAGCATGATGATGATGAATCATGTTGTTGTTGTTGTCATGTTAATATTGTTGTTGAAGTTGTGTCATGTTTGATGAAAAGTGTTGAATGACACAAACAATAAATTTGCGAGGACTTACTTTTTCCATCGATTGAATAAACTGCCTTCTTTTTGTTGTAAATATCCACTCTTGATGATTGAATGAGATGGCATGATTTCTTTCCGATTAAAGCAATGTCAGGTCTTTCAAAGTTTTTGTTGTTGTGACAAGGTGTTGTGGAACGGTTTTTTTGTGTAGTAAATGAAAGGTGTTGTTATTGCAGCCCGACACTTTCAAGTCCTATTACCCAGATTCTTTTTGTGGATGGAATCAAGAGACAGAATCTTCATTCCAGAAAAGAATCTCAAAGAGTATTGTATAAAGTTCCATGTGCACCTTTTCGAGCGAGTTTGCTAAATTGGATTTACAAAACCATTCTCTCTCTTGCATTACTAGAGTATGGGATGCTCGGTGAATTGCATTATCTCTCTTTGAATTTATTTCGTCGCAGAATTGTGTTCTCGTTTTCATAATAATACAAGTAGTACTTGAAAAGTAAATTTTTAATAATAAAAATGACCGAGCCTCCCTTAAGGTTTTTATTCCGATAACTATGATTGATGAAAATGTTCAATCACCAAAAGACTGAACTCCCACGATTTTTGGGTTTTAAAGTTATTCTTTTCCTTGATTCAATGAACGCATTTTTCGGAGATGCAAAAAGTATGCGCGATTCCACAATATTTCATGCTACTGTGTCGAGATGCAGTTTGTTCTCGTTCAACAGCTCGTAATTTCTTATCTGCTTGTGTCATGTTTTTCGTGTTCACAATCACCTTCTCCATCTTGCTCAATGTGACTGGATTTAAGTTGAATACTTCATTCCATTGACGGATCGTGCAGGGCAATTTAAAGGACTCTTTGATCTGTTCCATGTCTCAAAGTAACAAAACATTCATGAATGAACCTTAAAAGAACGAATGGCTACGGCATCAGTACTGAGGTTGGAGACAACTTGGGAACCTGCAGTGCTGTAGCCATTTTGCCACATGTGCTTACCATCGGAAAGACGAAAGAACGAGGAAAAGATGTTCATAGTTTCGCCAATCCTTCCTCTATTGCCATTTCGTATTATCAATCGTGTATTTTTTCATGGGAAGGTCAATTTGTCAAATCGTTTGGAAATGATAATCAACTATACTGTGCTCGAGCCATATGCTTTTGTAAGGTGACAGGAGAATTGATCATTTGTGACAGTGACAATCATAGAGTGCTTGTTTTACGATAACTATTGTGCATGCCAAAATTTATATTTTTTGTAGCCATTTTAACAAGACATCTTTTTAAATGCAAATATCACTAATGTATTGGAGTAGTAATGATTATTTGCCATGTCAATACAAATCTTTTTGGAAACTCTTCACCAATTCCACATCCTCCAAATTATGATCGTCCAAAGTCAAAACTTCACATCCCAATTCTCGAAAATCTCTCAACTCGGATTCTTCTTTAATTCGTAAGGTGTGTTCAAACTGTGCACTCACACATCCATCCCGAGCAACCACTGTCCATCCGTCACTCTTCCATGTTTTACTTTTCGTTGAACCAGAACAAATGACCGGTTCGATGGTGAAAATCATTCCTGGATGCATGATATCGGTTCCAATAAATTCTTTGCCATACTTGTTTTTAACCATGATTACTTGAGGAAGCCCATGAAAAGAGCGACCAATGCCGTGTCCAACATAGTCAGGACTTGATTTGAATGATGTTCCATGAGCTTGATTGTATTTTTCGAGAAAATTATCAATGGCATTTCCAATCCCTAACGTATATGTCACAACACAAAATAACAGTGTTGAAAATTGTGTATCAATTCGATCCATAGTAATTTTCATGAAATAATAATATTGTTCATAATTATTTTCATCCATAAACATTACTTACTGTACATGGGTTCTCCAGGTCCACACACTTTAATAGCCTCCCACAACGCTTGTTTTGTTACTTTCACAAGAGTTTTATATTCTTCCTTAATTGGCCTTTCGGGTGTTTCTTCATCGGCTCCAACAATATAGGTGCTATTCGTGTCACCATGAAAACCATCCAAATAAACAGTAATATCCAAATTGATAATGTCAGAATATTTCAGAGGCCTTGTATCTGGGATTCCATGAACTAGAACTTCATTGATAGATGTGCAAAGAGATTTTGGAAAATTGTTATATCGAAGTGGTGATGGATAAGCTCCTCGTGAAGTCTTTGTGTGTCCACATTAACAAATTATGATTTTCCATTTACCAGCGTTTTTCGTGACGTTATTATTCCATCATGACATGTTCAATAAATAAATTATATATATTCCAATTCGATTAAAATTATTATTGAAAATAATTATTGACATTTTTCCATTCAATGAGTGAGTAAATAATAATTACGACTACGTATTATTCCAAAAACTCACAATATATTCAAAAACTTTTTCATCAATTTCCTCCGTTGTTACTCCTTCTTTCACCAACGATCCAGCAAATCTCAATACTTCAGCAGCCAATTGGTTCACTCGTCTAATTTTCTGTAAATCCTCTTCCTTACAATGAATTTCCAAATCCATCGAATATTCTCCTTTCATCGTTTCATAATACGGTGGAACTTGAATTTTAGTGGTATCTACACTTTTAAATGCATTCATGACTGGATATTGTCCTTCCATGATTCGATCCGGAGTAAAGTAGGGTGATTCCGGTTTTAAATAATGTTCCGGAGAAAGTTTTTTAGAAGTGGATGATGAGGCTCGAGCACATGGTTTGTTATTGATTGTATGAAATGGTTGTTGTTGTTGCTGTTTTTTCAATAAATAATCAAGATGGGTTGTTGTTGTTGTTGTGGATGTAATGAAAATGGAGGGAGTGTAATGATGGTTATTATTCAGTTCAGCGGCCGAGTTGAAAAATAAATTAAAATGCCTTCTGCATGATTTAAATTTCTTCATTTTTTTTTGTTAAAATTAATTTGTTTTATTATTATGATTTCAATATCAATTATTTGATAACACCAAAACGACTCTACAAACGAGAGCCAGCATTCCAACCTGAACTCTCAACTTCTGAATAATTTTGATAACTTTTTGGAAGAGTCGTGAATTGTTCTGCCTCGTCTTCACCACCAATACTACTCGAAAGACTAATACTTCGGGAATGGTGATGACGAATGGAGGAAACATCGACACGACCAGCTGCTACAAAGCTTGATTGATAAAATTCAATAGGATTGGATGGTTTGCTATTGTTGTTGAAGGAAGTGGGAGCTGCTTGAGCTCGGTTCTCAATGTGAGAAGGAAATGCATAAATTCCACAGCATTTGATGACGAGTAACTTTTTGAATAAGGTCAATAATAACCAAAATACGATGAAAATGACATAAAATCCAATTAAAAATCCTAAATGTCCAAGAAATGCAGTGTCTCCCTTATTGTAATCTAGCAAGTCGCCATATGGTAGTGTTCGAATGAGATTCGTCTCTTTCAATCCAATGACGTACAAGAGATAGGTTGGACAATATAAACCCACAAGAAATATATGCCAGAATCTAAAATAAAAGTCTGAAAACAGGGCCTCAATGACGCTACCAGTAAATGTTAAAGCATGAGCAGAAACGATCATGAAAGTAATTCGATCGATTGGAAAATTTCCTGTTGGGATGATAACTGCCCAAAATCCTATAGTCACAACTCCACTGGCTACTAAATTCAATTCAGAAATGATCCATACGACATTTCCGCTCCAGTTCAATAATTTTTCCAACCATGGAGGCATGATATCTACGTATGGAAATGTGACAGTGTCTGTATTGCCACTTCCAATGCTATTTCTCTTCCTCTTATAAATAAATGCCACGACTAAGAGTGTCACATGATATATCATGACCACAATGGTATAGAGTAGAAATAAATTAAAGGTATTATTGGTGAGATATTTGGTGTAATTGAACCATATATCGGCCACACTTCTATTTCCTCTATTTTCGAATTGATAAATATAAACAGCAGTGACAATTGCAAGTGTCAAATTTCCAAGGCGAATAAATAATAAAATTGCACTCGAAATCCAACAAGAAACGTTATACTTGTGAACGCTTTTTGGTGTCACTGATCGAATTTTCACAGAAACATTTGTATCTGTAATGAGAGGGTCATGTTCACTAGTGGAATAGGAGCTAATGGTTGAACAACTCGAACACATTCGATCTAATAATTGGAACGGTGTCGAATGATACATGGCAAACGAGCCATTCTCATTAATAGATGCCAACGAGTTGTCAATTCCCAATGGTGTTGACAAGGCAAAATTCTTGAAATTTCTCCATCCGAAAAAGCACATCATCCTCCAAACCAAAGAACTTCTCTGATGTTCCTCTTTATCTTGCTCCTCGACTGCAAATGCTTCAATACTATCCTCAAATCGTCCATATTTTGAATAGTACATGGACGGTGTTTTCCGTCGACTACTTCTCCGTCGATGAAACGTCGTTTTCAGTTTGTCCAGAATTTTACGAACCACAAATATTTCATACAGTAACGGAATGACAATGGTTAATACCAACGGAACCAATAAGAAACAAATATCAAAGGTAAGAATGAAGCCTCTAACGAGTGCAATATCATGAGCGGTATGATTGGTTGTTGCTGTTACACCATGAATGGATGAAATTTCTTGTAGTAGTTGTTCCGATATTCTAATGGAATTTCTCATTGGATCCTGTTGGTTGGAAATGATTGAAGATGAGGTAGCTACTATGGATGATGAAAACGATGAAGAAGAAGAAACAGAAATTTTCATACCAGAATTCTGAATGATCCAATCAAACAGATTCGTACCAAACGTGATGAGCCATTCATGATTATTCTGTTGGTTGCGTAGAAAATCCACAAACAACGACCGCATCATGAGGTTCTCTCGAGATCCGATTCCAAAAGAAGTGTTGTTGTCGGTGAACCACACACAAATTCTGCGTTTGGTTGATTTTTTTTAAAGTGTTTTCAGGATTTTTGAATTTCGAATTCATATCCAAATGGGTGTCAGGTTGGAAAAAGTCATATGGTGAGTGCAGGATTATGAAATCATGAATGTGCAAATATGCTCCTCTTTGGAATGTTACGGGGTTGAAAGTGTTGTCGTTGGTTGTTTTGTGAAATAAATTTTCGTAATTCATTTAAAAAAAATGAAGAGAAAATTGAATACCATTTCGAGTGCAAGCAATTCATCCTCAAATTCGGATGCAAATCAATCAACGTTGAAAAAGCCTAAAAAACCCATGAAACAATCAAGATTAAATTTCGGAATGATGGGTACAAATAAGAAATCGAGTAGTAGCAGTAGTAATGAGGATTCGGAAGGTGCGGTTGTGTTGGTGATTGATGAGGACAATGATGAAAATAATTCTTTGAAAACAAATTTTGAAACAAACAAATGTGTGTTGTCCAATTCGAGCCTAAGCAGTACCAACAGCTTATCTTCTCAATTTTCCAATTCTTTAGAGAATATTCATTCATCGGTCCGATCGTCATCGGATTTATTATCACCAATATTACTTGGAATTGATCATCCCTATGATATGAATCAGAAATTCAAATTTATTAGTTGGAATGTGAATGGAATTTCTGCCATCATTCGAAAACAACCCAATTATCTAAAGAGAATTTTCGAGAATGAAATGCCCATTTGTGTTTGTCTTCAAGAAACAAAATTGTCGACGGATATTAAGATTGCTGACATGCAAAAGTTTCACTTCAAAGGTTATGAAAGTCATTTCAATACGTCAGAGGCAAAGAAGGGTTATTCAGGAACTGCTGTTTATATTTTGAAGAAGAGTCCTTATCGAGTGGTTCGAGTAAAGTTTGGTATAGGAATTGAAAAACATGATCAAGAAGGAAGATGTATTACAGTAGAATTTGAAAAGTTTTATTTGGTCAAGTAGGTTTTCTTGGATCACATTTGCCACGATTTTAATGAAATGGCTAATCATCAAATGTTTGGTTTTTTTTCATGTCATTCAATTTCATGAAACATGAACAGTACCTATTGTCCCAATTCTGGGCAAAACCTTGAACGCTTAGATTATCGAACGAAAGAATGGGATATTGATTTATTGAAATATTTTGAAAAATTGGAAAAGAAAAAACCAGGTATGTGAAGCAACAGATACTTTAATGAATCGTCATCTTTGAATTTCAACTGTAGTGATTTGGACAGGAGATTTAAATGTTGCTCTCACACCCATTGACATACACAATCCAGAAGGCAACGTGCGATGTGCTTGCTACACACCTGAAGAACGTTCCAGTACTCCAATTGTCACAAAAACAAATCCTCCCTTCATTGATGCATTCCGATTAATTCACGGAAATAAGAAATTCTGTTACACCTATTACGGATATCGTAACAATAAGAGAGACAAGAAGGAAGGTTGTCGAATTGACTACTTTATTTGTAGTGAACCCTTAAAACCTTACATTGAAGATTGTTACATTTTAGAAGACTATTATGGAAGTGACCATCTTCCTATTGGATTGATATTGAGCAATAGTAGTAGTAGCAGTAGCACTACAACTTCCACTACTGTGAATCAGCAGAATCAACCAACGAGTGAAGCACCAATTCCTGTGTTGTCATCATCAATTGTTGAGATTGAATCTTCGTCGTCCAATGAAACCCTTCTATCAAAATTCTAGAATATTCATTGGAGTGGACTCCTCAAATGCCAATAGTCCACTCCATGGACCATGATAATCTTTCACAAGAAGAACCATCTCTATTGATTTACTTTTTTGAGAAGGAGAATATTCCTCATATGTTTATACATGACAAGATTCAACAATATTGAATGTAATACCTCTCTCTATAGGATCATGCTAGTGTTCGACGTCGAATAACACCCAGAATATTGAGAGAGCATGGAACGGACAAAAAGTATTTTTTCTCTGGTTGAGCGTAAGGTGATGTCTCAAGACAAGATTATCTCCCACACATCAAACTTGTATTCTTCATGGTGTGGATTTGATGCCTCTAGCCTCATGACTTGTGTGTCACACCATCATGATGTGGTGTCGCTTCTCTCGCTTCGTTTAAAAGTGAGCGCTTTTTCTTGGGTATGTACAAAGTAAGAAAAAACAAAGCTACTCTACAACAGCGCCATCACGGCCACACAGTAACAACTCGAAAGCCTCAATCTTTCAAGACATTTAAGAGCGCCACAGAGTTTGAATAATAATTGCCAATATTGACAAACAACAAGTGGTCCAAAATGGGTCTTGCAATTTCCAATTGTTCCGATAAATGTCTCAAGGAAATTCCATCTCCTCGACAACGTTTGACATCACTCTCATCACGAACAGGGAGTATGGGAAAGACATTGGTTCGAAATACATCCGAAGGCTCATGTGCTTCTCCAACCGGTACCAATGCAACAAATTTCGGAATGGACAATCAAATCGAAGGCTTTATATCTCAAAAATTAATCACGTTTTTGAAATCGAATGCTTACTACAAGAATCGAACCATTCCTGAAGAACAAGAATTATGGAGAACTATTTTAAAGCAATCGGTAATATGGTCAATTTTAAGCACACCTTCGAAATTGAAACAAATGTACTTGGCAGGTCATGAGAGAGCGTTTTTGGCATTGAAACCAAAACTCGATGATTTGGAAGAGGAGTTTAAACCAGTTTTGAAACGATTTGGTAGTTTTGATGCTACCAATGATGACACGGATGATATTAATGCCGTTTCAAAATCTGTGGACATGTGGCAACTGATCGATGTTCCAGAATTTGACATGACGGATGTGTCACAAATGATCAATTTGAATAAGAATTTCAGTGGAGTGAGATTACTCTTATTACCAACGTATCCAACCATACCTCATAACACAAAAGTGAACATGCAATTACATGACGAGCCATTAGCACGAACTATGAGACATTTACTTTCTCCTCTTGGAGTGGATTTAACATTTGACATTCGAGAGGACATTTACATGAAACCAGTGGTTGCCATTGGATCTATACTATTTGAATGGGACTCTACTGTTGGATTGTGCGTTCCAAGATATTGCTTACAACTCTCAAGAATGGCCGTAACCGAGAATTGCATTTATTACAATAATCAGATTAATATGGAGGAAGTATGGGATGTCGTGAGTAATGTTGTGTGTGAGTGGAATTCGACCAAACCATCCCTGTTTACTTGTAGTCAGCAATCACAGCAACGATCACAAAGTATTAGTGGACGAAAACAATCCATTCCATCCAGTGCAATGGGGAGTGAAGTTTTTGAAAATAAGGATCGAAGTCAAGATTGTTCTGCAATTTATTTTACGTATGATTTGTTGAGTGCTATTGTGAAACATTGTTCGTTGAAAAAGTCAGCAAACGAAACGCCAAGCACAATGAATACAATCACTTCACAACAACATCATGATGTAGAAGATGAAATTGCACAACTCTTTTTCCCAGACACAGAAACATGCTCGTCCATTCTGGTTAAGGAATTATTGCATGAAACTTCGCAATTACCACCAAGCAAGCTGTATGATGGAGGAGACTCCATGTCTCTTAAATTTCCATTGTCAGAACTATTTCGAGAGCATTTTGAATTACCAATTCTTGGACCAAAAACGATCGAATTTTCGAATCACCATGAATTGGATGAGTTTGTGCAAAATTTACTGTCCAAAGATCCAAAACTGAAAGAAAAGTTTCCATTCGAATTTGCCATACTGAGATGCATTGATCGATGTTTTTGGGTTGGTCATCTTCATGATAACGATGATGAAACGTTCTCGCCAAACACAATGATGTGTTGTCCTTTTGGTGACCCAACTGTCGCTGCTGGATTAACGTTTATGAAAGATCATTAAAAACTAGTTCCATTGAAATTTCGAAGAGTTCATTTGTTAATCTATAATTCCGTAAATTATTCGAGAGGTCGATATGCAGGTCTTCTGTTTTTTCTCCAAAAGAAACACCATGTACAAATTCCAAATGAAATGATAACAATCATCACTCCTGATATAACTGAGACGCTCACAGCAATGATCACGTTATGATTATTGTCACAAATAACAGGATTAATCCATTGTTTGGGTTTGGGGGTTTCCACATTTTGTATTCTATATCCTTGAATAGTATTTCCTGTTTGCTCTGCTTGCAACTTGATGGTGTTGCATCCTTGATTTTGGACGCCAAAAGTCACCAAAGATGTGAGGCCAAAGGCTCGACCAATTTTTGGGCACAAATTACAGTCCGAAATGTCTTGCACCCAAAATTGCAAGTCTTCACAAATGGATTTTGTTGCAATCATTATACCAAGCTCAGGTATCATTTCATATTTTCCAGAAATGTTCAACGATAAAAAGTTATCTTGTAATTTGCATATCGTTCGTGCTGTAGAATAATCAATGTTTTGATTCACTTGCAACACAAATGTTTGATCTGTGAAGCGTAAATATGCGTTTTGGGCAAAATTAGGGAAAACATCCATTCGATCCATTCTCCACATGGACGATGAAATAGGACACGATGAAAATCGATCCACAGGATAAACTAATCCTTTCCAAAATACTGGAAATTGTTTTTCTGGCATTGGATATTCTATGGACCAATAAAAATTCAAATTCTCTCCATCCTCATCGACGTCGTACAATGAATACGAGTAATTTTTCTCAGGCATCCACAATTCAGCATACGTCTTACATCCAGAAGGATCCATTAATCCATTAGGCAACAGTAAATTTTCACAACTCAATTGATTCACAATAAAATCAAATTGTGTGGTCAGATTCTTCTGAATTTCATACGTTCCAGTCAAATGAATGAAAATTGGATATTGTCGAATACCATGTTCATAATCCGAAGTTTTCAAAATATGAACATCCACTGTATTGGTGGTATTATCCAATTTAATACTAAAAATCTCGCTTTCATAACTTGGAGCATCATCATCTAAAAAGCCTCTCCAAGTATGATCAAAGACAAACTCTTCCCAATTCTTCGGAGCTCGATCTCTCAGAAGAGCTGAATTCCTTCTTTGACTGGATCTTGTATTCAGAGTAGTTAATGATGCTGATTCCAATAATGATGAAGTTGTTGTTGATCCTTCATGATGATGAGAAGAAGAGGAGAGGAATGAAATTTCGGAACCATGAATCATGATTGGATGATTTATAAATAGGAAGAGAGAAATAACTATTAATGAAAGGATGAATAACGATGATGATAATGGAAGGGATTTGTTCTTCATTCTATTTTGCTGTGGTTGTTGATGATGATGATGAACGATGAATTTCGGAACAAACATTTTTTTTCATCATTTCTGAAGAAAATTTCAAAGTTTGATTTTAATACTTGACAACAAATGTGTTAGAAATTATTTTAGAAATTATTTGGAGAACTTGTAGCTTACTTGAACGCCTCAATACAAATCATTCCGTTATGCTCCAAATAATTTCCAAAATTTTGCAAGTCCTTTCTCTGAAGTGTTCCAATCATTTCCATGGGATGAAATTTGACAGTGTGAAATCCAGCCTTCTTCAATGATTTTTCATACGTTTCTGCATTGAAATGATGATTGAAAAATTTCACCACATAATCTTCATGTTTGTTATCTTCATTGAAATTCAAATCAATTGAAAATTCAAATCGATCTCCGTCTTTCATGACACTTCTTCCTTCTTTTTCAGCTGTTGGAAATTGAGATCGAAAACATCCAAAAGTTTGTTGTTTTTCACTAACAAATGCTTGATTGAGAAATGGATCAGTATTCAATGTCACGAAAGAACCTCCTGGTTTCAACACTCTTGAAATTTGTTCACACATCGTTTCCAATTCTTCCACACTTGAAGAATAATGAAGAAGGAAACAAGCACTCACAAGATCAAAACATGCAGTTTCAGAAGAGGATGTGGATGGATCTAAATGTTGATGGATCCACTGTTTCATTGCTTCATTCTTGTCCAATTCTAAAACATCTCCAACAATGAAATGAACTGGAAAATGAGAAAGATGATTCTTCTCCATTCGTTTCTGTTTACTCTGATTGGCAATATTAATCATTTCAGGAGAAAGATCGACAGAAAGAATGGCTTCAAGTTGAGAGTGGAATTGATTCCAAAGTGAAAATGTGTCATGTCCAGAACCACATGCTAAATTCAACAATTTAATCTTGGGAGTGTTTGATGTTGATACATGTTGTAGGGAATGATTGAAATGTTTTAAAAACGTGGGTCCAGTGATGTGTTTGTAATTGGGATGGAATTGAATGAGATCGTATTTGGAGGAAATTTTGTCGTAGATTTCTTTGGTTTCTTGACTGCTTTGTGAGGCCATGATAGATCAAAGGCTGTTATTATTGTTTGATCGATTTGTGGTGGATGGGTTGTTGAGATATGGTTGGTTTGACTGTGTTGTTTTTTTTCGTTAGTTGTATGCACGTTTGATTACGTTTTTGTGGTCATGACAGTGACGTTGTGAAATCTTGTCACGACACTTTTTTGTCTTGAAGTTGAAATGTTGAATATAAAAAGTGCGAGTCTGAGTGTGACATTTGAGAGCTTTTATGTGAAATTTCAACTGGCATGAATTTGAACTTGGACATTAGGCTAAATGGTTGTCACGGATCATGTGGGAGCCAGCTTATTTAAGTGCCTCAATACAAATCACTCCATTATGCTCCAAATATTTGCCAAAGTCTTTCAAATTGGTGTTTTGTGGCTGTCCAATCATTTCCATGGGATGAAATTTGACAGTGTGAAATCCAGCCTTCTTCAATGCCTTTTCATACGTTTCTGCATTGAAATGATGATTGTAAAATTTCACCACATAATCTTCATGTTTGTTATCTTCATTGAAATTCAAATCAATTGAGAATTCAAATCGATCTCCGTCTTTCATGACACTTCTTCCTTCTTTTTCAGCTGTTGGAAATTGAGATCGAAAACATCCAAAAGTTTGTTGTTTTTCACTAACAAATGCTTGATTGAGAAATGGATCAGTATTCAATGTCACGAAAGAACCACCTGGTTTCAACACTCTTGAAATTTGTTGACACATCGTTTCCAATTCTTCCACACTTGAAGAATAATGAAGAAGGAAACATGCGCTCACAAGATCAAACAGTTGCTCATTGGAGGAGGCTTCAGCGGGGTCTTTGGGAAGTGAATTTGATGAAAATGGTGAGTTGTGACTGAAAGAAAAATCGGTAAAGCATTGAGCCACTTGCTCATTCTTGTCCAACTCCAAAACATCTCCCACTACGAAATGAATTGGCAAATGAGAGCCGTTTTCCTTCTCCATTCTCTGTTGTTTTTTCAGATTTGCAATGTTAATCATCTCAGGTGATAGATCGACAGAAAGGATCATTTCAAGTTGAGATTGGAATTGATTCCAAAGTGAAAATGTGTCTCTGCCTGATCCACATGCCAAGTTCAACAACTTAATTTTCTTGGGAGTTGAAGTTGAGAGGCGTTGTAAGGCATTGTCGAAATGTTTTAAAAAAGTTGGAGTGTTAATGTATCTGTAGCAAGGATGAAACTGAACGAGATCATACTTGGAGGAAATTTGATCATAGATTTCTTTGGTTTCTTGGCTGGTTTGGGAGGCCATGTTGTTGCTGAGCTATTGATTTGTCTTTGTTGTTTTTTTGTGTTGGTAATGGTTACTGTCGTTGTGATCTGACCAATAAATAATGCATGACAACGTGAAAGGAGGATACTACAAAGCTCTTTTTGTTCATTGAGCAGGGTGAAGTTGAAATGTTGAACGGGAAATGTGCCACATCTACAAAAAAGTGTTGGTCTTACTGTGACACTTGATGAAAAGTGTTTTACCCGAAACGTCGCTAATACTGGTACAAAGTACTTTTCTGGTCCATCGATCAGATGTAATCCAAGTCTGTGTAAGTTGCAACATTTCTAATTTCAATGTCTGTGAATTGTGAACGCTCCCACTTGTACAAAATTCTCCTGTTAAAAATGTGTTGTTTGTGGAAGAGAGAGCTTAATTCACAATTCACAAACATTTCATTCACGTTCATTGTAATTGAGTCAAACACTTCCTTAATATCAAATGATTCCAACAGGTTTACCACGTGCATGGTCAGTTCAGGCACATTAGTTGAATTTCCATTTTCATTCATACAACGGTTGTGAACGGAAACAAATCGATCTCTAATGTAATTAAATACTTGATAGGGATTTGTCTTGTTGCCAGTAAAATCTGAAAAGAATTTTGAAAGAGCTTGGATAGCGTCACCATTTCTAATTTTCTGAATGAATACATCGACTTTGGTGAAAAGAAGAATTTTTCGAATGTGTTGTTGTCTCTGAATATCGGATATGGTCTTGATTTTTGTTAGGACTTGTTCAAAATATTGCAAGCTATCGAGTAATCGATTAGAATTCCCTAATTTGACAATGGAGTCTCTACTACTAGGAGAAATTAAATCTTCAAAACAAACTAAATCAATTTCTGAAAGAGGAACCATAAATACAATGCAATCCAAGTTAGGTTTTTCTAAAAAGTTTTGTTGAGCAATTTGAGTGTCACGCTTGTCTCTCCAACCCAAAGTTTCAAACAAGAGAAATTTTCGAGTTTTGTATGATCCATCGTGTTCTAAGTTGAGATGAGTAAAATCTACCACTGGCATACTTTCTATAGTAAGAGTCTTGGCTCGAATCATATCTTGACAAGTCATGGCATTGACTTTTTTCAATTTTTCAATCCTTCCATCTTGTAAAAAGTATTCAATATTTTCTCCCAATAGAGGTGTTGGAATTTTTCTTAAATTTCGTTCACGGTATGACTTTTGAACAAGTGGATGTTTCCACAATTCTTGCATTACTTTGAAAAATTCCTTTTGTTTCCAAAGACGAGAAATGATGGCTAGTTGTCGTGGAGTGCTACTAGAGGAAGAATTTGCGTCAGTGGAATTTGAAGAAAGGCCGTGCGAAAATGAATCAGTAGAATTGTTTTTAGGACTAGAAAGTGGGGAAATTCTGGGAGAGGAATCTTGTTCGTGATGATTACCTGTTTTGGGAGAAATCATAGTTTGGAATTGTTGATACAAATTTGAGAAATTTTCAATAAACTCGGGAGAAGAGTTGTGAAGTAAATGATTTAAATTCACCTCATGTTGTGAGGAAACCAACACTTTCAAATAATAAATGCAATAAATGAGAATCGAGTCACGAATTGATTTCAATTCGGCGGATGTAAAATTGTGACTTCTCATTTGTTGAAGAAGCGTGGCTTTTGAAATGCATGCATTAAATATAAAATAAAATGCATATTGTCAATGGCAAATATCGATGGCAAAAAAGGCGGGATATAAGTTGATCAACATATGATTGGCCATCAAGCCTAGAAGTACTTACTTTTTCCGCTATCAATACCTCCAACAAGTACCACAAGTCGACAATTTTCAATTCTATTCAAATTCTTCTCCCTTGGGCTTACCATGTTTGCCACTGCTTTTGAGTAAATACTGTATTGTGCACCTCGTGGTGTCTTTTCTCCAGCATGCTGGTGCATACTAGTCGTGGAAGGCGACAATCCTCCATTCTGATGAGATGAATTATTAGTTCCAATACTTAATAAGGAAGCAATGGAGATGGATCTAAAACTACGTGTTCTATTGGACATTCCGCCATTAGAGTGTGGAGATGCCTTACTAGTTGTATCAGTGTTTTGGCTTAATTGTCCCATATCATTCATGGTAATTTGAAGGGGTGGAATGATCACTTGAGCCTTGTTATTTGAATTTGATTGAAAACAACTCTTTCCCGAAGCACTTTGGAGAGTGGAAAACACTCCATCATCTGTTTCTTCATTATTTTCATCATTATTTCCATCTGAATGATCCCCACTCGTACTGCTTTTGAAAAAATTGAAAGACCTACTACGACAATGAGAGGATTTTGCAGCCGTTGAAATTGGAGATGAGGATGATGAGGCTATGGTGTTATGGTTGTTATTGGTAATGATGGTTGTGGACGGAGAGGTCGTATTGTTGGCCGAATTATGAACAGTTGAACTCGTGCTGGATGGAATGGCATGAGTAAAATCAGTGATCGTTACTCGGGTCGAAGATTCATTGTTTTGATTGGAATGTGGATGATGATCCGAAGTGGTTGGTTCAGAAACGCTTTTTGACCTTTTCCTGAGAAATGATGACGATCCTCCGGAGAGTTTGTTCATATGATGATGAGTATCCATCACGTTGGAATGGTTTGTGTTTGAGGATAAATTGATCACATTTAATTGTGCTTGTTGGTTTGATGATTTGGTGGTTGAGTCTAATAGTTGATGATTACTACCTCGCAACAAGATTTCAATACCATTGTTATTATTGTTTTGTGGTGATTCATCATCTGTAGAGATGGAATCGATATCGGGCGCTGATATTTTAATTCCCATGTGATGATGGTTTTTCTCGGTTCACAATAATGTGAGAGTGTGAACGAATTTTTTTGCTAACCCTCATATGTGAGTGACAGATGTCATCTTTACGAACTTGTAGACGTGCATCCTGTAAAATAGGTTTCTTATGCTTAACAAACAGGTTGTAGACGGAATGTGAGATTAAGGACAACGATACTGTTGAGATTTCGTTAGTTATTGGATGTATGAATCAAACGGACCAATTGGTTTTTTGTTTGCATGGTTCACCATTGTGTTCATACAATTTAATCCCCGTCACATTACTACGTAATTCCTCACTGTTACAATGGAAACGCAACTTCCAACATCCACGCCTTAAAAAGGACCAATTCAATTTGTTCAAAAACAAGTCAAAAAAAAACCACTCACTCACTGTCATGCTGACAACCATACTCGTGTTAGGCGTTTTGGCTGTGATTTTCGCTCCGCTTGGCATCATTGGTAAATGGTTTTTGAATTTATTTGTCATTGGAAGATATCCCGAAAGTGTGTTTGAGAAGCCAAACTACACAGCGGCAAGCTCCGTCTCCACAGAGGAGGATCAAGCATCACCGTCATCAACACAATCGGAGGTTTCTGCAACAACAAACGGTTCAACCGAGATTAAAAAGAAGAAGAAAATTACGAAAAACATCTTTTCCGAACGGTGTGAATGATATCGAAGTTGTCATCATTGGCAGTGGTATTTCGGGTTTGGCTTGTGGAGCCATTTTGTCAAAAGCTGGAAAGAAGGTGATTGTTTTGGAACAAAATAAGACAGCAGGAGGATGTTTGCATACGTTTAAAAGAGGAGGATTTCCGTTCGAAGCCGGAATTCATTATATCGGTAATTTTGAAGAAGGTGGAGGCTTAAAGGTGCTTCTAGATTCATTGTGTGACAAGAAAATAGAAATGGATGAATTATGTAGCGAGTACGACGATGTTGTAATCTATGATACATTATCAGATCAATTATTGAAAAGAATTGCCATTCCAAAAGGAAAACAAAATTATGTGAATTGTCTCCATAACGCCTTTCCAGACGAGAGACAAGCCATTGACAAGTACATGCAACAATACGAAGAGACTTTGAAAACTTTGAATGATTATCGAGTGCCATACCTATTTCTCAAACTACTACCTGTTTGGATTGCCAAACTGGCTGCACCAATTCTTTGTGCACCCTATTTCAAGCTGGTCTCTACAAGTGTGAAAAGCATTCTCGATTCATGCACCAAGAACAAGACCCTCCAAAATTGTTTGGCTTATTTCTATGGAGACTATGGTATGCAACCAAAGGAATGTCCAATCAATGTACACTATAATGTGCAAGCTCACTACATGGATGGAGCGTATTTCCCAAAGAAGGGAGCAGTGGAAATTGTAGAAAGTTTAATTAAGGTCATTCGTAAGAGTGGTGGTGACGTGTTTACCAAAGCCAAGGTTGCCTCAATTATGATTAAGAACGGAAAGGCCACTGGTGTGCAAATGAGCAATGGCGTGGTCATACGAGCCAATGCAGTGGTTTCAAGCGCAGGCGTTTACAATACTTTTCAGAATTTGATTTCAGCAACAGATGTTGCCAAGTACAATTTAAAGAATCAAATCAGCAATTACCATCCAAGTCAACAAACGAATTGCATCTTTATCGGATACAACAAAACAGCGGAGGAACTTGGCTTAAAGTATCAAAATTGTTGGTTCTCAACAAGCAATGATCTGGATGGACAACGTGAACGATACATTCAAACTGAAGATGGCTCCATTGATCCCAAGCAAGGAATTGACATTCCAGGTTTACTCTTCTCTATTAAGCCTCAAAAGAACGGTACTTATATTACATGCTGTTTTGAGACCAAGTATGAATGGTTTAAAGAATGGGAACACCAACGATGCAAGAAACGAGGAGCTGGTTATCTCGAAATCAAGCAACGTTTGACAGAAAGAGCATTAGAATTATTGTACTTGGCTTACCCTCAATTGAAAAATTTCACACCTGATGCTTTGGACTCATCGACGCCACTCACTTGTCAACATTATCTAGGCTGTGCCTTTGGTGAAAGTTATGGAAGAAAGATGGATGCAGACTTTTTCACTAATTTGGAAGTTGGAAGACCAGAAACACCTATCAAAGGTCTCTACCTCACTGGTCAAGATACCTTCTCGTTGGGAGTGGCAGGAGCTCTTGTTTCTTCCATACTAACAACCACTACATTACTTCACAGAAACATGTTTGGAGATTGGTTTGCAGCAGTCTCTAAAGAACGACGTCGAATCAAACAAGATAAGAAGTTACAGTAGTATTATATCAAGTCACTAGTCTCTTACTAATCCAATTAATTGTTTCCCACATTCACACACAATCAGCCAATTTGCAAGAGTACAAAAAATTTTGTTTTCAAGGAACAAGAACAATTTTAATCCAACACACTTCACAAAAAATATAAAGACTTCACATCAACGACACATCACTTCTTTCTACTCTCCATATATATCTCTTCTTTTATTTCTTGGTAAATTAAATCCCATACGAATTTGAATTACATTAAACATTCTGACAATGGTTGTAAAAACTCGAAGTAAAACTCTAACAAAATTTACAAACAAACGTTCTCTCCATCCATCCGATGACTTGGAAGAAAGCCACTTGCTTGCCGATGATGAATTTGATGATTTGATTCATTCCGAATCTTCACAACAGCTACAACAACAACAACTCCTTTCATCATCAACCACCACCAATAGGAAGAACAAGCAACCAACCGAACGAAAGCCTCGAGTAGCGAGAAGAAAACGTGCATGTTCCAAGAAGTCTTCCAAAGATCAAGATGAAGAAGCCTCTTCCTCTGGTGATGATGATGATCGGGATGATGAAATGAATCTATCCTTTGATGAAGAAGATGATTTCAAAACTCGAAACACTGTTCAACCAACCAAAAAACCTCAAACACGATCCTCGACTCGGTTAGCACATGAACAACAACAACAACACCAACCATCATCACCCATTGTCATTTCATCGAATTCAGACTCGGAAAGACCCTCACGAATGATGCATCACAAAAAGAGAAAAATTCAATCCTCGTTTACCATCAAACCTCCAACTCATGATCATGAAAGAAGTAAGCTGGAGCTAGTGGTTGAAATATTACGAGAATTGTCACAGAATGCGAAATGTTGTTATGAAAAGTATCAGACGGGTATTGTTTCCTATTGTCAATTTTTGGTGAACATGAACAAGCTTTATCAACACATGTATCGAGAGAAGACAGGAATATCATTGATTGGTTTTCGTAACTTTTTACACAAAGCTTTGAGCGTAGAGGAGGTTCAAGATAAACCTGTTAAGCTTCCACATGGAAAGGCTCTCCACACTGCAGTATTTAATGTAATTCCACTATTGACACATGTCATCAAAGAGTTTAATGTAATGAATGAATGGAATGCAGCCTCTCATACTGAAGATAACCATCGAAATTGGCTTGCAATTAGTGCGCTATGCACCGACTTCCATCGATTGCTTTTGCATTCATTGGAACCAGAACTTTTTCCACAGAACCTTTCAAAGCATTGATGAAGAAAGGAAATGCGTTTAAGTTCTATTCTTACATTGAATCGATTTACAATAGCGTAGAATTGAACGAATTTAAGCAACGACCTGAATATTGTCAACTTGATAGTCTCAGACCTAACATTAGTGACGAAACCATGAGAAAATGGAAGGAATTGATTCTTAATCCGTCACCTACAAATGATGAAATAGAATTGATAGAAAATGCTCAACCAATTATCCATCCAATCCAAGAAGAACTTGTTCAAGAGCCACAGTCCCAACAACAACCTTCAAACCAAGTTGTCAACTCCGCAACGCAAAATGAAATTGTGCTCTCACACGATTCAGTACTGGAAAGCTCAACACCTCCACATTCGAATATTCCTTTTGAAGCAACAGGTGAATTGTTTATTCCTCAACCACAACCACTTGCTGACGATGAAATATCATATAACTTTGATGAAGATTTAGGTCAATCGGAGGCAGAGAAAGAAGAGCCTCAACAACGAAGAGTTAGAATTTCTGTGATAACACCACACTCTCTGAGATTACGAGAAAAGATTTATAGAAAACGAGCTAAACATGAAAGACGACTAACAATGTATGATGTGACAACATCAGAAAACTATCACCCTGTTTCACATCCTCGCCGAAAAACACATCTTGCCAACACCAGACTCCGACGACGTGTCAGTAGTCAGCAAATTGTCACAAGACCAAGTACTGAAACTGTAGTAGCTGTTCGTGACGAGGATACTGAAACCATTCAAGCATCTAGTTCAACCCTCTCTGTTGCTCAAGGCACAATTATTTCTGGAACTATTCAAGCAATTGGTGAAGAGATTGTTCGTGATCTTCAAAAGTATCCAACTGTTTTTCCATCTCCAAACTTGGAATTGATTCAAATGATGTCAACCCTTGCACAAGTATATCAAACCAAACCTGAGTTGTGTCGAAACGTGTTAAGACTTTTAGAGTCAGAGAATGGAGCTGATCTACATCACACTTCCTTCCTCTCACAACAAGTAGATGAGGAACAAGAGTTCTAAAATGCTGTGAAAGCTTCGAACGAATCTCACCTCTTTTGATAATATCATATTAACAATTTACAAAGAGGGACATTTCAAGTGACCCTTTGAGACAGCGAATTAATTGAAGGTGTATTTGAAAAATCCGTTTGTATCACCAAAACCAAAACTCAAACATCCATTCAGTCACAATACTGGAACTGTCACCCATGACTGGATGGTTGTGAATGATGTTAATAACATGATATTTGTGATTCAACATGAGCCACTCAATCAAGGTAAGTTCTGAAAACACCCAAAAATTAAGTGAAAGTTTTTGAAGAGTTTTATTATGATACAACTAGGTTACTTGTGCAGAGCTTGATAGAATGGATTGGAATCGGTTTCCTCTCGTTTATCAAACTTTCCCATCATGTGTGGAATGTTGACCGAATGATCCTTCATGGTAATGTCTTGATTTTCACCTTGTCTGGCACAATGTTTATCGTACCATTCCCAAGTCTCTTTGGTTGGAAGATGATTTTCGAAAGATTTACCTTGTTGGGCGTAATGAGTTCGGTTAACAAACAATGCTCCCAAGACGACAGCTGACACTAAGAAGAATTGTTTACCTGGCTTTCTGACTGCGTACGAGAAGGTATTGAAATCTGTTGGAAGCATGATTGTTACTGGATAGTGGTGTTGGATGTATTATTGTATATTTTGTTTTGACGTCTGCCAGTTGTCAAAAACCTTTGATTTAATACTGTTCATCGTCGCCGCTCAATTCCACCGAATGCATTAAAATAGCAAAAATTAAAGATTCTGACGGTATTTACTTGGCACGATTCTCCGTCATTACTTTTCGAAGCGGCGTATTGAATCATTTTGATTGTTTCTTGTAATACTGTCATCTGCCATGAAATTGTCGACTAAGGAGTATTATTGTTAATCAATAATTTATTAATTAAGGAATATTTTGTTTACATAATTACACATCCCTTCTTCAAATTCGAATCCATTGCTTTGTGAAACACATCATCCACACCTTTTCTTGTACGTGCCGATGTTTCAATATATGCAAGTGCTCCAATTTCTTTTGCCATTTTCTCTGCTTCCTCAATTTTCACTAAATCCGAACCTCCTCTTGTTCTCATATCTCCTTTTGTTCCAACGAGAATGAATGGAGTTTTTGGAGAGAATTTTGTGATTTCAGGTATCCATTTCGTTTTGATATTGTTGAAAGAAGTGTAGCTGTTGATTGAAAAACAGAGTAAGAAGCAGTTGGCATTTGGATAGGAGAGATGTCTCAGTTCATCGCTGTGTCATATGATCAACCGAAACATTGAATTTCAAAAATGATGAAAATTCGGAAAATCCGAGTTTCATGAAGTGTGTCATCAATTTTGAATAAGATCATGAATGTCATCCATTCAAACTTACTAATCTTCTTGTCCAGCCTAATGTCATTCGAATGTGGTATTGAAATAATTGTTACAAAATAAATTGTTAAATTGAAACATACAGTATCCCAAACGGAAAGCGTCACATTTTGTGATTTATATTTTACATTAGTGTCATAGTTTTCAAAAACAGTTGGAATGTATTCTTCAGGAAATTCGTTGTTCACCTGATGAAATGTCAAGTGTCATTGTGACATGAACCATCATCATGGAGTTATCCGATAGGACACAAACGATATTATTTTCATCATACTTTGATTCAACAATTTTCATTGTATACATACATAGACCATCAACAAACATGTCTTTCCTATTGACAATTGACAACCAACCAATTAGGAAATAATCACAACAACAAATACATACCGACTGCACCATCTCCAACGGCCACGACCTAAGTGTTCATCACACATATATTCATCGCCCGTGATGATTTCAATTAGATTCATACAACAATTTGATTGAAAAAATTTGACAAGAGACGTTGATGGAATACATCATTGTTTGAGGACATGAGACTGCTACGAAGATGTTGCATGATAACATACCTTCACTTTTGTATCTTTTTTGCCCATTTTTTTTATTTTGACAATTTTTTTTAACGGCAGGTGATGAATGACACGCGCAGAGATTCGCAATTATCTGAGATTCACATGTTCTTTTTTAATTATCTTCATCGTCAGATGAAAATACAGCATGATCAGTATCCACAAATGATAAATTTTCAAGCGATGACATGAATTGACTTCCTTCGATTCCACTCATTTCAATTCCACTCATCTCAATTCCACTGGTTTGTTGAAGATTTTGATTCACGATTGGTTGTTGAGGTGCCAGAATGGACACACCAATGGATAATTGAGATCCATCATTACTCAATAAGGTATTGTTTGAAAATTCAAGAGATCCAGAGCTATTGGACTTGTCAGAGAGTTGTTGAGCAGTATTTCCTTCTGAGGAACCTTTGGTTGCAAGAGCACTGTCATCGTCTTCAAATCTGGATGGAACAAATGATTCTGATAAAAATGATGACTTGTCCGTAAAGGAAGTTCCAGAGGATTCTGTAATTTTTGTGACAACCTTCTTGACCAATCGAACTTGGTTGATGACTTCATTGATGACCTTTTTGGTTTGAATATTTCGTTGAGATGCTTGTAAATAGTTGAAATCGTCGAGATCGACCCAATCTCCACGTTGTCCAACGTGATCGGAATTTTCTGTTTTTGGATTGAGTTCACTTTCTGAAGAGAGGAAGAGCTGTAATACATTCTTTTGATCATTGGATGTTGAAAGTGCTTGAGAACTTCTCTTTCGTTGTGAATATTCTTGTGTAATTTTGTCTTGTAGCTCAGCAATCGAATTGACATTACTAACTCTGAATTTACGTTTTCTTCCACCCAATTCACACACAATTGTGAAATATTCCTCAATCGATGCATCTTTGGCAAGCTTGGAATTCAATCTTAACTTGTTCAATTTCTTTTGTTGAATTTTCTGTTTCACTTTACGAATGAGATTGAGACCCAAAAACGAAGTAATCGAATCTCTAATTTTCTTGGATGAATGATTAGAAAAAGTATCCACTAAATATTCGACATATTCTTGACGATCATAGGCCTCAGTCATGTACAAGGCATTCAAAATTTTTCCCAACTTTGTAGAGCTACCCTCTTTCGAAGAATCCAATGAGCTCACTTGGCTGTTAAACGAGTTGACACTCTTTTGCTGATCGAACACAAATTCTTCACGTTCATTCACTCTCATAGTACCAAACAAATCACACAAATTATCTAAAAAGCAAACAACCATCAAACGATCCTTCTCTGTACATTTGATACATGCCACAATAAACATGAATAAACGATCTCTCAACAAGTCCAACATTAATTCAAAAGTCTCGATATTACAATCAAAATATTTTGCCTTTCCTTGTCGATCTTCCAAAGCTCCTTGATACCAACTGGTCAAATTTTGAGACATGGAAACAGCCAATCCCACAGCATTGGGTGTGTCATAAATTCGAGACATGATCATCATATCCGACGATGTGTTGTTTGATGTCAAACTTTCACTCAACGAAAAATTTGGATGCAACAACAATAAATCAAAGATGACATCTGGAAAATAAAACAACATTCGATCTACAGAAAAACCCAACAAGGTATACATAATATGAAAAGTACTCAATCTGCCATCCATCATACTCGCCTGATTTTTCGGAACACATAAATTTTCTTTCAAAATGGACCACAACGTACTCGGAGGTAAATAACCGGGATGTCTCGGATCACCTCCAAACAACAAGAAAACAATTTCGCAATGATTCATCATGATGGAATTGAGAAAAATAATTTTTTGATACGAATTAACGGATGGATCTCGTAATTTATAACTCGCACTTAAAAGAGTGCTATCGATTCGAGAGAAGGGAATTTTACCGGGTTGGCAGGGAGCGAGAGGATCTACCGTGACCATGTCGACGTTTGGTAGATTGGTTACGACTTCGCTGAGGAGTGTGCTGAACTCGGTATCGAATTGATTAAAGTCCATTTTTTTTTATATTTTTATTTTTATTGTAATGAGCTATGAAATGACAGGTGTGAAAATTTATGAAATTAATAGAGTCTGTTTGGTAGTTGGAATCGTAAGGGTGTTGAATTGTAGATCCAAGAGGAATAAGATCGGAATGGAATTTGAGAAGATCAAGAAGTATGAACAAGGTTCTTGTTGTTTTTCTTTGAAATTTCGTTTTTTTGTAATGCTACTAACAGGGTTTACAACAATTGTTTGAAAATTCACATTCCGAGTTACACTTTACACTGTCCAGCTACTGAATGCAGAACAAAACCTTCCATTCTTGACTTTTAGAATCCAGCGAGGATGTTCGGTTCGCACAAAAATCAAGAAACGCTTTCAACTGTCAAGTAGTGTCTCTCACTATCAAAAAAAATTATCACGAACACTAACATTTAACAACCACACGTAATGAACCAAGCTCTGAGTGTGAGACTTGTTCTCATTGCATGCCTTGTAGTAACGACTTGTCTCTTCTTGTTGGCAAGTGACAGTTGGGTCGTTGCCAAACCTTCGATGCGGTTGAATGGAAAACCAAAGAATTCTTCACCAAATCTTGAAAGAATTGTCGATACAATCGCTACCCTGACGAAACGCATTCGAGAGGAACAATCTACGGAAAATGTTTCCTTTCGAAAGTTTCCAATGAGATTTGCTGAAAAGAAAGGTTTGTTATCGAATGTATTTTCAAGCGTTGACATTTTATTACTGTGAACACTGTTTTCACAAACATCTCTTCACACAATCAGGACTTTACAAATCGTACATTCACTTCAACAATGGAGGCACCGATTGGGAAAGTATCTTTCTTCGACGAGTGATGAAAATTCTCGACATTAATGTTTTCGTCACAAATTTCGTTGTTTTAACACAAATTGAATCTCAACACTTACTCGAAACCACTCGCTCTGCTTCCCACATTGCTCGAGACATTATCCAAGAAGATCGTCTCAAAATGGCCATCGAAGGAATTCTCTCTTTCCATGACCTTAATTTCAACTCTTCCATTCCAGTGTATAATTTCTGGCCTCAACGCTCGTCTGCGAATTCCAAATATTTTCAGGCCTATCCCATCAATTTAGTCGGTCCATTGGATGAATACGAATCGATGAGTGATTACATGGAAGATATTTTAGGTTTTTTAGGTTTAAATTCTTTGAGACATAAAGTGAAAGAAATGGCAGACACTTTCATGATGTTGGCTCAGGCGTTTCATATTCCAGCTGATTATGATTGTGCGAGCTGTAATTTGGCATTGGGAGCAATGATGCAGAAAGAGTTGGCTTTGAAATATCCATCCATTGTTTCTGAATGGAAATCTCAAAATTCACACATTCCAGAATTGTTTTTGGCATTTGATAAGTATGCTTACAGTAACAATCTCAAAGACAAGAATGTATTCGAAACCAATGTCGATCCAAGATCGTACTACATTTTTCAACAATACTTCTCAGCAGGGGGCTCTATCAAGCTTCCAATGACTTGGATGATGAATACTCAGGAAAATCGAGAACGATATCCAGCCGTTGCTCAACCTTTCAATGTCAATAATATTGACGTGAGTGTGTTGTGCAATTTCCTGTATGGCGTTTCCTCTCATTCGATGCATGTCGATCCTTTGCCATTGAGAAATGATCGAGTCATGCAACAAATGGCTTTGAATGCTTCTCAATTGATTTATCATACAGTGAGTCAAGGATTAGAATTGAAACGTCCAGATTTGGCAATGATTTATTACCCAAGTGTTTATAACTTTTATTGGTTTATTTCGAGAACGAGTTTTGAATTGAGAAATAGTAGAATGCCAGAAGAGGTGAAGGGATTGTTGAGTGTCATTTCGAATACCTTGTATCAAGCTTTGGTCAATTTTGCTTCTCCAAATTTGCTGAAAATGGTTAAAATGACAAGTGACAATGAATGTTATTGGGATGACTTTTTGGGAGATGGACCAAAGAAAACACTCGGTGAGGATCGCATGTATTCCAGTGCTTTGGCCATCTCTGTCCTACTCGACACTTGGACACAAATGAATTCAACCTTAAACAAACGAATGTATCTTCCAAACACTCCGGATCGAGTGAAAACAGTCATTGATGGAGGAATTCTCTATCTTGAAAGAAATTTATTGACCTTCCTTGAATCTCATGAAAACGCCTTCTTCAGTGGTACAATTAAGGGACATTTCGATTATCCATTTTTCTATCCGTCAAATGTCGCTGAATATTTGAATGGAACTAAAGTGAATCCACAACAACCAGGAAGTGGTGATTTAATTGATTCTAAACTCATTGTTGCTGTTGAAGGAGTGATTGATTCAAAGGAATATCAACAAATGGTCTCTCAGAAATGGTTTGATATGCAAGTGCCAACACAATTTCCAGGATTTGAAGATTCTAAATTTCCATTTTGGTCAAGTCCTGCATTGACTCTTTCGATTTCTCAGTTGGTGTTTTCCAAGTACGTGAATTTGATGGATTAATGTTGGGTTGGTGTGATCGAATTGTTGTTTGTGAATTTTCGAAAAGCTTTTAAAATGACAAATAAAATTGGCATTGCAATGGAAATAATGATAATTGCGAGGAATGTTTTGACAACATCAAATTTTTCTAAAGGAGATAACAGTTTTTCAGCATGAATAATATCTTCAGGACCAAACTTTGCTGAATATTGAATCCAATGAGCTGCCATTGCCATATTTGGAGAAACTTGACGTTTGGCATTTTCATCTTGTAACAATCCAGCATACGGTTGTGTGAAATGCACATTTTTCAAATGCCACTTCCTTAATTGACTCTTATAAAACTCATGATTTTCAATCCAATCATTCACAGCTTCCAACAACTCGTCTCGATCCATTGGATCATAAATCGATTTTGCAATTTTTGCGTCTTCTGCATAAATGGTATTTAAAAATTGATCTGCAAATTGTGGAATGAGAATTAAGGGAACACTTTCTTCGATGGCTTCAAAAAGGGAATGAGCACCTCCATGAAATGAATAGAGAGGCATACTTGAGAACATGTTCTTGATTGACCCATTTTCTAACAATTAATCGATTGCTGTCATATGTAGCATTTGGATTTGGAAATAATTCTTGGAGGGAAAATTTTAAGGATACGACCATATCGAAGGATTGATTTCGAAATTCGAGAATATTTTGAATCACGTTTCGTGCATGTTCGAGTGATAGACTTGCTTTGGTACCAAATGCCATGTACACTATTTTGCGATTGGTTTTCTTGTGCTGTTCCAGCCACTCCGTTAAATCCTCACTATGAGTTTGTTTGGCATTTGACTTGACACTTGTGGTAAATCCAACTAATTTCACATTGGGAGGAAGAGGCACATTGGTGTAGGCATAACCTGGAAGAGTCAATGAAATGACAAAATATCGACTCAAATCCATAAATGGTACACCAAGAGCCTTCATGCCACTTGTCACTCTGTATTGATCCAATTTCTGAACCATTGGAATGGCCATTGTTAAAAATTCCACAAATTTAAAAACCTTTTCATTCAAACGATTCCATATAAAAGCCATCAAACCTTGTCTTTTCAAAATTCTCAGAGCTCTCTCCAAACTCGTTGTTTCGTATAACATTCTTGGAATTAAATTCCCAAAATCTTCAAATGCAAAAATTTGTGGAACATTACTAAACACAGTAAAATTCAATTGTCGAGCGTGTGCCCATTCGTACGCAGCAGCAAAGACAATGTCAATCACGAGGTGAAGATTTTTCGTTCGGTTCTGAACATTTCGTTCTTGCATGAATTGGAAAAGTGTTTCATGATTTTGAAAAACTTCATCGAGAGCTGAAATAAATGTTGGATAATTATGAATGGAATAATTGAAGGCAACTTTGAGCTTGGATAGGATGGGGACATCACTGGTGAATGATTGAACAGATTCGGTAATAGAAATGTCTTGTTTTTGAAGAGTTGGAGAGTAGGGTTTCATCGGAATGACATTTGGCAGTTGTTGATGTGACTTGTTGTCAGCGGACAAGATGATGATATTCTCTGATTTAATTCCCATTCCAATCATTGCTCGTGCTAAATGTGTAAAATCAACCATATGGGACGGATCGATAAATGGAATCATCACAAAGACTGTTTCCTTGTCGTCATATATTTTGGCATTTGACATGTCGTAAGCCTTTACATTATGGAATATCAAAGAAAGAATTAAAATTAAGCAGCAACCAAAAATCCGTAGATTAGACCTAGTAAGATCATTCTCTCTTTTTCTGTGTAATTTGAGAAGCATGATGAGCAACACGAATTTTTTTATACGGATAAATGGAAATTGTGAAAAGAATTCATTTGTCCGAGGCTTCAAAGCGAAAATGATTGAATGATATCAATCACTTTGAATTGCTTCTTCAAGAACAAATGAATAATAAAGTTTTATGATTACAATATTTCAACCTAGGTGTGAAAGAGGCGAAGAATTAATAAATGCCAAGTGTCATCACAACAAGAACCATCACCAACAGCCACGTCATTCCATTATTCAATTTCACACTTTCAGAAGCTCTAATATTATTTGTAATAAAACTTCCATAATTAAAAGTGTCTCCAAATACCTTAGATTCACAACCAGGACATTCACTCGAACGTTGTTTGACCCAAGTCTGCATTAATTATTTTTTTAAAAAAGCCAAATGACATTTTTCAAAACAACTTACTTGCAAATCAATAGCGTCTCCTAACATGATATGTGCCTTCTTTTCTAAAATGTAAGTAAAGCATTCAGTATAACCCGAAGTCAAACCAATAAGTTTGGCGAGTGGAAAATTGTTTTTGGCATATGTGGCATAGAAACTTCCACCGTAAGTGACAATGGTTACATTGGGGTTATTGATATCTTCTGGTTTGGAAATGGTAATGTTGGATAGATCTAAGGCAGAACGTAAATAGCCCTATGGGTTCATGATTGAAATAATTGACAAGTGACAGAGTGAGTTGCATCATTCATTACAAGTAAACTTACTGGAGACGAAGTTCCGTAAGGACAATTGAAATGAACTTGTGGCAATCGATTGGAATCCAAATTGGTGCTAGCAATGGCAATGTCACAAGCTCCAGTATCGACTAAATTTTTCATGGTTGTGAAATATCCTAATTTGGAAGTGTTGACTTTGTTGAATTGGTAGGGAATACTAAGTTTGTAATGTGTGTTAATAATTCTCATCAATACATTGCCAGCCTAATCATCATGATTGTGAATTAAACGGTCGACGTTGTGAGTTTGAAATTTAAATCATTTTAAATCATTTCATAATTTTCAATTCACAATTTTTTCAACACTTACCAATTCATGAACCAATGGCCAATTCAACAATGCATCGACTTCATAACACAACACCAATTTCGAATTCTCTCCTCTTGGTAATACCAATTTGTTTGGCCATGAAGGAATGACATTTCCTGAATAGGGTAATTTGGCACATGTTGGTACTGGAAAGAAAAAGTTATATTGATTTGATCCTTGAACGAATTCAGTATCTGAAAGCATCTCATTGACACCAGCATCGACGGCGTTGGCAAATTCGGAAGGAATGTAATAGGTGGAGTTGGAAGTTGAGTTTTGAGCAGTGACTGATGTGAAGATGTTTTCATTGTGGTTTGGAAGGAGGTGATGATGGGTGGAGAGGATCACCAAACAACAGAGAATAATCTTTAATTAATGAACCTAAACCACAACATTTTTATAATAATAATCAATTAATCATTAATTAATAAACCTTCAGAATACGGATAATGTGCATGAACCTAAACCACAACAGAACGGGCTAAAGGTTACAGGTTCATGCACATTATCCGTATTCTGAAGGTTTCCTTTTTGACGCGTTTGTGTTGTTGACAGCGCACTTGTCGGAATTATTGATGATAACAATGTTTAAGAACCTCGTTTTACAGTTTTTAATCAAGTCAGACCTTTGAGGAATGTGTTTCACATTCCAATGATGTTTCTCATAAGATTTACGGAGTTTGCAGAATCTCAGTGTTGAAACTTCATTTACAACGAAATTCAATTTAATTATTTCAGAAAAAAATACTAATCATCGTGATGATCAGAGCGAATTTTTCAATCAAAAGCCTTGTCGGCGGCGTGATGATGATTATAACTGTTTTGTTCTTGGTGATGATGATCGCTCGTCATTCCGTTGAAGGCTTATCATTGGCATCACTCAAAAATCAATTTCCAAAACTCTCGAATAACAGTGGATACTTTTGGCAAATTACTGATCCGCATTTGGATTCCGAATATGTGGTTGGAAGTGTTGCAAATTGTGGACAATTGGTGTGTTGTCGGAAGAATTCGCCAAGAACGAATGGTGTAAGTGATTGTTTTAAATAATTATATGAGCCATTGATCATGAATTGTTTTTGAAATTGATAACTGTTCAATGGATCGAACAACACATACAGACAATTCAATATGCTGAAAGATTTGGAACGTATGCGTCGTGTGACGTTCCATTAGAGACTTTTGTGAGTGCTTTGGAATTTATTAAGAACTTTCCAGTGGATGCTGATTTTGTGTTTTATGGAGGGTAGGTGATTGTTGAGTGAAAATGATTGAAAATTATTTATGAAAATTAGTGACAATCTAGTTCATGATGATTGGAATTATTCAAAAGAATATAATTTGAATTATGCCATTCTTGTGGCGAACGCATTGAGAGTGACATTGCAAGGATCGAGATATCAAAATCGAATCATTCCTGCAATTGGTAGGTATTTTGTGACACATGGACAGTATAGCATATAATCCAGGACATTTTGATTTTTTGATAATTGTTGACTTGTCTACAAATAGGCAATCATGACTTGGCGCCTATTAACATGTACCCTCTAGACCCTCAAAAGAATGAATGGTATTTACATCCTGTTGGTGATGCTTTCCAATTTTCTTTCAGTAGTTTCCCAGATGGAGATGCAGCTCTTACTTCTTTTAAAACCTCTGGATTTTTCACAGTGCTTATTCGACCAGGATTTAGAGCTGTTGTGATTAACACTCAATTCCAAAATCCACTCAATTTTTGGCTCTTATCGACTCCAGATAGAGATCCAGGAAAACAATTGGCATGGCTGGATCAAGTGTTAGGAAAGGCACAACAAGCCAATGAGAAAGTTGTCATTTTGGGACATATTCCTCCAGGTGAGTATTTAAGACATGATGTTTGCATTTATTGACTTTGAGGAAAATTTAATTGACATTTCGCATGGGTTTTCACCAAATAATTATTTTCAAACATTTGTTCACACCTTACGAATGCACGAAACAACACTCAAAACAGGAATTGACACGAGTGATTTTATGGAAGAATCCACAGGAAATTACAATGCCGACTTTACCAATCTCGTCGCGAAATACAGTTCCATCCTTGTGGGTCAATTTTATGGACACACTCACAATGATCATTTCAAAATTTTCCAAGATCCAAAAACCAATGTTCCAACCAATGTAGCCTGGGTCACACCTGCCATCACTCAGTGGATGTATCATAATCCTGCATTCCGTCTTGTACAGTACAACAAGAAGACATTTGAACTTGAGAATTTTTACACCTTCACAACCAATTTGACAGGTGTCAAAGATCAATTAACATGGACATTGGAATATGATGCCTTGACAGGTTATGGAATTTCTGATATTTCACCACAGACAATGACTAGTTTGTTGTACAACAAATTGAATGCTGTGGAATCCTATTGGAACAAGTTTGCTTTGAGATTTACTGGTGGTTATCCTTATCACGGCTTGTGTTCATTTAACGAAGCATGCAAAACGAAAAGAATTTGTGCAATGGGAAATATTCTGTATTCAGGTTATGACAAGTGTATCAAGGCAGCAGGTAATCTTAGTTAAATTAATTTTGAAGAAGAATGGTTGGAAATGGTTCTTTCAATTATTTTTCATAAACAAAACTATGCATCTGGAATTGTTCTGACTTTGATTCAAACTCGAAGAGACTCTCAGAGGAGATATATATGGTTTAAAAAGGAAGTTGTAACGGCTAACTTTTGTGGTTCATGCCATCTGTCAAATTTCAAAAAACAGTTCCTCGAGAGTTGGAAAATTAAAAACAAAGAGACCTTTCACGATTGTTGGTTGTGCTGTGATTTTCGTGTGTTTCTCTCTCTCATACACACACACACGAACACATTCACAACAACAACAATAACAATTACAACAACAACACGATGAAACTCACCCGATCCAGAAATTCCTCTGTTCTCGAAGACTCTGCCTTCCTTCATGGACCTTTCGAATTGACCGCTCATCTCCAACAACAACAACAACAACTCATTCTCAAACCTCATGTCATCAAGTTACGAAAACATTCAATCAAACATGCGCATGAAAAAGTTGACATGAATAATTATTCTCAAACCGCTCCGAGCACGAGTGCCAATCCAAATAATAATTCAAATTCCTCTTCGGTTCAACTCGTAAAGAGTCTCCGATTTAAAACACTCACTGTATTAATATTATTATTTATTTTATTGATGGCGTTGTGTTTGGCCACATTATTGACAGCTTTCAATTTGTCATTCCAACAAGTTGAGAATTCCATGGCTTTGGAATCTGCAAAAAGATCCACGAGAGCATTCTTTGATGATTTTTCATATTTGAATTCGAGAGTTTTTGAATATGCTGCATTTGGAGATACTGTCAATGTCGTGTTGAATACAACGAATAATGCTCCAATGGCTGCAGAAGCATATTTGAACTATTATTTGCATTGTCAATATCAATTATCGACCAAGGTGAATTTTGCATTGATTTATTATTTGAATGGAACCTTGTTGAAAGGTCTTGGATGTTTTCGAGGACTCAAATTGGATAAGATTCCTCAAGAATTGTTGAGTTTGGATACCATAGTGGGAAGACCATTGAAAAAGAATATTGAAAATCCAGGTATGTGAAATTTTGATCTGTTAGTCGATGGATTCGAAACTATTTCATGAAAATATTTGAAAATGGAATATTGAACGTATCATTGGTTGCAATCGTGTGTAGCTACGAGAAATGTTGGTTTCTTTTCTCCAAGTGAAAAATTACTGGATCTCGTGACGAATTCAGAAACGAGTGCCATACTTGCAAAGAATTTTTCAATCACTCCATCGAGTGATGTTTCGAATGTGTTGCTGTTGAGTGCCATGCCCATTCAAGGTTTGTTGTTATTATCTGTGAGAATTTTCAACACCATGGTCTAACATGTTGATGTCAAAAATTAATATCGAATGTTATAATTTGCAATGTCACAGATACGGATTATAAAAAAAGTTATGGACTTCTCGTTTTTGGACGATATGAATTTATTGATTACGTGTATGACATGTCCGATCGAACTCAATTATGCCTTACCCTGTACAATTTAGACATTCTCAAAGATCGACAAACGTTTGCTGCCTCCCTCGCGAATGATTTTTCCAATTTCACAGAATTAACCTATTACGGAAAAGATTTAACAACCTTATCCAATTATATTTCAAAAAGTACAAGGAATTGGCAACCCACGATCATTAATGGAATTTATTCACAAAGTAATTGGGGAAATAATTCAGGACAATTTGTTCAACAAATTTCTGTCCCAACAGATTTTGATGACACGATTCCCATTTTAAAAAATCGACAATGTGCTGATTCTGATAGTGTCGTTGGAGAACGAATGGCTGTTTTTCAACTTTTTAATGACATTACTGGAAAGAGCAATCTTGTCATTCGAACAGATTTTCCAAGAGATATTTTCACACTTGGTATTACTTCATTTGTAATCACGTGGGCTGTCATGACATTTATGATTATTTTACTGTCAGTGTCAGTGATCATTTTCTTGGAATATTTTGTAATAAGGCGAGTGATTCGATTGACGAACTCGGTGCGATCGATCACCAACAATAACGACATTAAGCAAAGAGTTCCAAACAGTGGCTCCGACGAATTAGGAATGCTCTCTGATGACGTGAATGACATGCTCACTGCTCTCGATAACTCACAATCTGTTCTCACAGAGGATAATTTACTCATGCAACGATTATTAGAGAAAACGTCACTTTCTGAACAGCAATCACGTGTGATAATGAACGGCATAGAGGATTTTATAATTGTTGCTAATTGTAAGAATGGCTCCATCATTTCATTTAATACTATTTTCGAGTCCAAGATTTTGAAAAAGAATTTGACCAATATCATGGATTATTTTATCACCGAGTCACGTCACTCAGTGTCAACAGATACTCTCAATATTTATGACTCTTCAGAAACGAGTATTACTACAAATTCCGCTACTGCCAAGGTGGATGATTTTCTCTCCAAGTTGGATCAACTCGCACAATCGAAAACGAGATGGGAAATTCATTTGAAATCCTCACTGAATATTGAAATACCAGTTTCAGTTTCTGCCAGTCATGTGAACATGATGCTCGAAGAGGGTAAAATTAATGATGTTTTTGTAATTGTTGCCAGAAATTTGAGTGAACAACAAGAGTTGAGACAAGCTGTCAAACATCACCAACAGCAAATGCAACAATTCAAACAAAATTTGGAATTTGAAAGAGTCATGTTCCATCCAGTGCTTAAAGAAAAATTTAAGGTAAGTTTCCTTCTTTCATGATTTGCAGTAGTAACACAAGTTCATCATGTTTTTGAATTTAATCACCACCAACCTTAAGGCCTTCTGCGAAAAGGAATGTTCAGAAGAGAACTTTTCATTCCTGGAAGACGTTGCTGCTTACAAGACAACTAAAAAGACCGCGGATCGATCCAAAAAACAATCCGAAATTATACAGAAATATCTTCTTGATTCCTCACCAACTCCCATCAACATTTCTCAGAAAGTTAAGGAGACAGAAGTGACCAAGATTTCGAATGGTTACGCACAAATTGATTTGTTCGACAATATTGAGCGAGTAGTGAAGGCCATGATGCTTAAAGACACCTTTATGCGTTTTTCGTTGCAAAATGATATTGCATTGGTAGAGACATCTTCAGCATCATCTGATTCAGGCACAACGTTGAGTATTCTGTCATCATCGACTGTGAGTAATGCCTCCACAAGTGTGTTGTAAATTATTGTACAATAGTCGGGTCATCATCACTCGACGAGATGAAAATCAAGTTCGGACCAAGAATTATGAAATTGCATGAAGTAACTTTGAGGCCATCTATGTATCACCAAAGGATGAAATGATTGTCAATTAGTACGATTCTTTCGATAAATCTCCAAATTTATTCCATCAAAATGATGACGTTACTCATGAATTAAAAATTCTTATTAAAAATACTATAACAGGATGTGTTGATAAAACTGGTGATGATGATTTTCCAAAGCCTAATTACTTCTTCAATACGACTCTTTTAAATTCTTCCAAGTCAGCTCCCTTTCCGACTTTATATGAATGATAATATCTACCAAAGAGTGATTGGCAAGCTGGTTGAAGAATTGGAATTTGCTTTGAACAAACAACATTAATCAATTCATCTCTATTTTTAAATTCATCAGCTGAGAGTTTTTTGACCGAAGATTGAATATCGGCATCGATCTCTCTCAGAGTGTCATAGGCATTTTGACGTGCAACCACACGTTCCGATTTCTTTGGAGGTGATTTTTTAAGAGCTTGCCCAACCAACACAATTGAATAGGTACCAACGAAGAGAGGTAGTAAGAATTGGGCTGTTTCATTATATTTGAGTTTAGAGAAAAGGGATGAAAGATTGGACATGATGATGATCGGAGAGAGTGATGATTCAATATTTTTTTTCAAATTCAAAAATCCAAAAATGTCGTTAATGAAATTAATGAAAGGTTCTTTGAGTGTGCGAACGAAAAATTACGAGAACTTTGATGTGTCATGAAGCGAGAGAGATTTCAAAAGGAGGAATAAATGTATTGTTTTTTCATCACTGTTTCTTCGAACCACTGGCACTGGGTTACTCCACAGTGATGTGAGAGGACTGCAACGTATTGGAATTGACATCAAGTGTTCGGATTTCCATTTGGTAAGGTCGTTTCGCTAAAATGTTTTGAACTGTTGATTTGAGGTCAGTAAATATTTTCCACTCATTCAAAGCAGGATCGTCTGGGAGTTGGATGATAACATCGAAAATTGGATCTGCTTTCAATTGGAGACGCATCTTTTCTCCATCACTTGTTGCATTGCGATCGCCTGGGTGCAATTATTACACGTATTCATTGAATTATTAATAACAAGTTAAATGACAGTCATGAATAATAGTTCACCTCTACTTACTCATAATGACACTCTCCACACCTCCTAACAATTCACACAATACTGGATTTTTCAAAATTGATTTCATATCTCCATGTGCACTTCCACACAACACAACACCTCTCTGAGCTATGGTGCGAGCAGTGTTGACTTCGTCTTTGGTTCCAATTTCATCAATGACAATGACTTCAGGAGTATGATTTTGAACAGCTTGAATCATGACTTCTTGTTGCTTTCTAATATCTGAAACTTGCATTCTTCTTGCCTTACCAATGGCTACATGTGGAATATCACCAAAACCACCAATTTCACATGACGTATCTACCACAACCACTCTTCTATTTTCTGATAAATTTCTTGCAAAATCTCGAATAAAAGTGGTTTTTCCAGATCCGGGTCTACCAAGCAAGAGTACACTCTTTCCTTGCTCAATAAAATCAGAAAATACTTTTGCACGACCAATGACAGCTCTTCCCACTCGAAGAGTGAGCCCAATAATGTTTCCACCTCGATTTACCATGGCGCTAATTCTGTGAAGCGATCCATCCATACCAGCTCGATTGTCACTCCCGAATGATAATTTCTTGGTAATTTCGTCAATATCTTCCTGTTGTACAATGAACGTGGGATCATAGAATGAAGTTTGTTTGTGATAATAAAACAATTCATAGGGTCTTCCCTTGTCCATTGCAACTTCTATTAAACTGTTCACTTCAATTCCTGACACTTTTGAAATTTTCTCCTGAATTCTTTTTGGAAAGAGGTCAAGAAATGTGTAAATTTGATTCACGATTTCCAATTTAAAGCTATGATTTGAAGAAGTTGGTTGAGAAACAGTGATGGGTGGAGGAGTATTTGTGGTTGAAGTGGCTCCTGACACTTGTAAAGTGTTAGATACAGGTACTTTGGATAAGTCACTTTGGTTTTCTTTGGTGTGAATGGATTGTGTGGTAGAACTTGTTGTGGCCATATGACCAACACTGTTGAAAAGTGCACTTGATGAAGAAGGAATTGGTTTGATCACTCCTTCTACCAACTTGGTAACCTTAGTTAACACTGCTTTGAAAGTTTTTTCTAACATGGGTCCAGGAACTGAATGAATCATGGTCAAATAGAGTTGTGTGAGATATCTCACATCAGCAGAAGAATATCTAATCATGAGGTCAGTGAGAGGCCTACTACACCAACTACCATTTTTGTGAAGCTTTTTTCCAACCTCTTTGAATGGGTTTTCAGGAATGCTATATATCTTGCACAATTCGTTGAATGAAATATCCTTCGTTGACTTGGTAATTTCTTGATAGAGAAGACGAGTGTCCATGACAGACTTGACAATAATTGCATAACTCTTGTAGAGTGCCAAAATATCATTACGGCAATCATGGATAACTTTCACAACAGCTTCATTGGTAAGAATGTTGCTAAGGGCATTGATAATATCTGCTGACAGCTTTTTGTCGTTCTTAGCAGCTTGCAAGTCGAAGAGATACTGAGTTCCATTGACCGATATTTGAACCAATGACAGTCTTCCATTAGAACCTAAATTAACTCCTTCACAGTCTAATCCGATTAATTTTGGAAAGGTCTTTTGAACAAAAATGTTCGAGAATTCAGTGGCAAGAGCTGACGAGTTCACAATTTTCACGTCATCTTTTTGAGAGTTGGGAACTGATGCTTGTGGATTAATCGGTGGTTTTGCCGTGATACGGTTATGACTCACCAATTTGTTAATCTTTCTCAACACTTTGCCAATTCTTCGCATTTTAGAATTCATGGTAAAAGCTTTTGCCAAATTCAATGTAGGGCAATGCAAGAGTAAGTCTGTTTCGTTTTTAAATTGAGAATTTGGTACAACAAATGTTGGAAGTTGGATGACCAACGTGATTTGGTCGTTTTGTTCATTGTATTTGAACCATGTTGCGGATTCTCCTTCAAACAATAAATTAAAGATGTCATCATCGTTATAATTAGCTGCCACTTTTTCAAAAGGAGCAAAACTGAAATTGTTGTCCATAAACTGGAGAACTCTCTCAAAGGAGAGAGTTTTTTGGGAAGAAATGTCCAACGCAACAACGGCCGATATCCGGAAGAGTTTCTCTACCAACACTTGTTCCGAAGACATTTTTTTTGTTTGTTACACACACCAGTCAAGTTTATTCCATCTTGTCAATTTCATTGTTTACGATATTTACTTACTTCTTGTTGAAAAGGAGAAGGTGGATTCCATTGTTGACATCAAGCTCAACTAACCCAATCACTGAAGTGTCGGAGACACAAACTGTCCAATACCCTGGTCTGTCCATCATTCCATGTTGAAAAACCTTAAGATAGGAGTCTCTTCAACTTCTCTTAGATACCCTTTGTGACATGTGGTATTGATAAGAATCCAAAAAGACCATCCGAAGAGTTATTGTTGTTGTATTTAGTAGCAGTAATGGGAGACATATTCTTGCAAGATTATTGATTTAATTTGTGGTGAATTCACTTTGGTCAACATTTCTAAACAATTCACCAATTTTCTAAGGAAGGATCCTATCAAAAAAGCCAACTTGAAATTACTTCATAAGGGAATTTAATTAAACAACAGCTACTCGTTCAGAAACTTGAGTTTATTTCTCCAACAATCTTAGCTGGATTACTTCACCTACAATTGCATAAACTAACCTATTGCTGCCATGTATTTCAAACTTGCGGACAATTTAGAGACAAGGAATAAACTCACTATGCAATTTTTAAACTACTGTAAATAAATTGTAGTAAGGTGAATTTTTTTTATAAAGACCATTCTGAACTCTCAAAGTCTGCAATAAGAGCAAATACAGAGTTTAAATACTTTATCAAAGATCTGGAAGTGGGATTTGATTGGCCAATTTTTGAAATGATTTTAAATACTTTTCTTCCTTCATCTGCTTTGAATTTAAGCACTGCTTTGGCGTTAAAATCCAAAGCAAATGGGGGTGCGTTCTTAATGCTCATAGGCTTCCCAAACTCTAGATTCAACATTCCATTATGTAAAAACCCTTTTGAGAGTGGGAAATTTTGTATAACCTTCCAACCAAAAAAGACGGATCCTTTTCTACACTCACCAACCATTGCAATTCTAACAAAGATGCTGCGATTTTTTCTGAAAGCCAACAATGGAACGGCTCCAAAAGTTCCAATCGAGCCTTCAAAAAAGCTCATTTTGAAAGTACATCCACCTGTAAATCCAGATGGAGTAACGGTGAATATATTGCTCTTGGTGGCAATAACAATGCCACTTAAACAAAGAAAAATAATTAGCAATAACGGTGCGTTCATTGTATTTTGTTTTTTGGTCCAAGTTACTTTGAGAATGCTGATTGTTGCAATGAACCATGGAAGTTCGTTTCGGTACAGATAAATCACGGACCAAAATTGGCTTCAAACAAAGATCCCAATACAGATCATTCCTTCACAAGATGTAACATTTAATTTCCAAATAGCGTTCGATTGTTTTGGCCACAAAATTGTAAATTTGTGAATTCAAAGCTCATGGTGATCCTTTCGCGCCGATTAATGAAATAAGTATTTTTCTTTTTCTTTGAATTCCGATATACGTCTGAAAGTATTCTGGAGAGAATTCAATTTTAATGTCTGAAAACATCATACGTTTGCAGACGAACTCTTTTAACAGTGTGGAGGAGTTTATTCAATTCCTTTGGTGGATGAAGATTGGGATCATTTCGGCTATTTTGTTTTCAAACAAGAAAGCAACCCGACGACGGCAAAAATCGAAAATGACAAGTTTAACGAAAAAGATGAATCATGCAAGATTTTGGATTTGCGGTTCCGATCTTGCGCCTTCAGTTGAGAGATGCCAGACCTCCGCGGTGACCATCATAAACCACAACAAAATGAAACCACTCATTGCTTTCTTGCTTGACATTTTGATTGCACTTTCATTCTTCTCTTGCGTCACCCAGATGTCACCAACCCTTTCACAACAACCACAAGCAACAGACACGTCTGGCCATATCTTTGTGCATGCATCCTCAACACCTTTGCAAGCCATGACAACCGTACAGAAAGACCTAACCATGTATCTGAATTTTAGTTTGGACCTCTCAGACCCAAATTGTGGCCAAACACCACAGCAACCTTGTTATTCCATCCATCATGTATTTGACATCATTCAAGACTCTATCAACACGGATATCACTAATCAAATTCTTCTTCCAATCAATAATAACACTCTCTACAATTACAACATTACGGTGGTCTTGATGAGAAATTCAGTACATGATGATAATTGTTTCATCTACTTTGGTTTTGAATATCCAGAGCTAGAGAATCGTGTCCATCTTTCAATTTCATTCACATCATTTCCCAATTCAAACAATGAGAGATATGAGATGACATGTAATGCGGACTATGCAACCTTGTTTTCATTGAATGGTTTCAGCAACACGGCAAAGAACTTTATCAGAGAACTAAACCTCCATCGAGTTGCTTTTAATGGAGTTCGGTGGTGTTTCAACAGAATTGCTCACTCGGTACTTTCCAACAATGATTGGACATGCATTGAAAAAGTTTCACCTTACAATTCCAGATTCATTCAAGTGAGCGACTCAACTTTGGAAAATGTTGAATTTAAAGTCGCCAAAGCTGATGATGTTTCTTTTTCGGATTCAAAGCTTACTGCATTTGGATACATTTCAAAATCAAATTCCTTCATCATAAGTAATTGTACCATGGTACAACCGCTCTCCTCCTCCAAGTACCTGTCGATTAGCAACACACTATCCATGAAACTGTTAAAAAGTACAATCCACATAAGACATGGAAGTTTAATGGTTCAAATGATGGCCGTTCAAAATTTTGAAATGCAGCAGTGTGAACTCTTTTTCAACTCTGGAGAATCTGATCCAATGCTGAGGTTGAACAGTTACATTTTTGACTTAAAGATTGCACTTTCAGTGACCATTCGAAATTTGAACATTTATGGATTTAGAAATTCCTTATTTTACTTGTCATCCATTGGAAATGCCATCATTGAAAATGTTTCATTTTTGAATGGAAAAAGCTCTGGTGATGATCGACCTGTATTCAATTTCAATATTGTGACCGTGTTGGACATTACAAATCTCACAATGTCAAATAACATTGGTGGATGCATGAAAATTAGCAATTCTCAATCAATTACTATTTTAAATTCCAACTTTGACAAGAATGTCAAAAACGGAAATGGTGCAGTCATTGAGGCAGAGTGTGAAAAATTAACTGTTGTCAATAGCTTCTTTTCATATAATCAGGCAAATGGAACAGGAGGCGCGATTTCCATAACCTCAACCACTGGTATATCAGTAACAAATTCACACTTTATAGGAAATTCTGCCAGCAAATCAGGAGGAGCCATTGGAATGACACTTTCTTCATCAAATCTCAACATTGATCCTCCAACCAAAATAACCAATTCCAGTTTCATTGAAAATTCAGCATTGTCATCCTCACCAGTCACTTGGTGCAAAGGTTTTTATGATTGTATGGGCTCTGGAGGTGCCGTTGCTCTCGCAAGTCGAGTTCCTCAATTGTTTACATCCACATTTATGAACAACAAAGCGTCTTGGGGTGGTGCCATGGTTTTTCAAAGTGACAGTATTCTAGCTTTACCTGTTACACGTGTAACCAATAATCATGCTCATGTTGCAGGAGGTGCAGTCTTTTTTATGACGCCCTTGTTGAGCAAAGATGCATCTGATTATGGATTGCATTTGGAAAACAACATTGGAGCATTATATGGCAATGACTACGCCTCTTCTATCTGTAACGTGTCTAGTTTGATGGTGAGATTGTACGATTTAAAGCAAGAAAATTACAAGCCATTAGAGAATCTCCAACAGGTCATGCATGTTTATTTAGGACAATTAGTGAGTATTCGGATTAACAACATGAAAGACTGCTATGAACAAAATATTCCAATCTTTAGAGAAACTTTGTCTCTTGTAGTCTCAAATATTGAAAAGCACATTCAATATGAATCCATGGCACGAGAAAATGGGACAGACATTCGGTTTACGCAAGCACAAAACACGTTTCAGAATGCTAACTTTTCACTCACTGTTTCTCTGAACGTTTGGAATTTCACATTTTCAGTTTTGATCGTTCCATGCCCAAACGGTTGGGAATATAGAGATGGAATTTGTAAAGAGCAACTTCCACTTGGAGTCATTATTTCCTTTTCAATTATTGGTTTTCTATTGGCAATATTGATTGGAATCTTTTTCGGAGTGCTCTTTTCAAAATTAGTCTCCAAGATGTTCGTTATTAAGGGAAAGCTTAAAAAGTTAGAAACTAGAGAAAAAGAAGAAAAGAAAATTGAACAAAAACTACTCAACTCAGAATTAGGTGAGATTCAGCTCGAAGAGGATATTACAAAATCAAATTCATCATTCTTGACTACGAAAAGAAATTTATCATCCACCATATCCAAGAACTCTACAAAAAGTTCCAGTAGCAGACCTCAAAATGCTGCTACCTCCATGTCCTATATTATTCCTGTAGAAGATTTGGTCGTGATTAAGAAAATTGCAGAGGGTGGATATGGAACAATCTATCTTGCAAGATGTTGGGGAACTACAGATGTTGCTGTAAAATCATTCCATCAAAATGATGATACAATGGACGATGAAGAGTTTGAGAAAGAAGTATCTGTCCTTGTCAATTTAAGAAATCCATACATTGTGACATTTTATGGAGTGTGTATTACTGAAAATAGAAAATTCATGGTTCTTGAATACATGCAAAAAGGGAGTTTACAAAATTTAATTTACAATTGTAGAATTGGAAAAGAAGTTTTGACATTGAAACTGAAAATCAATATTTTACTCGACATTTCTTGTGGAATGAAATATTTACATTCAATGAAACCAGCATTGGTCCATCGTGATTTGAAACCAGCAAATATTTTAATCAATGAAATGGGGCAACACAAAGTGTGTGATTTTGGATTGTCAAGAATGATCCCTACTAATTCATTGCACTCCATGTTTACAAGTACTGTTGGAACCATGTATTACATGGGTAAGTAGAACGTCTACACCTTCTAACTAACTCTCATTTCACATGGATCATTATTTCATGTCAATTCTCGAATTCATAGCCCCTGAATTAATTCTTGAACAAGAACACTCTATTACGAGAGATCTACTCACGAAAATTGATGTTTATAGTTTTGCAATCATTATGTGGGAATTGTTCTTTGAAGAGAATCCATATTTGAATGACAATGTTAAAAAACTTCATTGTTTTCCAAAAGCAGAAAAAACCAATATAACACCTCTCACGATATTTGTTCACATTGCAAAGGAGGAACTTCGACCAATCATTCCTTTCAACAACCGAGAGGAATTATCTCAATGGAGTGACATGTATTTACAAACTCAAAACAATGTTGTTGATAAGAATTTGCTTTTAGAAACTGTTGAAAAGTATATAGAATTGATGAAACAATGCTGGGCACATCATCCCAGTGAACGACCTTCGTTTGAACAAATTTTCGTTCAACTTTCAAATCTCAAGAATACGTTATAAAGGAAAGGAGGAATTTACTTTTTCAGAAAATTATCATGATTATATTTTAATGACGACAAGACTCGAATGGCCTCACAGTTTCTTGGGAAGAAATGTCCATTGTGAACACAGAGAGTTTTGGAGCCACAAGCAGTCCAACTCACGCTTACATGAACCCACGATGGCCTTCCTGGTGAGAGGATGTTTGCCACGAGATGTTTCATTTGGGGAACCTTCATGCTTCGAATTTCACCAATTTAAGATTGTTGTAAACTCTAGACCAACAAAATCTACTTTTTCGGACTGTAAACCAACCCCCAAAAAATACCTCCACACCACCCAGGTGCCATCGGCCTAAAACTCTGATCATTACAGATTTGAATCGGAATGATGTAAGTCCTCACACTTTAAAATTTTAATTTCTCATTCTCAGTCATTGTTGCGTCATCACCCACTCGTGTGGTCAACCTCATATGCTCATCATCAATTCCGTCTCATCATAAAACACGCCTCCGATTTGAATTGGTTCTAACGTTACGACCAACACCAACCAACACCTCTCTTCTGATCGAACCCACACTTTAGGTCCACACATTTCCATTTCCCTTCCTTCATTCAAAAGGAAACAACCGTCGAGCAAGATGGTCTCACCTACATGCCTGGCTGGAATAACACCTTCTCTTCGGAAGCTTTGTCAGGCGCTCTCCCTCTCGGACAAAACACTCCACAACAATGTGCGTATGGTCTCTATGCCGAACAATTGCAAGGTACTGCTTTCACTGCTCCACGTAACGCCAATCAACGTACATGGTTTTATAGAATCAGGCCAAGTGTGGTTCATGAGGCTTTCGAAGATTACACGGCCAATGAACAATTCTCACCACTCAATCCCAACAAGATTGATTTGGGAAGGGTGGTCACACCAAAACAATTACGTTGGAGACCACCAAAGAAGCCTGAATCGAATGAGAAGGTAGATTTTGTTGATGGATTGAGAGTGTTGGCAGGAGCTGGCTCACCACAATTGAAGACTGGATTTGCGATTTTGCAATATCAATTTAACACTTCGATGAATAATCGTTGTATGTGTAATAGTGATGGAGACTTTTTGTTTGTTCCCGAGCAAGGTGAATTGTTGATTATCACTGAATGTGGTAAACTGAGAGTCAAGCCAAAGGAAATTTGTGTCATTCCTCGTGGTATCAAATTCAGTGTGGCATTTGCTTCGGAGAGTGAAACATTTGCTCGTGGTTATATGAGTGAAGTTTATGCAGGTCATTTTGTTATTCCTGATTTGGGACCCATAGGAGCTAATGGTTTAGCAAATCCAAGAGATTTCCTTCATCCAGTTGCTTGGTATGAGGATCGTGACCAAGATGTTACTTTTGAAATCATTCAAAAGTTCCAAAATCAATACTTTATTGCCAAATGTTCTCATTCACCCTTTGATGTTGTTGCATGGCACGGAAATTATGTACCCTACAAGTATGATTTGAGCTTGTTCAATGTGGTCAACTCTGTGTCCTATGATCACTTGGATCCATGCATTTTCACAGTATTGACATGTCAAACTCTCGAAAAGGGAACTGCTGTTTTAGATTTTGTCATCTTCCCACCACGTTGGAGTGTTCAAGAACATTCTTTCAGACCACCTTACTATCACAGAAACACAATGAATGAATACATGGGACTTATTGAGGGTAAATATGAGGCTAAGGAAGATGGTTTCGTTCCAGGAGGTGGCTCTCTTCACAATTGCATGATTCCACACGGTCCAGAAGAGAAGGTCTTTGAGAAAGCATCCAATGCAGAGCTTAAACCAGAACGTGTCGCTGAAGGAAGCTTGGCATTCATGTTTGAATCTGTCTACATGATTAACCCAACTGAATATTACATGAACGACGTCGAAATTGATCAAAAGTACAATCAATGCTGGTCTGGAATCAAGAAGCATTTCAATCCTAACAAGAAATAATCCTATGATTTCATCGTAACGATCCCGTTGTAAAGTAAACAAAAAATTTGTGCAGGTTTAATGCTTCCCATTAATTAATAAACAGTTACTTTTTACAGAACACAAATAGAAAGATCACTACCTTTTTTTATAGTATTCTGCAAAATTTCTAAACCAAGAAAGTTAAGGCGCCCACAACAATAAATCGTCACTTCTTCACACAACATACGTGATCGGAACTAGATGATACTACTGCACTTGGTGTATCTGATGTGTTGGTGTTTCCACACATCGCTTTACAAGAGCAATATTCAGTGCATGCTTTACCCTCACTTTTGCATGGGAATGATTTGTTTGTCAAACATGCACGATGACAACGACAAAATACTGCATTAGCTTTCTGTTCCTTCAACAACTTTCGTTTTGCATTCTCTTCCTCCTTTTGTGCTCAACACGCTTTCGTTTTTTCTCCTTTTCCTTTTTGTCAACAATTATTTGCGCTGTTTCAATGTATTCAGCAGAGGATAATACAAAGTTAATACTTTCACCAGTTTCAGATGTTCTTATCTTTGGCAATGGAGGGACTTGTAAAATTTCACTATCAATGGAATTAGGTTGAGCTTCTTGAATTGTTGAGCTGATGTCTCCACAACTTATTCAAGCATCACTAAAAAAATATCGCTGTCTTTCTGCACCAAAATGAAGAGAACAGGCTCCAACAGCATCGTTCAACGGTTAATTACCCACAACAACAGCAGACACACATCGAGCCTCACCAAAACAACAAGACAATATTTTTGCCCCAGAAATTGTGTTTTCAATTTTGCTTTGTCGAACAAACCAAATTTAATTGTTCCGAACAACAAATTGATGTTTTATCCAACAACAACCACATTTGGCCAAATACGTTCTTACACCACCACAAATTGGTGGAAGGAGAAAGAAGCATCAACAAATGATAGTGATGGTACAAATACTTCAGCACCTTCATCCTCCGAACAAATCACTCTCAATTTGATGGACTACGAGAGTTGGAACGCGCAACAGGTAGCATCAGTATTGACTTCTCCTAAATCTTTGGGTGGTGCTGGTTTGTCGGTTGAAAAGGTGAAGCCTTTGTATGAGGCTGGTTTTAAAGGCTCATCTCTCCACAACATTGTTGGGGATATAATGAAGAAGGATGAATATTATGCTCTTGATCAACTTAAAAGTACTTATAACAAGAATAGCATTCCTCAACTCTCCGACACTTGCAAAACTGTTGTATTTTGGGTGCTCGATCAATTAATGACCAGACAATATTCACTATGGCAATTGGAGCCAGTGATTAAGCAAATCAAGCAAAAATTGGGCGAACCAATTGCAAAAGGAGGTGCTGATTTGAGTCTTGATCAAGTTTCTTTATTAGATGGCAAAACTCTTTACTCTATTGCAAAAGATGTAGTCTTTGGATCCACAGGTGAATGTGTGGCCGTTGAAAATCTTGACTTGAATTTAGGTACAACAGTTGGCAAATGGGTCACACAGTTTCTACAAAACAACGTACAAGTCCCATTGTTAAAGTTTGAGCATACGAAATGTAAGTATTCATTAATGAATCACACATAAAGTACATAACGAAATTTGCAGCCTCAAAACCGAACTACATTCCAGACAAGTACACAAATAATACTTCAGATTTTTCTGATGAAGAATTGTTGTTGTTGCAAGAGATTAATGAACTAACATTGAGAGATTTATCACATGCTCGTTATAACTTGGATCGTCTGATTTTCAATATGATGAATAGAGAACAAGCAATACAATCAATTATGGACTTAGGTACAACACAATACAAAGCTAGTCAACTAGAAAAAATTAACAAACAAGACTTAACTTTTTTGATTGTCAAAGGTGGAAGTGGGAGTGGAAAGACTCGTATTGTGTCTGAGGCTGTCAAAATTCTTTCGAAGGCCGAACCACAATATATTTTTAAAAATTCTGCAGTCATTTATTTCAACTTTACAAATGGATTTATTTTGCAACATGATTTTGAAAGAGATACCGCTATTATATCGTTAATATCAGCGAGAATTATTTTCTCTGCTTTTGAAGACCAAGGAATTTCTAGACGGTTACCAAAAATAACTAACGATTATTTTTTGTATGAACTTCTACGAATTATTAGCTTAAAATTACACGAACAATTGAAGGTCGAGCAATCAATACCTATACCTCTTATTCTGGCATTTGATGAATATCAACGTGTCAACAGATTCAACAAAGATCTAAACACCCAATTGAAACATAAAATTGGATGGTATATGAGAAACTTTCAGAAACGACAAGGATTAATATTATTTCCAACATTCTCTGGAACATTATTGGACTCTGATGCCAAATTCGAACCAACCGACTACAAAATAACAACGCTCCCACTACCAACACTGCGACAGGAGGATATTGAAAAAATTTTGAAAGAGCAAAATTTGACAGAATTTTATGTTTCAAAATATCAGATCTTTTGGAGTATCATTGGTGTTGTGCCTAGACATTTAGAATGGGCAGTAAAATATGCCAAAGAGATTACAAACAACACGACCATTCCATTAGAAACAAAAATAAGCCATATTTACTGCAATGTTGTGAAAGAACTGTATTTGATATATCAACCAAACGACGCACCAGATATCTATCGATATCTCTCAATACTTACTCTTTCAGGATTTTCATATAGCACTCACAAATCTCTCAAATATGAAAAGAATATTGAAGTACTAGCTAGCGAAGGTAGAATTTACAAATCCAATAACCATATTGGATTACCACTTCCTGCCATTGACAAGCTTTCAGAATTCTATACAGAAATCCCAAAAAGGTTATTCAACGAGTTTATTTATACTTCAGCAAAACCTGATTGGGAAAAATTCGAAGAGCTATGTTTGAAAACAATTACCTGCAAACTGAACTATATTCTTAAGCTACAACATACTAAACCTAAGTCTACTTTTACTGTTGGTGAGCTTTTTCAAGGGGCACACATGCCACAAACGCTTTCTCAACTGACTTTGATCACCAAAATCGGTACAAAATCCTACTTCCATTATGACGAGGTTTCACAATCAATTTCTACATCACTCGTAAAGAAAAACACGAATGATAACTTAATCACAAAGGCACAGCCAAATCAGCAAGGAATTGATGGATTTTTACCAGCCTTTAGTTTAGAAAACGAAAAGAAAGTGCTATTTGTAGTCCAAAATAAGTTTTTGAACGATGATTCACAAATAAGGACACTCGAACCCAAACAATTATGCAATCATTATAAGAATGCACTATTGGATATTGAAGGTTATGATGTTTATGTAATAATTTTCGCAAGAAAAAAAGTCTCTGACAACACAGCCAAATGTGTCAACAATGGAGTAATTCCAACCGAACCAAAACAAACACCATGTCCTAAACTAATTTTGGTTTCCGGAGACTGCTTTAATGACTTTTTCCATCCATTCATTGCCAACATTCTCAAACCTATGGAAAAATAACTTCTTCTATACCTGGTTGACCATCCTCAAAATTATCGTTTAATGATTAAAACTTGAATATTTCCATCAATTAAGATATAAGGAAGTAAGGCGCTGCTGTTTCGTTCGAGTTGAACGTGAAAGTAGTCAAATATTTTGTGCGTCCAATTTGGTGATAATGTAACTCTTGAAGTTGGTCATGATTCAAACATGGACGAGCAAAAGTCGGTATTCCCTCCAAATTGGATACCGTTGACGTTGATTGAAGAGTAGTTCAGTGATATGTTGGCCTTGAATTCGACAACGCTTCATCAAGGGTGGTGATTTATTCACTAAATGTCATGAGTACAAACCAGGAATTGAACAGACTTACCTATGGATAATACTTGATTGAAATTTGAACAGCTCCTTTTTCATGTATTGATTATTGAGTGACTCCGATTGTTTGGTAGTTGTTGTTATTGTTGAACATTGAGTGACCTCATCTTAGTGGTATGAATAGCCGGTGGATTTGTCCTGTAATTTTGCACGTCCAAGTAGGTGATGTTAACTCTTGGAGTTTGTTATGATTTTTAAATGGACGAGCAAAAATTCGTTAATACATTCCCTCCAAAACGATTACGGATGAACCTGTTCTATGCGAAAATTTTCACATTATTCCCGTGCGAAATTTTTACCTCAGGAACAAATTTGGAAGGTTTGACTTGATTCTTCGACAAATTGGTTCATGCTCTCACCATCTCCACCAGACTCATTATCACACACTTCTTCAAACATTTCTTCGGTATTGGATGCAAGCTCCTTATCACAACCAAGAAACCTATTTGAAAAGAATTTTGGATCTATTGGATACACTGATTCCGTAAATGGCTTTTCTTGTGGCAAAAACCCTCCTGTTCTCTGCCATTGAACAAAGAATTTAAAGCCTTCCGTTGCTCTTACTATCTTTGCCTTTCTCTTGCTAGGACTTCCAACGGAGATAGTTATACTTTTGGCGTATGGTGGTTTGGAAACCATTATCATCTGACCAATCTGAAAATCTTGTAAACCAACGGATCCATTTGCCTTTGCCCTTCTCTTGTTCACTCTTTCCTTTTGCTTGATCAAACGTATATCATGGACTAACAATTTAACGTTGATACGAATCTCTGCTTGTTCTCTTGATGACTTGTCCTTCAATCGAATTGGAGCAATTTGATTTAGAACTTCCTTTGGTGTTCTCTGAGTAACAGAATGAATAGTGTTGTTGTAATTACTAATCACTGTTGGTAATGTTCCCGTCCAAGTAGATTCATTTTCATCACGCATTTTGAGGTCGATTCCCATTTTGACAGTGCAATTCGGTCTTTCTACAAGACCATTCTCTTCAGGGGAATAAGGGTTTGTGTTGGAATCAATAATGCCAAACTTGGCCAAGGTTGCACTAATAGTCTTGTTCACAAACTCTTTACCACAATCATGTCTCATGACTGTATTGAATTCTCTAAAGTTAACTCCAAACACATCCCTCAACTCTCGTAAAACAAATTTAAGAATATGATTCACAGTACTAGCTGACTTTTGCTTGTGCTCATGCATACTTGCTGAAACCTTCAACAATCAAGACATACCCAATGAAGTTTCTTTCCTTCTGAACGAAAGCAATATCCATTGCTAAGTGAGAAAACGGAGAGTATATCATGAAGTTAACTGGTTTTTGATAATTCGAAGCCTTGACCTTGATTTCTTCACACACAACACATGATTTGATGAACTGAATAACATCTTCTTTGACATTACGCCACCAATATTTCTGTGTCAGCTTCAAAAGTACAGCGTTAATACCAACATGATTTGCAGTTGTGGCATGATAATACTGAACGATTTTCTTACGTAGCGGTATTGGAGGGACTATTTGATAAGATTCTTCTTTAACCTGTTGGACATACTTTGAAATATCCATATCAACACCTTTCACAATACTATTCAATTCTTCCTCTGGTACATTGGACAAATCTTGAACACAATTCTTTACCTTTCTGTGAATTTTGCATCTTAATACCCATTCTTAAACACAAAATTTTGCTCCTTCTTTCTTTGACCCTTATGTTGTAAGTAATTGCAGCATGGTCTCTCGTTGTATCAATGAGTATCGAGGTTCTCTATTGTATTGTTTCCACTTTTCAGAAAAGCTGCAAATTTTTCATAAAGAATAGTTTAAGATGAACTCCTGTCCTGCTTTGCAAGTAATGCTTTTGAACGAGTTGAAAGGTTCTATGACCGTACTCGAGATTGCGCCAGTGATTGTCAAACGGAAACAGATAATCTCTTGTGATGTGTTTATATTGCTTCAAGTAATAAAATCTCAAGCTCATGATCACTGATAATCTATGACTATGAAATTTTGAAAGTATTTTCACACGTTCCTCCTCATTAATTCGGTTCAAAAATTCGGATTGGATCCTCCTCATTTGCTCTAGTTTTCAAAAATTCATCAAATTAGGTCATGCAGATCAATTTTTGAAATAAACTCAAGTTTCTGAACGAGTAGCTGTTGTTTAATTGAAAAATTCAAAATAAATCTTCTCAAGAATTCCTTGTCAAAAATACTTACGACATGCAGTAATTGTCACAAATGATGGTCATTGCAGGTTAGGTGCCATCACATGAGTAATAGTAAACGACTGAAATTACTGATCGAGTTAAAACCACGTTTTGAGAAGGCCTTGTATAAGGCTACACAATCCGAATGGGTTGATCATGTCTAAGATATAACTTGAATATTTCTGCACTTTTGTCTCTCCAATTTATGGATGGGTCTGTTTTGAATTTACGACACAAAGATGTTGCCTCTTCGAGATTAAAGAAACCATCTTTTCCTCCAGATTTTGACATGAGCTGGGTGGTATAGTTGTTAAATTCCTCGAGACCTTTTGTTGTGTTTGCCACAACATAAACCCTGCCGAGTAGAGCTTCAGAGGCGACAACTTCTGTCAGAGTTATTGCCCAGTTATTACTTGTCTCCACAAAGAGTTTCACTCCTCCATCTGGAAGTTTCAAAAGACGACACAATTGAACTGCCAAATGGAATGCAATTTGTGATCGATAAGTATGAACACTGAAATGATAACAACCCTCTACTCTTGATAAATTATCTATCTGAGGCAGTTTGGGAACAAGATAATGTTCGAGCTTGTGGTTGGTATCGTTTTCATCAGTCTCTAGTGCTGGTGTCGTTGATTCGTTGTCGTCAACATGTTGCTTCTGCATGAGTTCCTTCACACAGCCAGTAACCAAGTCCAAAGTCTCTGATCCAACAATAAAGAATCTTCTGTTCCCGAAATTCGAGTAAAATTTTCCGTTACAGTCTTTAAATACTGTTTCAGCACGCTGTTGTAAATCTTGTTTCCCTTTCCAATATATATTGCTTTCTTCTTCCGATTTGAATTGAATATCGGCAATACTAGGCCCAATTGGTTTTTTTGGAATTTTGTCGCTTTCTTGTACTTTTTGTGGTGGTTGGAGCCCTTTCTGAAACTCCTCAAGTCCTGACTGAAGGTTGGATGTAAATAATCCAGTTGGTTTTTTTGGAAAATCTTCAAATACGTCATCATGATCATTTCCGATGTGTTGATCACCGTTGTGATCAGTCTTTTTTGTTGTCTTTTGTTTCATTTCTTTTTCGTTTTTCTTTTGCACTTCGATTAAATACTTTATATCGTCATTATCTTTTTCATTCTCTTGTTTCTTCTTCTTTTTTGAAGACGTGTGGCTGTGTGAAGTATTGCGTTGCGTGGTTCCTGCTGCATTGCTCTGGTTTGGCTTTTTGGGCATTTTTTGTATTTTTGAAATTTTTATTGGTTATTCTGTACCTCAGATGAAGAGTAAACGGATTATTACTTTTCGTTCACGAGTTTTGATTGAGGGTTACCCAACTTTGCATGTTTGTGTTTTTAATCTAATACAGCTTCCAGAGTGCGTCGGCCATTGGTTCTGGAAAGTATTTTATTGTCATTGCATCTACCTTTCGAAAATATTCGATCCTTTCTGACAAGTTAAATAAAGCGAGAAATTGTTGTGGAGCATGTCGGTCTTGTGGGTTTTCTTGCAGAAGGATGCCTTTGATAGGAATGTTTCTAACTCTGAAATGTCCTCATTGTCATGCCATAATAATTTTGAAAGTGTAGTTTTGGTTGGTTCATAATCTTTGACACGTAAATTCAAAGATTCCAACACAACAAGCCCAAGAGAATAGATGTCACTTTTGGGAGAAACAATGTATTCACTTTTTCTTTCTGGAGCACGATAACCTTGAGAGTATGATTTGCTTCTCACAACTTGACCGTTGCGTTTGCATTCATAGGTTGCCCAGTACTCTTGCGTTCTGTCAAACATCTCTGAAATTTCAAAATCGATCAAAAAGTAATGATGATCAAATCGAATAATGTTTAGAGGTTTCACGTCGTTATGAATCCGTCCCAATGATTCTAAAATCGCAAGTTGACATAATACATCCAACATCATGTGTTTGGTTATTGCTATTTTGTTTTCCATTTCCATTTTCCAAACAGTTTCCAAGTCAAATCCAGCTAAACTGACCAAGCATGATGGATAGATTCCACATTTCACATATAAAGTTCTCATTTTCTTACAAATTGTTATTGTTCTTTCAATCTCCAATGAAATTTCACCTGTTTTCACATAGACGTCAGTGGAGGTTGTTGTACTGTTTGTCAATTTTCCGCTTTGGACCATCTTTGAACCGTGTTTGATTAGGTTAGGATTGGGAGTGAAAGTATAGTCCACTTCAGAAATTTGTATCGTTCGTGCTGGCTTTTGAAAACTGTGTGCCGATGATATTAATGAAGTTGGTCGTTTGGTTGACAGATATTGCTGCATTTCCTCTTGATGGACGTTTTTCATTGCTGTCACAATTAGTGCTACTAAATGAACTCGCTCTTCCAAATGGTCATGTTTAAAGCTTCCAATAAATTTCATGTTGTAATGTATCTTAAATCCTTCATTCTCTTCAACTATGTTGCTACACATTGCATACACATTTGTATATTCAAGGTCACAAGTGATACCCAATGTTGTAACGTTGTTATGCCATGGTTGTAACTCATCTCGAACCAAGTTTCGAAGAGTGTAAGAGTGAACAATTCTTGTCATTGCCACCATCTTTGGAAAGTCTTCATGCAATAAATGATGGCTAAACTTTTTTACCTTGTCCTCTCTTAAAAATGAAATGTGATAATCATGTCCAGGTTTGGTAAATAATATCGTCCGGTATTAGTTTTTTTACATGAGGTGTTAACATTTCCAGATGTTTTGACACATTGTAAGGTCACCAATTTGGGTTCACCCTCTTTCTTGCTTTCATTGCGCTCAATTTGTTGGATTATTTCTATCATAAGCGATTGCACGGCCGTTGTATCATCCCTGAACGAAGATCAGGAAGTTTAAAAATTGGAAACACTTACAATAGCTTCTTCTTTCGTTCTAAGTGTTGATTGGATCTTTTCGTCCCTTTTGGGGTTGAGTATTCCTTTTTTACCGTCTCTTGTTTTCTTTTCTTTCTGTTATCATCGGATGAAGAGTCATCCTCATCATCTGCTGGCAC